GGACTTCTGGAGAACCTCAACAAGATGAAGAAGATGACTCTGCTCATGTTGCTGAGCGTGAGATGACATGGTTCATTCAGAATGTCAACAACCTGGTTCTCAACCCATGGATGGTATATGACATTGGCATGGTATCACTCCATGATCGTGTAGGGACACGTGTACTCCAGAGCACTGGAGAAGACGTGATCCTCGTGAGGGATTGGGACAGGTTGACAAGGCACCAGAGAGAATATTTTTGTAGAAGATACAAGTTGCTACGTCCAAGTGTTTATGGAACAGAGGAAGACCCCAAGACGTATGCACCGAGTTTTGAACCCGGAATTTCTCAGTGGATGGAGTTGGCACAAACTGGATACCAACAGTTTTTCTTCATCCGTGCTTGGGAGAATGGACGCCGCTGGGCTGAAATTCTGACAGACCATGGCATTTCTTCTGTAGAGCTTTCAAGCTTCTTGGATATGTGCAGAGATCCCAAATTGCTGGGTTGGAACTTTGGTATTCCAGAACCTCAGTGGGATAATTTTGGCAATACAGTGGAGGAAGCATTCAACAATCCCTTGTTTGCCAAATTGCACTATCGCTTCAAGCAGGAGGAAGAGATTGGTCGTGTCATGCACCTTGTGTCAGAACTTGTTTGTGACTTTTTCATCAAGGTGCTTCCCAAGTGGGTTCTTGACCACTCGATCTTGTGGGAAGAGTTTATGATCTTGGATCCAGACACAAATCTCCCAGCTTACAAGACTTCAGAGGCCGCATTACAAGCAGAAAGGAATCCAGAGAAGTATCATACACATTTTGCTATGAACTTCAAGAAATTCCGTTTTTCTGCAAGGATTGTGTGGTATTTGATTGACCGTGACAGGAATCATTTAGAGAGTTTTCTTCACAACTCCAACAGTAGATTTGTGCAACATGCATGCTATCAACTTCGTGAGTATGTTCAGGCGCGTGTTGCAGTTTCTGATCCCTTGTATGAGATGATCAAGAAGGAAGAGTTTGAACGCCAATACAATTCCAAGTTTTTGGAGGCGATTTCTTGCTCTCGTGTTGTAGTTGAGCCTGTAAGTTCAGGGACGTATGAGCCATCATCGAAGCTGAACTTAAAGGTACTACAAGACATCCTGAAGGGTATCTTCAAGATCCAGAAGGATGAGGAGCTTGCCAAAGAACGTGAGGAAGAAGAAGAACAGGCAGCTCAAAACATCTCATACCTGTTGGCAGATGATATGGAGCTTGATTTTGATGATGATGATGTTCCAGTATGGCGCTCCATTGTCGACAAGTATAGAGGAGGTGATCAGGTGCTACAGGGAGAAGCGGTGAAGATTACTCACCTGTTCAGGGATCAAAAGGACAATGAGAAGGCGACAGAAGCTTTCAGTTCAGAGAGGACAGATTTTTATGAGACCTCAGGACCTCTTCCAAGAACCGAGGGAGAAAATCTTGTAGAGGACTTGCTCACCAAGGATGTTGCAGAACAAGCTTTTGAAGCAGGTGAAGAAGTTCCTCCTTATACAAGAGTCTCCACTATCGCTGGTGAAGTCTACACTGGAAGTAGAACACTTCTAAAAGATGAGAATATGGAAGAGGAAGTTCCTGAAGAAGATCCTGCAGTTGAACCTGGAAAGGAACAAGAAATATTTGATGAAGATGCAGGTGTTTTTCCTTCAGAGGAACCAAAGATGGAAGTGGACCAGGAGGAAGCCAAGGAAGAGTCAACACCACACTTTCTGTCAAGAGAGATAGGTGAGGACTCGACTGCATCGCACTTACCATCAGGTGAGATGGATGCTAACCTTGATGATACTTCAGGTCAGCGGAAATCTAAGAAAAGCCGCCTGAATAAGATTCCTGATCCTCATTTTCATGAAGAAGTTCAGGATGATGCAACCATGGAAGAGAAGAAAGAGGCGGTGGAGAAAATAAAAGAGGTCAGAGAGGATGATGGAGAGAAGAAATTGGAGGCTGAAATCCAAGAATCTTTTCCATCTGAAGTAGTTGCTGAAAAGGATACAACAAAAGCTGACAATACCTATGAGTTACATACTTCACCTTTGAAGTTGCTTGGAGAGCTTACAGGAGATCCAGGTATTGGCTTTTATCAACTATGCTTCAGGGAAACTCATGCAAGATTGCTGAATCATGTTTGTTTCAGAAAAGGTGAGATTTCCCATCCTCATTATCAGTCGAGGATCAACGAGGATGATTTTGTTCGATCCATTCGAAATGTCTGTCCAGTACCTCCACCTGATTGTTATGAACATGAACCAGAGCATGACTTGAAGAGATTCTTCATCAATGATGATCGCATCATTTATTTGGATGGCTATTATCAGGTCGATCCAAAGGCCCTTGAAAGGGCAGAACATGCTCGAGAAGAATTGGAGGATACGAAGAAGGAACTTAAGAAGGAACTGGAATCATATGGTCCCAAGGGACCCAGTTGGGACTTTGTCACCTTCTATGAAGAGCTGTGCAGAAGGTTCCTCAAAGGAAGAATAGAAGAACCATATGGAACTAATTTATTGGCCAGCTCAGAGTCCTTGACATTTTTATCCTGGAACTATGGCAACATGGTTCGTGGTCAAAAGTACACCACACCAAGGTTTCTCCAAGGACTTGATAGTGCAATGAGGCCACGCAAACAGAGCGCCATGTCACTTCAGAATGAGCAATTGGAGAACAATCTTTTCTTCAACATGCTTTTCTTTTTACGTGCACATGTCGTGATTCTCCAGGAAGCTCATCTTCTTGTTCCTGCCAAGGAATTTATTGAGCAAAAGAATTGGACAGTTTGTTTCAATGATTGGGAGAATCTTGCAGTGATGGCCAGATTGGCACCAGGTGGATATGTCAAGATCATTGCTGGACATGATCAAGAACTTGGTCATTGTGAACAGCGTGATGTAACTTGGGCTATCTACGAGATTTGTTTTGGAGAAACAAGGCCTCGTCAAGATTTCAAGGATGCAGACTTTGAATTTGATGACTATGGTCCTGAGGACAAGCGTGTTCCACTCACTCGAGCGAACATGCATACCATCAGAGTCTGTAATTATCATGTTGATACACACCGTGCTGTAGATGCCCACCTACTGACAGGAGAACAGACAGCATTGATGCTTTACGAGTGTTTTGTCTATGAGGTGGACATCATTTCTGGTGATGCAAATAGTTTGGCCTACAGAATGTCTGGGTACAAAAGGCAGCCAATGGCTAACTACTATTACAGCACCATGCAGCATTGGATCCGCAGGTTTTCAGAAGCTCGTGTAAAAGCAGATCCTGGTATCAAAGCACCTATTCCCAGAACATTTTACAGTTCAACTTCACAGGTCCTCAAGAAGTGTGAAGTTTACTTTGATAAACTCTGGGAAGAATATTCTACGGTTGAAAAAGAAGAATACCAAGGATCACAGCTTGGCGATACATGTTTGTCTACCATTGTTGAATGGGGTCATTCAATGAGTGAAGAGGAATATGAAAATTCCACAGTGAGCACGAAGGAGTTCATCTGTAATTTTTCAGAGAACTTTGCTATGATTGACACGGAGGTTATGTGCTCAAGGCCCACTGACGAGGACAGTCATGGTCCAATGTTTATTTCACTCAGACCAGCTTCCTTTTCATCTGGAGACAGAAGACAGTATCGCATGGGAGCAACGCTTCATGAGTCGAACTTGCGGAGGAAGGAGAGACAGAAGCAGAATAGAAAGAAAGGAAGGCCGCCAACTTCTGATCAAGCAACTTCATCGTTTGCAGCGGCATAATTCCTGAGCGAAGGCTGAAATTTAAATGATGGCTAGGAAGTGAAGATACTTCTGGTTACAGTTGATACTTTGCTTCCAGGCTTGACTTTAAGTTTCCAGGCTGAAGTTTTAATGAACTCTGGTTTGCAACCAGGAGAAACTTTTTATCAAAGAAGATACTCCTGCATTCCAGGTTTATACGCTTTAGCATGTAGATAGGTATGGACAGTTTTACATAACTGATGATATCTATCATCATCGCTCTTATGAAGTGACCTCTAATGGACAACCAGTCATGGTTGATGATTAAGTCATTTCATGATTTGCAATTGTAGTGCAAAATTTTTGTACATACATTTGCCGGTATCTCCTTCTTGTGTTTTTGATGTGAATGTGAAAGAGAGTCCTTTTGATGCAGTTTTATTTTGTCTGTGAATGAAAGCGGTCGAGACCACGTCACGAGAAGATTATTCCTCGGACCGTACGCTCCTTGCATTTTGCAAGGCATCCTAATTCATTGCAATTTGTGCGGTCTTGAATTTTTAGTTCTTTGTTACGCGAGTGTCGTTTGATTCTTTTATAGGTCTCTGTAGAGAAAAAGCCGCTTTCCCTTTTTAGTTTGATTTAGCTCAGGCCATAAAGAGCTAGTGAGCGCCGGTACATGGTATCTCCGCCTGCGAAAAGTACAGTCTCCAGCCGAGGTACATTATCGTTTTGATTTTGTACTTGAGGTGAGTCAGCTATTGCTCCCTCACTGTATTTAGTAGCTATGAGATTATCTTCTCCAAAGTGTGAAACACACTGGATTAGATAAGTACATGGCACCGTAGTTTTCTTTTAAGTTGTCAGAGCTAGCTGGACTGTTTTAGCCTTGCAGTAGGAAAAGAGTATGCGACATACGCAATCAGCTAGAAGTGGACATGAATCTTGTGCCTGCTGAAAAGTAGAGCCTACCTGTACAGGGTTCCACTCCAACAGCTGATATAGTGTGTCCATGCTTGACTGCTTCAAGGCTCAAAGAGCAAGAGGATAAGACTCTGCGCATAAAAGACACTAGCGGTCTGCACCTCTACCGTGTACGCCCTAGTCACTCTTTCACCCCCCCCCTGGATCAAATCCCCCCTGCGCCGGTTCACGCCGTCGTGGACTTCTACCAGGGTTACTTGTGATTGCCTGCTATCCTGTAAACATAGGTTATCAGCCGTATAGCCTTAGGCCCGTAGTATTGCTCCCGCGTCATTCGCAGCCATGGACTTATCTCTGGATCCAGGGGCCCTCGCGAGGCTGGCTGCGCCGTACAGTGGTGCGGATGGGCGTGAGAGCGCGGGTGGAAACCCCGCCGCTTTCCATCTGCCGTTGATGGACCCGGGCGTCTCGTTCACACCAGACGGAGGATCCAACATGTCAACTGACGGAGGGGGAGCGGGTGGGAACACCGCGCCGGTGTTCAATCAGGCTAATTTTTCCTTTGTGAGCACGCCTCCAGCTGTACTCGCGGAGATGATGCGCCAGGCCACACAAAATCAGCAACTTGAGGGGCAACGAGCAGAACTAATGCTCGCAGCACAGAGACTCCGAAACGAGGCTGATGAAGCGTTCTCTGAACATGAGGAGATGAGGGTCCAGGCGAAGTTATTCATCACCGCAGCCGAAGCTGGATATCAAACACTACAAGAGCAGGCTCAGACTCAGTTCATGGAAATGTCCATGAATCACCGTCAGCATATCGCTGGAATCGAAATGGTTCAGAGTCAGAAGGTCTCATCCCTCGAGATGAACTTGGCACAGCAACAACAAGCGTCTATGGATTTGCAAAGGCGGCTAACTGAGACGGAATCAATCCAGGCGCAACTCCTGAAGGAGCTTCGCGAAATGAAGCAACGGAAGGATGATGCGCCGGGCGTTCCGGAAGGAGCTGCCGAACTTCGTGAGTCCATACCAGTGCATGAGGCACCACCTGCAGGTTTGTCCCAGCACGATGATGTTAGATCACTAAGAACTGCTGAATTGTTCGGTACTCCATCCCTTAAGTCTCAACCCGGAAGCGTATTTTCCCCTAACGCTGCAGTTTTCCAACCGGTGAGTCCATGGAATGATGGGTACGTGTCATTAGCAGCACATGCATTGTCGGGCAACTTCGGAAGGGGCGGGCCAGGTAATGGTGGTGGTGGACCGCCAGGAGGGGGAGGAGACAATCCTGGTGGAGGTCGTTCATCAGGTGACCCGAGTAATCCTGGGCGTCCAGGCATTCCGCTTCTCAAGATTCCCAAGTCGGGGGGTGGACCACCTGGACCTCCGGGGGATGACAGCGACCCAGACGGAGGAGATGAGTTTGACGATGATGACGATGAATTGACAGACAAGGCTCTTATGAGGAAGCTCAAACAGATATTGGGGGGAAAGAATAGAACCATATCCACGAAGGAAGCTGACCATATCAAGATACCTTCTTTTCCACAACCTGAGAACTATCGCAACTGGAAAATCAGGGTGAGGGACGCGGTGAGGGCCGCATCGTCCAAGCCTGACAAAGCGTTCTCATGGATCAACAAGGTCTGGATTGAAGGTCAAACTATCGAAGGTCTGGCAAGTCCCGACGGGTTCACTACCCTTGATGCCAAGCTCCTCGCCGCACTGTCGTCCATCGCCACAGGTGAATTCGCACGCAAGGTTGACACGTTCAAGGAGAAGGAGTCCCAGAAAGATCGTCCAGTACGGGGGAGACAGGTGTTACTCATGATGCATGAATACTTCAGCACTAATATCAAACATGGAGCCACCTATTCCCTCAGTGATCTGTTCAATGTGAAAATGAAGGGCGACAATCTCAAGACTTTCTTGACGAACTGGGATTCAGTCACTACCGGTGTCACTCATTTGCCTGAAACCACAGTCTTGGAAACTCTATTCTACCAACAAGTGAAGAATCACAGGGCAATCGCCCATGACATTGAGGAGTACCACCGGGCCGAAGAGGGAAGTTCAAAGCACTGCTATCAATTCCTGTATGACGCTGTTCGCAGACATCTCATGAGGGAAAGGCTAGAAGACAATCGGGGACGGATTGCCGCTAGTGTTGGAGGTGCCAAGACGTCCGCCCCTGCGGCCGACGCGCGCACACCATTCATCCCCAGGGGGTTTTGTGTTCAGTGGAACAAAGGGGGTTGTAGCAAGGAGAACTGCCCATTTAAGCATGAAGTTCCCAAGAAACGGGAGAAGAGTGCCACCAAGAGTCCTAGGGGGCGCTCCCAGTCCAGAGGAAAGGAGAAACGGGACACCTCCAAGATTGCGTGCAAGTTTTGGAAGGCTGGACGCTGTAAGCGAGGGGACAAGTGTGAATTCTCCCATGAAGGTCAGCAACGACCCAGGAAGGCAACTCCTGCGAGATCGCCCTCACGAGATTCCCAGAAGAGTGACAAGAGCAAGAAAGACAAACGTCGAAAGAAGAAGGGAGACCGATCTCAGTCGAGGGGCTCCAGTGGTTCGCGTAAGTCTGGAGGCTCTAGGTCCTCAAAGGGTTCTCGTGGTTCGAGGGGCAGTGCAGGTAAGTCCACTCCCGCAGCAGTATGTCTGGTTGCATCGATGCTCGCATCCGTCGTCGATGGCCTCTCGTTGAGCGGCCCAACATCCATGTTGGATCAGATTGGGATCAACTTCAATAAGAGCCAGGCGGCCTGGGAAGGCGAGCCACATATTGCATGTCCAGGGGTGTCATTTAACCTCAAGCCCGATATCACTAGGATTCATGCATGGGGCAGACTTGATCCTTTTGTTTCGGAACCATCTAAACCGAAGAAGACTTTCCCAGCAAGCTATCAGACCAAGCCCAACGTTCAAGCAGTTGATGATTCGATCTTGACAGCACGCATGCTTCAGGGAGCAGTGTCCGGTTGGCTGAAGGGTATCAAAACAGACTGTAGGTACATGTGTGACTCAGACCTAGGTTGTGACTCGTGCATTCCTGCTGATATTGTTGCATTGCCCGCGTCCTCTCCGAGGGAGGTCAAATACTTCCACCATTCGCATGAGGACTGGATCGCAGACACCGGAAGCGCTCAGGACCTGTTGACCCGACATGACATCCCTGATGAATTCCAATATCGATCGGACCGGCCGATTGCTATCATCACAGCTAATGGTCATAGTTCGTCGAACCTTCAGGCCAAGGTGTATAACGACACATTGAGTTGTAGGTTTGATCCGTATTTGCTCGAGTCGACACCACCGGTCATGTCTGTCGGAATGAGATGCGTTGATCAAGGTTATGATTTCATTTGGAGATCCGGCAAACCACCCTATTTTAGGAAGCCGGACGGAGAGAAGATAGAGCTCGTGGTCAGGGATTACGTCCCCTACATTCCTGCCAGGGCCAAGTCAAATGCCAATCCGTGTACTCCCAATCCAATCGATCGGCCCCGCTCGACTTCGTCTTCCACATTGGCTCCTACGTCTCTTCATCCCATAGCTCCTGGACGTGGTACAGCTGTTCCTGCTGAACCGGCATCGGCCTCGGGTGATGACGGGATGAATGTGTTGAAAGAGAGCCCAGAGAAGGATGAAGCGGGCCGGAAGGCTACGCCGGAGAAAGAGAAAGAAGCACCGAAGGGCAGTGCGGACCGGAAGGTCTCGCCGATGGATGATGTTGATGATGATGTTCCGAAGGTACCTGCCGAAGGCAACTTGGACAGGAATCTGGGAAAGGGGATATCATTGTTGAAGAGAGAGGCCAAATCACTTGGGCATCTTGTGAGCCATCACCCCAAGAACCCATATTGTGACGTTTGCAACAAAGCAAAAATGGCTAAGCCTCCATCATATCGGCAAGACGGGTCCTCAATAGTTGACGCCAAGAAATTCGGTGACCACATTACATGTGATTTTCTCATTACCGGTCATGAATATGAAATGGGAATCGATGAAGAGAAGTGTGCATTGATTGTCAAAGACATATATTCCAACTTCATGTATGTGTATCCCAGTGCTAGAAAGAGTGCCGAATCAGTCATCTTGGCTATGAAACACTTTGTTTCGAAAGATGATGAAGTGGGAATTTGTTATTCCGACAACGCTCCTGAATTGATCAATGCCATGAAAGAGCTGAAGTGGAGACATGTACTATCAAAGGCATACATATCCACCAGTAATGCCGTTGCGGAAAGGTCGATCCGAACCGTGCTTGAAGGAACTCGTGTGAACCTCTTGCAATCCGGTCTCAACCACGGATTTTGGCCTTATGCTGCACGTCACTGGTGCGTCATGAACAACAATCTGTATGCTCTGGATGGAACTGCCTCTCCATGGGAGCTGAGATTCGGGGAACAATCACCTATTAAGTGTTGGCCTTTTGGGTGCATGGTGAACTACTGGAATGGTCCCAAAAAGAAACCCAAAGATGAGCTGAGGTTCGATCCCACATCAAGTGCAGGGGTCTTCGTTGGTTACATCGTTCACCCAGGGTTTCAATGGAGGACAGAATATTTCGTAGTTGATCTCAAGTCGGCCAAAGCAGATAAATACGAGGATATGCATCAGATCAAAAGGGTCATTCGCATCGACGTACCTGAACCGTTCACCTTCCCTCTGAAGGATCGCAAGGAAATGGTTCGAAGAGGAGAGATCACTGACGCGGCCGAAGAGGAAGTCGAAACAGTCCTTGAAGTCCAAGATGCTGTCGAGAGTGCCGTCCCAAACCCAAAGGCGGAAACACTTGAGACATCGGACACCATTCTTCCGAAGGGACCAGTTCTCCGAGGATCTGGTGCCCGAGCAGTCTGGAATCAGGGCTGGTTAGCTTTCATCGGAAGCGGAATCAGTGATGGATGGTGTGACTACGCCGAATGTAAGGTCAAGTGCAGCCCCTGTGAGGGGAAGTTCCTCGACCCTCGTGCAGAAGTAAACACCGAGCAATACTCCTATAGGACCACTCTTATGCACTCCGATGAGGAATCATGGCATGTTGTAGAATCAAATGCACTCATACATCCATGGGATAGGTCAATGGACGGATTGCTTGAGGTGGTCGGTGCCACTATAACTATTCTGTCGAAGAATGAACTTAATTTGCAAACCCCGGATGCAACACCGAGCACATTGCCGGCTCCTTCTGAGATTGAAGTCTTTAACCCATACACCAGCAAAGCAGAAATGATTCGTAGCGATGACCCCAAGTTTTATGACGCGGGGGGTTCAAGACCAGAAGATATCAGGGATCCAGCAAACCCAAGGACATTCCATCCTTTGTGTGGCAATCAATGTCGGTGAAGCAACGGAGACTTGCAATCGCAGAAGAGCAGAAGAAACTAGCTAGAGTTGCTGACATGGCTACACTGCCTAACACTCCGAAACATGGGCTGTTGTTCGCGTCTCGGAAGGGAACGCCGGATCATCATCACCATCGCAGGATGCCGAAGATGTTCCCAAGATGCCCGTTTGCGGGTACAGCGTACAGAGACATCGTGACAAGCTCATAAAGGTTGGTAGGCTTCAGGGCGAGAAGGCAATCAACACTCTCGTTGCCAGACCAGTCAATCGGAAGGAAATAAGGTCGAACCCCAAAGCACAAGCATCCCTAGATGTCGAATGGGTGAAGTTGGAGAAGAAAGATGCATGGCTTTATGACACGGTTCAAGAGTGGAAGGATGTAGCTTCAAAGGCCAAGAAACAAGGCAAGAAGGTCCACATAGGGAAAGTGTTCGAGATCTGTGTTGAGAAAGGTAGCGAACTGCCCCCGGGACATGAACTTCGCAAGTTTAAAGGCCGCACGGTTTTCCAAGGGAATAATGTGCGGGATGAAAACAGCGATGTTGCTTTGTTTAGCGAACTCGGGTCATCCCCCGCGACAATGGAAGCGGGCAAAGCTGTTGATGCCTACGGGGCACAGCCAGGATTTACAACTGAGCAAGCAGATGGCAAGCAAGCTTACACACAAGCTCTCATGAAGGGAGTTGAGACATGGGTTGAACTCCCCAGGGACCGTTGGCCTAAGTCATGGGTAGGAAAATATGACAGACCTGCCTGTAGGCTTCGCATCGCACTCTATGGACACCCTGACTCCGGGGGGCTATGGGAGCAGCACTGTACGGACATGTTAGTAGCCGTTGGATTCGCCATGCCTGATCCTGAGGGTTGGCCATCGGTGTTCTTCCATGCTAGTCTTCGTTTATTGCTCATTGTTTATGTTGACGACTTCAAGATGTCTGGGCCCAAAGACTCGTTGCGGAAAGGATGGAGCTTGATCGCCTCCAAGATTGACCTCGACACCCCGGGACCTGTCGGGAGATACTTGGGGTGTGAACACATCTACAAGCGGGGAGTAACTCTGCCAGTAGAGGCACATCCATTTGCACACGTGTTCGACAAACGAGTTCCAGATCCCGCCGCAAAGACTGCCGCGGCAGGAGTTCACAGAACACAAGATTTTTGGGAACATCATCCTGATAGTCCTGTTTACGCAAGACACCACGTCCAACCCAGAAAACAAATGTTTGTACCTGAAGAGTCCCTGATACAAGAACTAGGTCTGTCCAATGTCCGTTGCACGTACTTTGATGAGTGCGCGCCGGAAGGCGGAGCCGAGATTCAATGGGATCACATCACTGACAGGAAACGAACACCATCATTATGGACGGGTGTCACTTATCTATTCACCAAACTATGCGGTGACCCAAAGCTTGCTCTTGCTGGAGTCACTCGCGACAAGGGTAGTGCAAAGAAAGCCGCAAGAAGTCAGAACTTTTCGTACTTAGACCAACTTCATAATACCAACGCTTGTATGACCAAACCAGTCACTGTTGTTACTTATGATATGGAACCTTTCCTGAAGTCATGTGTCGACCGGTATGTCGCGCTGGCAGGAAAGAATGCTCAGTCTTTGCGCAAGGTTGCCACTCCTTTCCATGAGGAGCGTATCGCTCGTCCCACAGTGGAAGGAGAGGAGAAGCCAGGAGTCCTCGCACCCATCGCAACGAGAGTCCTCATGAAAGTGCTCTTCGCTGCACGCATGGCCCGTTTTGATCTACTCCGGGCGGTGCAGGGCCTCGCAGCTCGGGTAACCAAATGGTCCACCGATTGTGACAAAGCGTTACATAGACTGATATGCTATATCAATTCAACTGTTGACTACAAGATGCATTGTTTCATTGGAGACGATGTCAGTGAGTGTCGACTATGGCTTTTTGCCGATGCGGACCATGCAGGTGAATATGATAGCAGGTCTACTAGCGGTTGTGTTCCAGTACTTGTCGGACCCGAAGTTGTTTCAGCAAATGTCTCCCTCCGCTCTGTCGGTCTTCCTTCCTCCGGTTTATGGGCACACCTCCAGCAGGCGGGGGGAATCACACCCTCCAAATCGCGTTCATCTTCAAGCAAGCTGGAAAGTTTGCCGCAAGAGAGAGTGAGGACAGAGCCCGATAAGGATGGAGACTACTGGATATATGAACCATTACGAAGATGTTTGAGTAGGGTCCATGTAAAACCCAGATCTCACTTATATGTGCCGAACGACTCGAAGCCATGCCCCGTGTCAATCAACCGTCTCGGACTGGCCAGAACCACCCTTATGATCGATGACAAGGGAAACCTTGATCTGAAGCAGGACAATTGGAAGTCCAAGGGTGACTACCCAATCCGGGGGGAATGGAAGGGAAAGACTTTATTTCGGGTATACGGCCCAAATGACGTTGACTATAAGGTGGAGTCACAAGAGATCCGTGAATCGCTAACTGATTGGGAATTCCTTGGCATGGAACGTGAAGGATCCCTAGACCTTACCCTGTTCGCTCCCAAATCGATCGAAGGTGTCTTCATTGAGGATAATCAAGCCACGATCCGAATCCTCGAATCGGGCAAATCCCCATGCAAAGATGGGCCCCCCTAGTTGGAGAACTTGTAAAGTGCCGTAACATATGTTATAACATGGGTTAACTGATGTTGTAAGCTGGTCTAAGATTGTGAAGTGTTCTAAGTTCTTGGTGGTATTTACGTTGCAGTTACAAATTACTTTCGATATATATAAGTAAGTTATCCTAGTTTATGTTGGAGGGTGCTAAACTAGTGCTAAATCACTTACAACTTACTTAGGGAACTTAGGTTTTTGCATTGAAAAAACTATGTTTTTTGTGGACGGGTTTGCAGAGAAGCGTTTTTCAATGCTTTTTGGTGTACTCTTCTTTTTTGTGTAGAACTGAGACTGATTAGCAAATCTTTGTATTTTGTGTTGTTTTGGAAACATTTTTTCTGTTTTTATGGGCGCGATTGTTTTTTATGTTTTAGTCGTGAAAAATTTGTGGGGTGGTGGTCCACCCGTATGACAGAGTAGTACTTTGCACACAGAAACACATAAATATGCAACACGCACACGTAGTAGAATATAGTGTAACGAATCCATTATGTAGGCCATGGAACAACTAGAAGCCATTAAGCTGGATCACGCCCCAAAATTGAGGAGTAGATCCTTGCCTGTCCGTGACGCATCACAAGACGCACACACACACAGTCCCTCAAAAGATCTGATGTAACCTGATGAACAAGAGGCTATATGTACAGTACATCTACCGTACATTACCGTACATTCCCGTACATCTACCGTACATTACCGTACATCTACCGTACATTACCGTACATCTACTGTACATATAGCCTCTTGTTCATCAGGGTGCACCGCGTTTTTTGGGCACCGGCCACAACTTTTTGGACGGACCACCGCGATCAAAATTTTTGGACGGACCACCGCCATCAACTTTTTTGGACGGACCACCGCCTTCAATTTTTTGGACGGACCATCGCCTTCAATTTTTTGGACGGACCACCGCCCAGCGTGTTCCTAACACACAGATGTAGGTCATTGTGTGTGTTCTGTTTTTCTTACGCGCTTTGATGGTTTAAAGTAGAAAGTGTTTTTCTTTTAGCGCGGTGGTGGTCCACCGAAGAAATTCGAAGCGCATTTTTTGCTTTTTTTGTGTTGCTTTTTGCTTTTCTTCAGCAAAGCGGCGCGGTGAGTGTTCTACATTAAAAACCCTTGCAACAGCAGCGCTTTCCCAGGTAAAAAGCATAGTTGTTCGATGTCCTTCGGTTTGGGCCTTGCTATTGGGAAACCTGAAAAAACATAGTTTTTGAACATCAAAAATCACCAATTAGAACTTATAGAACTTAAAAATAGTTACATTTAAGTTACATCTTACTTACGAAGCCCTCCGGCTAACTTAGTTTTAAGTAATTTGTAACTTCACCAAGTAAGTTACAAGTGTTTTAACTAGGGGGGCCCATCTTTGCAGCTTTTAGGCACACCGACAAAACACAGAGAGTCAACCTCTCGTGGCTTGAGGAGCAGTTCAGACGTAAATGGTACCGGTTGGTTCACGGCCCAACCATTCTTCAAGCAGCCGATATCTTTACGAAGCCTTTCACGAACTCCGAGAAGTGGGGTACGGCGTTGAAACTGCTGTCCATTCGTGACAAACTGCCCATTGGCCGATCGCAGGTACGATCTACTCCAGCGAAGCCAAGCGTGGCGGAAGCGCACGCCGTGTCTGACGCTCAGAGAATGCTAGTCGAAGTATGTTGTGATCAAGACTCAAAGCTAAGTGATAGGAATAGATCTGCTGCTGAGGGATGCAGGGTGCTGCAGTTTACTGAAGAATTCGACTTTAACAGTAGCAGCAATCGAAGGCTCATAATCGCCCAAGTCAAGCATCACATTCAAGCCCACGGCGTGGAATCTGTACTCGTTTGGGTTAGCCTACCCTGCACGGGGGGCACTCCGTGGACGTATATCAACTTACGCCACCCAACCGGAAGCCGGAAAGTAAAGCAGCATCGTAGGAAATTTGCTGTCCTATGGACAAGTTTGGTCGAGTTTCTGTCAGTCCTTCCCAAGGTCCATGTTGCCATTGAATGGCCGAGGGGATGCACCTATTGGGGCTTACCCAAAGTCAGAAAGCTGATCGATAAACTCTGTCTCGTGTCATACCACTTCGATGGGTGCGCTGTGGGGCTGAAGGGCAAGGATAATCTCCCTATTAAGAAGCCTTGGACAGTTGCTACCACTCATGAAGGCATAGGTAAGGCTTTGAGCGAGTTTCAATGTAGCTGCAACATTCAACATGCCGAAGGAAGAGGAAAGTTCTTGAGAGAGACTCAATCATACACTTATATCATGACAGACGCCATTCATGCTGCGTTTCGTAGCCGCATTCAGAGCTCTCAAGCTATCTCGACTTGCTGTGTCGCCACTTTGTTTGGTCCTGCCGACATGAAGCACATGGCTGTGAACTTTGTGCCGCAGGTGGAGGCCGATGTGATGCCCACTGTCCGCGATCGCATTGCGGCGTGGGAGAAGGTCTCCACTGACCTTCGTGCTGCCTGTGTGAAGGTGGCATTCGGTGAGGATCCCGAGGCTCACGTCCGCCGTTTGGCTTCCATTCGCCAGCCGATTGGGGTAGCCATCCGCGGAACGCTCGGAGGTGGCAGCGCTCAGGGATCGTTCGGTGAGATCGCCGACTTGATGGAGCGCGTGCCGGAGTGCCTATTGGCGCAGCTGTCGAGCGGGCCGGAAGGCTCAGCCGATTTGCTTATTTGTGGTGATAGCTCCTTCGCTGTCATCCGTCAAAAGTTCATCGGACCAATGATTAAGCCTGAAATCACGAGAATGGATTTGGCCCAGTTTTTGAATCAAGATTCTATGGCATGGTGTACCCGAATCCGCTCGAGGGTGGAATGGGGCCGTGGCCTGAATCGAATTGTGCCGGCAATCGAGGAAGAGCTGCAGGAGATGGCCGAGCACAACAAGAAGAACGGCAACCCGAGCCGGAAGGTAGTCGTAATCGTCCCCTGGAGTGGCAATGATGTCTATGGGGACTACGGCTACGCCGGCTGTAAATGGATCAACCAAAAACGATTCCTAAAAACCGAGGCGGACCGGAAGGTCGCAGCCGATTGGCCGTACGCTCAACTATCCCGAGTACGAGCGGGTGTCGAGCGGTTGATTGAGCTGCGAGCCCGATCCGACATAGCCGAATTAGTGGTTGTCGGAAACGCCCCGGCAGAGGACTACGACTTGCCGAAAGCATACAACCGGCATCTCGGGGAGCACTACGGATACCTGATATCGAGAGGTGTTCCGTGTGTGGATCCAAGCACGATGACGAACCAGGTCTTCTACCACGATCAATTCCACATGATCGAGTGCTACCAGACCCTCAAATGGGGCGTCGCCGTCTACTCCGGCATTGCTACCAGCGCATTTCGGACCTTCCAAGTGATGCAGTACAAGGAAGAGATTGAACCGTTGACCATCCTGAACGCCGGTGAAGGCGAGGGAGATTTACAGTTGATGGAGTTCATGTTCAGGTACCCTATAATCTCGGAAGTTCGAGCTGCAGCTGACTTGATGCTTGCCGGAAGGCGAGCCGTGGATCAAATCGAATTGAGCCCGGCCGACATTGTGGACGCAGTTGACCAAGAGATAATGAATTGGTTGCTGCAAGAGGAAGAGACGGATGTCGTGCGCCTGAAAGATACCAGCCACGTGCTGGCTCAGGAGATGACCCCGGATGACCTGTTGCGATTGCCCATCGACGCAGAAGAATTGGACGAAAGTGAGCACGATGAGAGGCATCGCATCATTATGAAAGAGCTGTACCCAGACTTGCCAACTCCCATGGGGGGCCAAGAACTCGTGGAAGAGTTCCCATGGGAAGTCCCAGACGAAGGAGATACGCTCGACTTCGATGAGTGGGAACGGGCCCTCGAGGAGAAAAAGAAGAATCCGGATGCCAGCTCATTCATCCCGCCAGTTGAGGTGCCGCTTCCGCCACCGAAGACTGAGGAAGAAAGGGCAGATGATGAAGCCTTTGCTGATGTTCGCACCGAAAAGTCCTATGTGATCGTTGAGCATCCCGAAGAGGAACAACCAGACTGGGACGATGATGATGCGGACTCGGTGGTATTCAAGTCTGCGAGTCTGCGAGGGGTTCAGAGACGGGCGAGGCCGATAAGCCCGAACCCATGGAGGTCGACGAAAAGGCCCAAGGGGAGCAGAAGATGGCGGATGAAGAAGCCGCTCCCGAAGGCCAAAACGACGTCGATCAACCAGCTGAGGAATCCCAGGGCGGGGAAGCCAAGGAGACTCCGGGCCAGGCTCGTGAAGAAAAGACTCAAACTGATGATGCCCAGCCAATGGAGATCGACCTGACTGGTGAGGATGACGCGGAGGAGGGAAAGCCGAAGAAAAAGCCCTCTGCCACGAAGCCCCAGAAGCCAAGCGTGCCGGAAGGTTCGCCGAAGCCAGAACTCACAGAGCTAGAAAAGGCCGCTGCTGAGGCCAAAGCTCACTACGAGGAACTGAGCTACGTCGACGAGAAAACCGGCCGAATCGTGGTGAAAGGGGAACAGGAAGAGGGGGACGCTCGATTCAAGAAGTGGAAAGAAGCAGAGCGGCTTGCTATTCGGCCCAAGGCGCAGCCGAAGCAGGTGAGGCATCCTAATCTGGAACCCACCTTGCGGGCAATCGACACCGAAGATCCCAGTAAGGATCTCGAATTTGCCCAGCTTCCGGGACAAGAGGTTTGGCTAGGTCCCGAGCACCTTCGCCAAATCCCGCGCCGGGATGTTGAGTGGGGCCGTTTTCGGTGGATCTCCCAAGAGCTCACATCCCACCTCCGCGGCCATAAGGAACTGAAAGGGTTCGACACGCCGGACTTCGAGGAGGACGGCAGTAAGCCCTGGAAGCCGCTCATGGAATGCCTCCAGAAACGCATTAACCAATGCAGGGAATGGGAGGTGCTTCTGGTGATCAAGAATTCGGAAGACGAAAGATTCGAGTTAAAGACTCGCCTGCCAGGCAATACTGTGGGAGCGACCTGGAAAGGTCTGCCGTACGAACCAGTCGGTATCAAGGCGGTGCAAGGCCACAACCGGTGGGTCACTGACCGGTTGGGACACGCCAACTTCATTAAGCGTGTCTATTCCCTTGACCCCGACTATGTACCGAAAATGGTCGATGAGGGCAAGCTTCCACGGATGAACATGGTGCCTGACCAGGAGTATCTGTCGTCACTACCAAGGGTATAGTCGTGCGACCGCGCAGCTATGGAGGGAATCATCACCTCCGGTCTCATCCCTGGTGGTTTTCCAAAGAAGACGGGCCGAGCTCACAATTATTTCACGACCTGCCCGCCATGGAAGGCCCAGATGAGAAAGCTTGCGGGAACGCGAGCCGGACAACCCATTTACCTAGCATTCGACACAGAGCTTATGATGCAGCATGGTTGCCGGGTCTTCGCGACACGGAAAAGCATCCTCTGTTTGGACTGGGTTCCGAATTCCGCACTGATGTACGCGTACGATGCCCGGAACAACCAATTCGTCTGGTTCAACAGGGCGTACGCCAAGATGCGACAGATGTACCATGAAGAAATGAAGAGCCATTCCACCGACGATCCACAGTTCCGACTGAGCAAGCTGGCTGAAGCCCGAAACTACATGCTGAACAATGCTCGCCAGAATCAGCAGCACGTCAAGGTGGGCCAGGTCAAAGAGCCAAGCGTCCCGGGAGGGTCCGCCGCCAGTGCTTACCGGCTTTATGCTGGGACAAGTGTGCATCATCATCAATGAGGAGATGTCTGGCTGGGCAGGAAAGGGCGAATCAAAGGGCAAGTCCAAGGGCAAGAAGGGCAAGGGCAAGGGGAAGTTTCGCGACATCACGGACGAAGATCTGATGGCGAATGAGATTGTCCAGATCCCCAAGCGGGTGTGCCCATCACCCTTGTGTGCGACGAAGCACTTTGATGGCCAGCACAAATGCGACTACTGTCGTCAAGACTTGCAGGTCTGGTCCGACGCCCGATCGGCCAGTGAACTTGCCCGGATGGAAGAGACGGCCAACCTCAACGAATCCGTTGTCGCTTTGGATCAGCTTTCAACAAGATCCTTTCGCAAGGCGAACGTCGTCAAAGACACGTCCAAGGGCGAACAGCAGCGCGGCGCCAAATCGGCGTTCGGCCTAGTCAAGAGACTGGCCGTCAACTACGTCAGGAAGGCGAAGCAGCTGGGATTGCCCGGACCGACGAAGCGACTGGAGGTTGACCCGTTGTTTGCCTACAACTGTGCAACAACGCAGCTCACGTCAGGGTCACTCACCTTTCTTCACCGGCTTGCACGAGCGATCTTTGCCAACCCCGGTCGAAGCGCTCTCGAGCGGAAGAGGGCCCTTGACGACCAAGAAAGGGAGCACCACTCCAAGTTGTGCTTTATCCCCACCATTGCCAGGGACCCGAACGATGCCATGTCGATCGAAGACGAATCGTTCGTATGTCATCACAATCGTTTCTTCAATCTGAAGCAATTTTCGATGTGGTGCTCGCTGGCCCGCACACGCAACGAACCTGTCGTTGCTGTGGAGGGATGGGGAAGCCTGGAGTGCGTGCCGGAAGGCGACGCCGTGCAGATCCTGAGCGATTTAGTGGAATTTGCCGAGCGCAATTGGGCTCGAGCCTGCGAGGGAACCGAGTACTCCGACACGACGATCTTTTCAGGACGGTTTCCAGAGGTGAAGCTCACCGAGCGGCGATCCACTGCAAAGGAAAGCGCGAAGACGGCCTTCGATCCTCGCTCAAAAGGAGTCGGGAAGGACGCCAAGCTCTGTTACGAGTGCGGCTCACCCGACCATCGTGCCCGCGACTGCCCAGAAGCAAAGGGTCGCAACAAGGGCAAGGGCAAAGGCAAGGGGAAGAGCCAGTACCAAGGAGGCTGGCAGAGCAGCTGGAACCAAGGATGGGGAGGTTCCTGGGGCTCCGGTTCATGGGATTGGAACCGCTCCGGGCGATCCTCATGGCAGAGTGAGGCTGCCTCGTCATCTTCCTCCGACTGGTGGTCCTCGTCCAAGGGAGGCTGGTGGAACCGCTGAAAAGCCATGAAGAGAAGGGAGAAAGAAGCAGAGAATATCGTTTCGCCATGCGGACCGGAAGGTCACGCCGGAAATTAAATTCGTTGGTGTGATACATCCAAAGTCCCTATGAAGCGAGCGGGAACGCTCTGCCGTAAACCCTTCAATCAGCTCATCTTGCATTTAATTCAATGGTTTGTGCAATCTGTGTACGCTTTTCTCGAGCATGGAACGGTAAGAGTTCCCAGTGAGACGAGCGTGCCGGAAGGCACAGCCGTTGTTCTAGTGAGAAACCTCATTGCTTATCGCAATTTTTTGAGGTCAGTCGCCATAGCTGCTCAGGCGAAGACTTGTCGCATGCTCCACGTCAGTGAAAAGGGATCGATTGCCTCAATTTTGCTTTCGTCTTGCATTGTTAAGTAGGAGTTTGATTACATTCGTGCCGACATGCATCATTCGCAAGCAGTAGTTCGAGGGTTGTAGAGCGGTTTGATTTCATCGCCGCCTGAGGTTGATACGTGGACACTGAACGACTTCCTCTTCGGTGCACCGCGGCAAAGCCGCTTCGCGCCGCGGGGGGTGTTTTTATTAAGTGTTCCACGTATACTATGTACAATATACCTCTCGACCATCGATCTTTGGCTCAAGTGAAAAGGTGGGCGATATTGGCTGGTTTCCTGTAAACATACAAACTATCCACCCTCTAGGCAGTGTGGGAACTTCCAAGGCAATACAGTCATTTATATGATTGTTGCTATCATTTTCATTTGGATGGCCGCACTGAATCTGAGATGATTTCATTTCTTCAGAAGGCTCAGCGGCTCAGCCACTGAGCAAATGTATTAGAAACCTTCAATCACTCAACCATGAGCGGTCTTTTCAGTTTGCTTGGCAAGTGGACCTGAAGCTGCTGACTGAGCTCCGATTTGCGAAGAGAGCAGTTCTGTGAGAACGTTTGACGAATGGGAGACTGGGAGACCCCGTGAACACTAGAAGTCCTTTGCTTAGCAATGGAAATATTGCAGAATTATATATATATCCCCTTTCACTAGCAACACTAAAGTCCTTCATAGGAGTTTGGTAGAAGCTTCAAGGACATAGGATGACAGAACTTTGTGACTCATATGGCCATGGTAAGATTGGGATTGTGACTCTTATGCCTGCCACTCTTTCCGCTGTTTGGTTTGGACTCTGGACGATTGCGGACATGCGAGACGACGTGCGGATGACTCCCAATGGGTTGGTCATTCAAGGTACGAAAGAAAGATCTCGGAAGCGTTCGGAAGCAAAGAGATGTGTGGTCTTATGCCTGGAGGTTCTTGAAGCAGACACCGCAAAGTGAGCTAAAGAACAAACAGCAAGTTGTTACCGAAAGATCCAAGTCTATTTCAGTGTTCTCACAGTTCCTTCAACAAAAGAAATTGTGGGTTTTTGGTGTTGCAGAACAGCTCAGCGATCGATGAACTGCAATCAGCACTGAGATCGCCTGCTGCTTGACATTGAGTGCTCGTGCTGAGAAGAAAGGATGGATGTCGCCGCTGTCGCCCTGTGAAGTGCTTCTCAGAGATGGTCTCACACATGGAGCCTGTCTTGGGGGACGGATTTCTGCCGGTTTTCTGTGCAAAAGTGTTTGACAAATGTTTTCTTCTGACCCTCACTACTGTGGTTCCAGTCTGCTTTCCACCCGAAGCATCCGAACATATCGCATGTGTCATCGACCGACGCATGGCGCACGACGCGTTCAGCTACACCTGGCGGAGGGTAAAATCTGCCGAGGTTAGGGCTGTTTGGTGTTGACTCATGATAGGCACCAACATGAAGGGAGAATAATATGGATCTATTTTGATCTATTTAAACTTACACTTCATACACACGTATATGTAGATATGTGTATATATATAATAAGTAAAAAAAAAATATATTTACACATCATCATAGACAAAACCTGAAGTCAGCGTTCCCAAAACATGTTGTTTTTGCAGGTTTCCACGATTGCTGAACACTAGCATGTTCCCAACTACTCCGCACTAGTGTGTGACAGCAGGTGATGTTGAAGACACTTGTCGTCCAAGGGCCCATTGCAGGAATTTGGCCACCAGTTATGGGTCAAGGATAGCTCAAAGCGGAAAACCATTCTATCAAAATGGAAGCCATTCTCCTCTCAACTCCTAGGTCCGAGCCCTTGCTTTTCACACGCAGACTCGGGAAAATGCGTACTGACTGATTGCGGATTGCCACCTAAGTGAAAACCTAAGAAGACCAGGGTGCAAGTATGTCAAGCGGTCTAGAGTCCAACCATGAAGCTTCAAAGTCCTGAAGTTCCAAATCTCAAATTTCAATCATGCAAATCTGCAAGCCATAGTGCGTGACTGCCGTGAATGAACCGCTGCAAAGGCTAGAAATTGCTCTAGTTAGCGGGACCAATGAGGAAGTTCTCAGGTACAACGCAGGTATCGCAGGTATGCTGGGATGATCAGTCCCGGTATCACCAGGAAATCGAGAGTGTTTTCGTTTGTGGCTGACTCACCCACGGGAGAATGCTCGCAGCTTCGGCTCCAAGAAGGGTGCTTCGGGTGCTTCGTCAGCTCCGTGTTTGGCCCAGGCACCGGTGACGGTGAGAAACTGGGAGGGTAGGAGCAAGGACGCTACTAGTAGCAAAGGGCATCGCTACTAGTAACAAGGACGCTACTAGGGGCTCCTGGCATTACTACTAGGAGCAATGTTTGCTAGTAGAAACAATATATAGAATTTAATTAGAAGCGAGTCCTTTTCATTAAGGGCTCCTCAGCTTGAGTGGCGTGGGTTGAGTTTGAGAGAATTCTCTCTTGCTGCCATTGCATGTGGCTGTTCACTAAGGGGATGCAGATACCATATATTTTTTGCATCAATGGGGTTTGTGTCCGAATTGTATGTTTGGATTATTTTTGGAGAGGTCCGTTTGAGTCAGCGCTTGTTTGTGGAATGACTATAGGTTTAGACTCTAACTCACCAAATGCTTGCGAAGGCGTTTTTGTGATACACTGTGTCTGGCGAAGGCTTGCCAAGCCTTTGGTGTAGGCTCAAGATTTCACACAGGCGAAGCCAATCGAAGGTTAGAGTAGCGAAACCAATTCGCGAAGCCTCCGGTGTTGTGCGAAGCCTTGGTCGGAAAACGACTCTTCACAAATCCCTCCTGGGAGGCCCAGCAAAGAGTTTGACCCGGAAAACTCACTCGAGAAATTGTTGGGAGGAAGTCTCTACCACCATACAGCTAAGAATTCCCGTTTCTGGACCTTCGAAGCACAAAAAGGATCTTTCGGTTCAAGGAAGTACTCCAGCACACGAGCACCAATAGCTTGGGCCATGGTTTGCCCTCTTAGACTTCAAGCAGTTTTAACATCCCTTTCCGCCCGGCCCGGACCGCCCGGATTTAAGTGCTTTTCAACAATCGCCCTGTTGCTGGGACCAGCCGAATCCCAGGACTCATGGCCTTGGCATTTGTAGCTCCAGCAGGAGGCATCGGACTGTGAAAAACGGATGCTTGTTTGCGGTCCTTTTTTCAGGAGGTCAAGGTGCAAGAACCACAGGTTGCAAGTTTGCAAGGATTTGCCAGCCCCCTCTCCCCCAATTTCACCCCATGTTTGTCCCTTCTTTTGTTTAATTGTTCCTCTGCAGTTCTTTACATGTTGGTGTTTGCTTCTCTCTTTCTCTCTCTCTCTCTCTCCATGTCTCTCTCTGTGTATGTATATATATGTACGTCCCTTTCTCGCAGTTTCTCTCCTGTTTTGCGGGGTGTCTTTTGGCAGAGCAATCGGATCATTGCCGGTCGAAGAACCAACGGATCGACCCACTGGGCCCGCCCGGCTCCGCCAGCACCCGGCATCGCCGGTTCCGGTGCGCCGGGACTGCGGCGGGCGTCAGTGAAGACGGTGAATAGACCTGGGGCCCGAGAGCCTAGGACGGGCCAGCTGGGTGGGCCAGATGAATGTGAGTTGACAGGAAACACAACAACACAACATATGTGCAATTAAGAGTCTGGTCTAGTGGTTGTTCCTTTTTGAATGGGGCAGGTGCATAGGTCGGCTTAGGTTGTTCGAGGTGGGTTTGGCTGGTGAACTGATGCGTTCCAGATGATTAGCCTCACTTGGAGATGGGTTCTAGGAACAGATTCAACAGAGTTCGAAAGGGATGGCTCAGGAATTGGTTTACACAAGGGGCCCCAGGCCTTTCAAGTTTTTCAGTGGACCCATTCCAATTATTCAATTATTTTTCAATGGCAAGGGGGATCATCATTGTTTTTGGACATCAGGCCAATCAGGCCCTTACTAAATTCACATGTGTTTATCATCCACTCTGGCTGGGAAGGAAAGACGCTCACAAGCGTTTTTGACCCTAAGAATTGTGGGACGATGTTTTGGGGCATATTATGCATCCGAGCATTGGCTAAGGTCTTTAGGTATGTTGCAGAAATGTTTTGGCATGTTTTGGTACTGTTATTTTGCAACTGATTTTTGGCATGCAGTATGTTGCAGAAATCATTGAGGCACTGGTCACTGGTCCCTGTCACTCCCGCTGAGCACAGCCTTTTTGGGATTCTCGGGGCTTTTGGACGATGTGGTTCACCGGGATCGCCAAGAGGGGATCGAGGAGTAGGCAAGCGGAGGCTGGTGCCCAAAAACGCAGCTGGCTCAACAAAGATGATACATACCAGGCGAAGAGAAGGCCATCCAAAGAGCCTCCAATGTCAAGGCTAGTGATCGCACTAATTTAAATCATTTGCGACTTCGCACATTGCACTGGAGCCCACTAAAGAAGGAGCTGAATTTTTAAGCATAGACACACGACAAAACGCGCGTGTATGAACAATGTATATATTTGGATTGACTGCGCGACACTGAGCACACTATTGGCCGAATTGTACTGATGCATGAAAGCACCAATAGGCCATAAGTTCAGCACAAAATCCACCAGCTACTTGAAGACTGCAACACTTTCAATATCCTTCAATCTTTCAATATGCACATTGGAAAATCACGGATACATGTTCTTGAATTTTATGAGCACCAAGAGTGCCAAGAGTGCAACGTCTCAACATCCAGCTTCAGTCGCTTCCGTGGAGGGCGCCGAGCCACGGGGCGCCATGGGTGGCTTACTGGAAAAGCCTTCTAAGGAGAAGTCCATCGAAGCAGGAGGTCATGCAGCGGAGAGTCGAGCAAACCACTTCGAAGTGGGTTGGAAACCAATTGGTTGCCTTTAATATCAGAACCCATGAAGGGAACAATGAGGAAGTTTCATGGAACCCTCATAGCAATGAGTCTCAACCACGGGGCAGCGCGTCCCTGCTCCCAATGGATTTCATCCAAGAAGTTTCTCCAGGAAGTTCTTCCTAAGTACAGTCACTACAGCTAATGAAAAGGATTGGAGACCGACCATTTGGTAGGTGAGAAATGTGAGAAGTGAGAACATCTCCGGGTTTGTCATTCTGTTCTGTTCATCCTTGCGGTGTTTAGGAACGGTTTCGGCTCTTCATTGTTCGCACGAGCCGCCCAGGTGATGAACGGATGAACTGGGTGGCAGCCGACATGCAGGGATGGCGCCAGGCCCCACCGTCAAAACCGGTGGAAGGGCGAGCCTGTTCATCCCAAAACGGAGCCTGTTTTTCCCAAAAGCGGAGCTTCACAAAACCCATGGCAGATTTTCCCAAAGTCGGTGACTGATTTTCCCAGAGTCTGTGGCTGATTTTCCCAGAGTCTGTGGCAGATTTTCCCAAAGTTTGTGGCAGACTTTTCCCAAAGTCTGTGGCAGATTTTCACAAAGTCTGTGGCAGATTTTTCCCAAAGTCTGTGGCGGATTTCCAAAATCCCCAAAATCGGTGACAGATTTCCCCAAAGTCGGTGGTTGATGTCCCCAAAGTCGGTGGTTGATGTCCCCAAAGTCGGTGATGGATTTCCCAAAAATTGGTGACAGATTTCCCAAAATCGGTGGCTGATTTTCCGAAAATTGGTAACAATCCACGGCAGAAGCGGGTTTTGTTGTTTCTCAGGACGGAACCGTTTTTTTAGAGAGATGTCAATCACTCAGCAACGTCTAACTGCATTCCCATTGCATGTCCACGTGAGATAGTTGCAGCATGTTGCAGCTCAAGGTGAGGACAACTTTCAGAGATTGTATAATAACATCCATGCTACTTGCTGACTGGTAGCCCTCTCAATGATGGAAAAGGCAACACTTCTGCAACTCTATGACTCTATGATATTATGGTTTGGACATGGGGCATGTAACAAATATCCTGTAGTTGCTGATTCCAAATGCTGAGACCGGAGCTTGTCGCCATTGCCCTTGCCTTCTGCGTCTCTGGGCGCCCGGATTGCAGCCCAGGCACCTGTCAAACCCTTCAGCCCTACTTCAACTGTGAGTTTGACAAGTGGGGCACAGCAGGAGGCGGAAATACAATTGCAACAGCGAAGTGCGGCGACGCTGCTGCAGGAGACATTGTAGTGAGAACAAGCTTTCAACTTCCATCCTATGTCGACAATGGAAGCGAGTCACTTTTCTTCAACCGAATGGAGGCTTTAACAAGCTTGACAAGCCTGAGATATTCAAATGCTGAGGAAGGTTTTGTACTCCACGCCTTGCTTTTTGGATTAGCTGGTGATAATCGGGACCTCAGACGGTGGATCCGAAAGGAAGAGATTCTGCTTGAACACCGTTGGCGCGAGCACTCAGTTTGGAAGACGCGACTTGTCTTTGAAGTTGCGTCGCCTGCAGCAGAATGCCAATTCTGCATGCATATGTCCGTGCCACTGTATCAACTGAGTCAAGACGGACGAGATCATCACCAACTCGAAAAACCTGATGAATTCATCATGCAGGTCTCAATCATGCAACAGGTTGTAGCAATGGAGCTTAGCACTCTCCCACTGCAAGACCTCCTCCAATTCTTCGTTGGCTATGTACAAGACCTCACTGCTCTGGCATATGCAAATATTTGGCACGATTGCCACATCGGCAACGTGCTGATGCAGCAGCCGGAAGGACAAGATGTCACGTTCTACTGGCACGATTTTGCAGGTTCTTCCTTTGGGAATTCCAAGCCAAGAGCAGAGGTGCTGAAGGAGTTCATCAGGAAGATGAGCGAAACCATCCAGTTCACCGCAGAAAGACTTCATGCCCTCGATCCGACGCTGTCGATTCCGAGCCTGTCCGTGGATATCTTCTCCCCGGGCATCAACGCGGAGATCTTAAAGGGGCATCTTCGTGAGTTCAATGCAGATGTGCAAAGACATGTGCTCGGTTGGAGCGGAGATTTAAGACTTCGCCAGGCAGTTCTTCGCTCACTGGGCAAGGTACTTTCTCCTGGACGTTATGAGGAATTGCAGCTGGAGCTGCTAAAAGGTGACTTGGCTTAGAACGATGTGACTGCAAAAACAAGGTTTGGATAGGAAGAATTCTTGAAAGGAAAGCAAGAGAGGTTGTGTTGTGTGAATCTTTGCGCAATATCAAGGAGTAGCATGCTGCGCTGCCTTTCCGAAACCTGTGAAGTTTCATTGATGATTTCCCTTAAACGCCCGCAAAATTCATGTTTGTTAGCTGCGTAGCCTGATAGCTTTCTGAATGCAAGGCAGTTCCGCTGCCAAGAGCAAAACTGTTTGGGTGCGGCAGCTCGGGAAGGACTGACGACAATACCACATGCTGAGCTTGTTTTGACAGTGCCTTTGACACGCATGATTGGTAGGGGAAAAGCTGCAGACAAGAAATGCTGCCACTTCATTTCCTGTCATGCCTAGTTCCCTCTACCAATTGCTGAAAGCAAAACGGGACACCAGTTCGCAGTTTCCATGCTTTCCCTCCCAAGTCAAGAGATGGGTTTCGGGCAAGTCGGTTGTCCAAAACAAGGATGGCAGGGTTGCTGGCTGCTCCGGATTTGTTGAAAGTGTCTACTATTATTCCTTAGCTTCACAGACGGGAATTAGACGAAAGACTTTGCATGATGTTTTGCCATGCCCTTGTTCCTTTGCCGTGCCCTTTTGTCAGGTGTAGGACGAACCTTTAGGGACGAAAAGCCATGTCCCAAACTTAAAGTGTGATTAAGGGTAAGTCCACCGTGCAAGATAAAACACTGTTGTTTTGTTCTTGGTAGGGTTCAGAACTTTTAGGGAGAAGATTGCAGGGTTGTTCATTCCTCAGGATTTGTTGAAAGATATTTTCCCAACATCTTCCTCAAGTTGATAGAGAGGATTTAGACTAAAGACTTTGTATGTTTTCTGCCATGCCCTTGTTCCTTTGCTGTGTCCTTTTGCCAGGTGTAGGAAGAACTTTTATTGACGAAAAACACGAAAAGTCCCACCTCAACATCAAAGACTTTAAAACGTGCAAATCTGTTGAAGAAGCAACCTTGTTTTTACATCCCTATGGCTGTTTTGTTTCTTCCTCTGCGAAGTTCCGGTGCGAAAACCGGCGTTGATTGGTCGTGTGAATAAAAGTAGGGTTGTGCTCCATCAGTTCCAAAGGCTTGTAATTTGCAAAAGTCAATGCAACATAATGCAACAGTGTGTGCCTTTGTTTCTTTTCGAGCCTGTGACTAGTGGTACGTAGGTTAAGAACAGAAGTGTTTTTTCAGCTGAAACTTCATGAAGAGAGTTCCCTCAACCATTTTCACATCCCAACGTCAAAATTCTTGCGTAATGCATTGCATTCCTTGTCATGCGCATTGTTCTTTTGCACGTGCCTATCGAAAAGCGCAGCCATTGGCTGTCGCCCACCGCCTGTTGCAATCGCAGGACGGTGAGAAGTTCGCACAGATTGGCAACCCGTTCAAAGTCACCGGAGGGCTGGCAGACGCAGTGACCTTAATTGCCTTCTTTGCTGGTTCGTCATGCTTTCATGCTTTCGTCGCATGCTTCGTTCAAGTCGTCATCATGTCGCTACACAAAGCCTTTAGCTCAATGTGGTTCATTTCAAAGGTGGATGACCTTAAGAAAGTCCAGAGCTCAGAGCTTGTTGTTGTTCAATCAAACTTGATGCTGTGCCTTGGTGAACATTGAGTGAAGAAGACAAACAAAGCAGGCAGTGATGGAAGCTGGAACATGTTTTCTTCAACGCGTGAGTTTGTTTTTGCCGAGAGGCCATTAAGACCGAAAATCCAGCCACAGTCCAATGCGATGCCTTTCAAATTTACATTTTTAGCCAACAGGACGAGCCGCTGTTATGCCACAAACTCGTTTGCTAGTTGCAGTGGCTTCAATGTCTCAGCTTTTGTTCGCTCGACTCAGCACTTTGCGTTGCAATGTCTTTGCTGACTTTTCACTTTTCAGATTTCACTCTTTTGTCAATTGCTGGTCAGGTGAATTTGTCCAATTGTTTTCTTTCACAACACCTCACCCAACCCCTTTCACACCAGCGTCTCAACTTGCCTTTGCATTGGTTTGCCAGTTTGCTCATTCTTCCGATTTGCAGGATGGAAGTTGGATTAGGGAAGATGAAGAAGCGCCAGTGAATCGTGGCACGTCCAAGCTCATCACTTGGTGTTTCGTTTTGAGCAGCTTTTGACCACGCTTGGCTTCAAATTGTTGTCATTGTTTACAACTCTCTGATGTATCCTTGTTTTTTTGCCTCTGAGTTTGCCCGTACATTCAGGTCAGACTGCTATGGTTTCACGATACCAGCGTGAGGAACTTGCTGTGGCTTGACGGTAATGGAGTTAAGTGGTCACCGTGACAAATTTTGGCTCTCATGAGGGTTTGTTTGTTGCTTTGTCGGCTGAGGCTGTCGAAATCCATTGAGAGCTGAATGTGGGCGTGTATGTAGTCTATAAAAGTTTCACATCGTATCACAAAATATGATAGGATATGCATTTGCATGTCAACAATTCCAACTTGGACCCAAGCGTTTACCATCGTTTACCTTTCTTGTAAAGAAGGTCATGCATGCAACGGGTGCAGGAGCAATGACCCAAGAGCTGGTCATAGCATGTTTCATTCAGGCGTTGCGCATAGCGCCCAAGCACAGACCACGCAACATACAGTTCCCTGAGAAAAGGACTTGTGCTTGATTTGGACAGGCTTTCCAGAGAGTAGGAGCTTTGAATGGAAAACGAGTAGAAGATTTATATAAGGAAAATCGGTGGAAAACTAGTGAGAAGTATATAAGTTTTGGATAGTTTTGGCAACTATTATAAGGGTGCCTTTTCAACATGCTAAACTCCTTGCAGTCACGAAGAGCACGCCACCTATTTGTATGAGACGCCGTAGAGATATTATACAATATTATACACAAAACCCCCATCGGGAAAAAATACCTAAACAAAGGTTAAGATATATCGTTACTGTAATTATATACACAATATGCCTTGTTACTTTGTAAATAGTGGAGTTGAAATCCCGAAGCGATTGACCAGCTCCTCCACGCAACTGCAACTAGCCACAATCTCAGGTGGTTTGTTCCAAGCTTGTGTTGAGGAGTGGGGGTTCACCACCAGCACCTGCACCTATAGAACCATCCGACACCCAAGAGAGTTAGATTCCTCCAAGTTCAGCCACAGGGTCGGACCTTCCCCGTTCAGACCGAGGGCCCCAGCATCCTTCCCAAGCAACCATGCAAAAGAAGAGCACCAGGACATGGAAGATGAACACATCGCCAGTAGCAATGTAGGAGAGGAGCTACTTGGCTGAATAATTTTGGGTTTGAGCTGACGGGTTGTGATGTGTTGAAGCTGTTTGAAGCCGGAAACTGGTTGTAAGAGCGCGGGGATCTGAGCAGGCGTTGAGATGTGGCCAATGAAAGATCCGAAGGAGGAGAAGGAGGCAGACTCCATCCCTCCACCAACACCCCTTCCACCGAACATCCGACACAGAGTTGCCTAGGTTTGCTGGCTGCGGAGTGTACTGTGTTTTCGATGGCCATGGCTCCTTGTCAGCGCTTTCCATGAAGCATCAGGGTTTCCTGCTGAGCCTGAAACCTCCAACGGTTTTGGAACGTTTTGACGGACCACACACCGGCACAGCAGCGACTGTGAAGTCATCCTTAGGAGCTGCATGGATCCACAAAACCGAAACCGACACCAGTTGAATATAGTTGAATGAATGGTTGGTTGGTCGACAGTTGGATCAGTAGCTTGGTGGCCACTCGGTATTTTTCGGAGTTAAGCGTGATGTCTCTCGATGTTTCATCGAGACGTTGTCGACTTTCAACCACTTTCTTTTTAAGGTGCACCCACTTTCTGGGGACCTCTTGCACTCCACCGACACTTTTTTCCACCTTCCACCCCTTCCTTCAAGCGTTCGCACTCTGTTCCCATGCTCCTGCTCGTTGTTCCGCCTTTTCGGACCATTCCATCACTTCACCGGTTCCCTCCCAACGGCGGAACCGCTGGTTCCGGAACCGGTCGCGGTTGTTCTCGGTTTGGAACCGGCGGTTCCGTCGAGGCGGCAAGGCCGTGTCCAAATTTTGCAAGTGCCTTGGCCGGACTCCTTGGACCATCGGTTGGAGTGGCGAGGACCCGTGACTTCACACTGTGAGTGAGTGGATTGTGGGAGTGAAAAGGAAGAACCGTGACTTCACATGAAACTTCATGGAACCGATGTATCAAGTCAATTGCTCCCGTGATGTACACATTGTCCCCCTATCCCCTGTTGACCTAGTGTCAAGTCACTCATTTTACGACGAGGGCATTCACACAGAGGCCCGCTCAAAAGGCAATGCACCGAAGCTCCTGCCTTTGGCTGTTTAGGCCTTTCGCCCCAGCCTGCTTCACAATGGTCATCAGCTAGAAATGGCTTTTGTATGCTTCCGTTCCTGCTTTGATGGTCAATCCTTTGTGCCATCCCACCATTTAAGAAAATCAATGGAACCTTAGTTGGAAGTGTTTGCTTCGTGACGGCAACAGAATAGAGATCCACCGGGCAGTTGCCAGGAATTTTGTTGTTGTTATCGTTTTGCGTTTTCTTCCCTCATCTCAGGCAGCACTTTCTTCAGGAGTTTGTGCAGCTGACTGGGACCTTGGGCAAACCCAAGCCAGGAGCTCAGCCTTTTTTTGTGGAGACCAGGTCCCTCATTCCCGGCTTGAGAGCAAAACAGTATTATAGAGTTATATATGCCGGTGCCTTGTGAGATTACGGCAAATTGGTACTCGTGGCTTTTCAGTATGCAGCACTGACGCTTCCATGCCTGTCCATGTGTGTTGCATCAGCCCCAGGTTCGGAAAGAACAAGGCGGCGCTGTTCTCGACGCGGCTGGAGTTGTGGTCGGCGAACTTTCCAGCAAAAGTTGAAACTGCATGAAAATGCACCACCATTCGTGATAAAGACTTCTTTCACTCGTCGCCATCATCCTCTCTTAGTGCCAAAAGCCTAGGCGAAGAGCGTTTCGCAGCGTTTTGCCCATGAGGCCTCCAAACAAAGAACCTGGAACTTGCAGTGTTTGGAAGATAATGTTGTTTTCTTTTGGGTGCTGCAGCTCATGAACCCCAACTTTTTTTGCACCTTGGAGGTTGCATAGTGGTGTGTTGCCTGGCTAGACTAGAACCAATCACATTTTTTGGGCTTTTGATTTGCTCCAAACAGTGTTTGCCAATTTGTTCGCTTGAGTGTCTCAGAATGTCTAAGACATTTGATATTTCAGATTTGCCGCGCCCTCCCTCCCACTCAGCAAGCCAACATCATGCAACATCACCACGGATATGAAGTCCTGAGATTCCGCACTCAAAAAAAGTCTAAAAAACCAGCGATCCAGAATTGGAGAAAAGGGCAAACCTCCTGGAGCATTGGTAATTGGACCTCCCAACTCTGCAAAAGATAATGGAATCTCACACCCACAGATCGATTTTCCATCACCCCAGCGTCCTCCGTTGGGCGGGGTCGCTGCTGTCCGGACTGCTGGCCCTCGGTGCAGAACAAGAAGCGACATTGTGGAGCCCACTTGGAGCCGCCGGACATGGAAGAGATTCTGAAGGTGGCGTGGGAGGGTTTTGAGAGCGCTTACTTTTTGGGGAACCCACACCACAGCTACACCACGGACGGGTAATTCTAGTACTGTAATTACTGTAATATACTGTAATTACCTGTTTCAGCTTGCCAGGTAATGAACCACGGACGCGTGACCGATTCATCTCTCTCTCTCTCTCTCTTCCTCTTTTTTTTTTTTTCTCTCTCTCTCTCTCTCTCCCCCTGCAGGATCACAAAAGACCCTCAGGATCAGAAGTCATAGTACCTCACAGGATTTGGACTGCTGTTGGATTGGACCCTTTCCTGTTATTGTGCATTTTGCGGGAAGTGTTGGAAACAAGGTTTTGTGGTGATTTGTTGACCGGATTGGAGTTCTTGACATATCAACCCCAGGAGAGAGAACATCTGTTTTTAGATCTCTTTATCGCTCTACCCCCCTAAGAGGCCCGGATTTAGACCGTGAGGAATCCTTCCATCGGATGGATGAGATGCTGCGGGATCCCACCTTCGCCAAGGCGGGAGATCGGGCCAGCCACAGCCTGCCCAGACATGCTTCCTTTTTACTGTCGCGGCAATTAATCATTATATAATCATCGATTAGTAAGACAAATAGGCCGTTTGGCCCAAACATCTACCTATTGAATGGGAAAGGCATCTCCGAGAGTACAAACCTCAATGGAAGCACTCGAATTGAAGCTCATGGAAGCTGAAACTTGCCTGAAAAAACATGCTGAAGAGGACCGGCTGTGCCAACGGTGGAACCCTTTGGAACCCCCTCTAATTGAACTGCATCACGTGGCTTGAAGGAGGCAGTCTTAAGTGTGTCAATCTACGCGTGGCGGCTTGAACTTCAACCATGTGAGATCATGTGAGGGTCCTCAGAACTTCATGTGAAGTTCCTGCAGATGGGGCTGATATCATGGATTTAAGGGCGGATCGCTCTACTTAAATCAGTACAGTCACGTATAGATATGCGGCATGCGTTTGTTTTTTGGGGGGTCAGCAGGGTAACAGTAGATGCAACTCGAAGTCTAGCCCTGTGGCACTCCCCTACAGATTCTTCGACCGAATGACTAACATTGGGCTGAGCCTGAGCTGAACGGGACACCAGCTATCACCAGCTCTTCCAGGAACTGGCGCGGAATGTTGGGAAGGTGCCAGCTGGCGCCATTGAGGAGGGGTGGCGGGCCCTACTTGTGCATTTGGGAGGTCTGAAACGGACATGGGGGAGACCGTTCCGTTCTGCCCAAGCACCGCTGGTGCCATTGAACATGGAAAGAGGACACAAGATATAGGAGAACTCCAGGTGTTCCTAGAACCAACCTAGTTGATTTGTTTGATTTATTGTCCTTTGGTCGTTAAATGGTGTCCACATGTGTCCACCTATATATGTTGGAGCCACTGAGTGGTTTGCTTCACCCTGCTCTACAGTGAGATATGACGCACTAACAGCAAGGGCTTGAAGAAACCTGTGGCAAGCAGTAAGAGGAGATAGCAGGAATTGCTTAGAGTTTATTGCTTTCAGCAACCGTTTCCGTCTCCAAAACTGCTTTTATTTGGGTTCACATCTCCGATTGGCATGCTGACGGCAACGGCCCACGTGCAGGATTTGCAAAAGCAGCTCTCAGAAATGTCGCAGAAGTCGCAGTCCCTGGCCTGGAGCCATCGCACGACTTTCCTAGTTCACTCGTTTGAAGGCACGGGTGTCAAGAAATCTGTCCCAACCGACCTTTCCGGCAAAAGTTCTGAGAGAGGCGTATTCACTAGGCAAGGGCCATCAAGGGCCTGTAGAGTAACTTCATTAAGTTATATTTGTATTTTATATATAGGCATTAGATATGTAGCCATGCGCACCCCCCAAACAAATATATCAGGACCGGATTTATGTTAATGTTCATGATACTTCAATTGTATATCAATCAGTCACATATCCACATGCACACATATAAGACAGTGTAACTATAGACACCAGATGAATAACCCCCAATACCGGCCAACAAGGTGTTGGTTGAATTTGGACACTCTAAGAATCTCGTACTCTGGGCATTGAGCATGGCCTTCAGATGAATCCACGGGGATGGCTCCCCAAGACAAGTTTGTTCAGTGCCAATAAGAAAGGCAGCAGATAGGCATTCTTTCGGCTTGTGAATTGAAGTGACAAAGGCCAAGGTAGATGAAAGGCGGTTACCTTTTCAGAGGTCAGCTGGACCAAATTTCTAGGTCCGGTGTCATGTAATTGTTGATGCTAGTGCTTGAGAAATTGTGTATTTGCTCTTTGGGACATGAGCACGGAACGCAAAGACGACTCTCTCACCCAAAGACCCATTCAAACTCAGGACACTGGTCCAGATGTTCTTGTTGGTAAATGAAAGGTGTGTTTTCAATCACGTGATATGGGGTGTTGTAGACACAAGCAATCACTGGAAAAGACTGAGCTGGTCGCCCAGGAAGGGTACCGCCACCGCAGCGGACACGTGGCTGCCAACACGTGGCTGCTAGGGATGCGTGGTACACCTTGGTGAGTCACCAGGGCCTGGTTGGTGTTAAAATGCGTTGGCCTATCCACGGGTTCCTGACTGAATATGACAGATACGGTAACCACGGGGGTTATTCCTGGAACTGAACATGAGCAACAGAATTGAAATCAACATGGACATGTCGAGGATTTCCCCAGGACAATCAGACAGAACGAGAACCACGTATGTACCCCAGCGTTTTTGGTGGGGGTCCACTTTCTTTTGGGGTGTTATCCATTTCCAAGAAGTGCCGGAAATCTGCAGCAGGCGTGGTTCACGGTCTCGTGTGTCGAAAAATATGTTTTTCTCCATCCGTTCTGGATACAGAGATGGATTGAGCCTTGCCGGCACAAGTTGGGTAGAGCAAGACAGCGGAGGTGTTTGTGAGCCTCCTCCTTTCGCCATCTACTTTAAGCTGGAGGGAGGCGTCTACTTTCAGAGCATGAACACCTGGTGGATCAAATAATCTGATGGGGCAAGAAGGACGTGGGTCAGTTTTCAAACCTTGGAGACATGAAGGACATGATTGCTGGACGCTCCCATTTCGTGTGACGTAGCCACTAAGACACTACGCTCTCCCAGTTCTGATCACTTCGTAGGGTCTCGTAGGGTCTAGAGTCAAGAGGACAGCCTTTCATCAGCATGTTCCAGGGACATCAATTAGAAGGAATTATATAAGGAATGATTAGCCATATTAACCTGAAGGAGTTATATAGTTTTTTTTACACGGTATTAGTAATAATAGTTATTTTGTTTTTTTCTTTGCAAGTTCGTTTGCTGCTTGCTACGGTTGCTACGGTCTATTGAGTCTATTGTTTGGTTGTGGTTGCCACTATAGCTATCATTTGTTGCTTTCTTGGTAGTGTTGATCTCAGTTTGATAGAAGTGGATCCTGGTGTGCTGCATCCAGATCAGCAGCCCTGATCTTTGATCCGGCTTGAGGATCAGAGTGAGATGAAGGATATTTGCGTGAAGCTTCAGAAGTTTCTTTGTATATATTGAATGGGCCAGCACACGCTGGTGGTGGCCTGGGGCTGCAGAGAGGGACTCAACATCAAGGAAAGCACTTGCATGATTGCTCCAGGGTTAGGCCCAGGACAGCTGGCATTAGGTTCTTTCAGGTTGGCTATTATTTTCAGGGCTGTTTGCGCTCAAGTTGAGGCTCAAGGAAACTGCAAGTGGCACCACGACAGGCCATGTGTTCAACCATTTTGAACAATTTGGGCTTGTTCCACCAGACGATTGAGAGAAGGTCTTGGAGTAGAGTGTCAATCATCGTCCCTTCCAACACTAGTTAGGCTTGCCTCACAACTTGAAAGGATTCGACCTGGAAACCTTGGTAGACCACGGAAAAGGAACAGAATGGACTACCAGGGAGGTCCAACCTACTTGGGTTTAGGGCTCCGGGTTTGGCCGCCGTGTTAGGTGACATGTCATTCCACCCTTGCGCTCCCTAGTTGGAGACACGCGCAAGCCCGGTGACTCCTATATATAGGCAGTACGTAAAAGGCAACAGACTCTGCTACTGGCTATTTGATCCTTTTGTTAGTTTGCTGTTGGAACGTCAAAGTGCCCCTGTCTCCCACTCGAGCGGGAGAAAAGAATCGCCACGAGTAGTAGTAGTAGTAGTAGCAGCAGGAGTAGTAGTAGCAGCAGCAGTAGTAGTAGTAGTTGTTGTAGTTGTAGTTATTGTTGTTGTTGTTGTTGCCGTTTTGTTGCTGTGAAGGCTCTGTTTGAACCACTCGGCACCACGAAGTACAACACCTTCGCTCGTCTCGTCCGGTGCTCTAGACAGCTGCGCCCTGTGGTTTGTGGTTTTCGCCCCCGACGATGTTAGGTTGAAAGAGGCACAAAAGGGAGTGACTTGGATGGATGCGACGTGCGAACGGATAGGTCAACAGGATTCGCGTATTCCAGGTGGTTGCTGGCTGTGGCTGTTAGTTTGTGTGCAGGCAAGTGTGGGGTTCAGAAGTCATGAAAGCCTTTTGATGTTGATGGGCTGATCCTGGAAGACTATAGGCCCTATAGGCACCAAAAAACAAAAACCTCAAAAGCCTTTCGAATTGCAAAGAGGCAATTCGGAAAGATGCGAATCGAATGGAGCACTGGAACTGAACTTCAGATACCGAGATGCTTTTGTTCGGAGGGAAGGCCTCAAATCCAATTGGGAAGAAGTTTTTCGCAGTGCCCAGCGTTTTTCCAACTCTAGGAGCAAGCTACAACAAGCTCCCATTGAGAGTGCAATAAGACCAAGCATCCCTTGTCAGTCTTTGGTTCAATCCGCATACCTTGTAATTCCGACGTGATGCCCTCAGGATTTGTCGCCCAAACCACCTGGCCTCAGAAGGAAAATGACCTGTTTGCAGCCCACCAAAGAATAAAGAATAAGCTGCGAAAGCCTTGTCGAGAGTTGTGATCTCGCTCCCATTTCTCGACAAGAATCATCCATCCTTATGCCGAAAGGAGGAGTTCGTACCCGACACCGTGGGCTGCACAGCGGTTTGCGTCCTGGTGCGGAAGCAGGCCTGGGCTCTGACCATTGGCGCGTGAGCGCGCACGGCCTAGAACCGCAATGTTCCGCAGTGAAACCAGTTTTTGCACCTAGCATACGTTCAACAAATGGACAGCAGCGAGTGACCAAGTGACCATATAAGATGTTCTAGCTCAACCCCCTTCAAATGTGTAATGCGTCACACACTACCCAAATAAATCCATGTACATCTAAGATCTACATTTGTATTGCTCCAGTTCGTATGAAGGATCGATGAATTCACGAATTGCTTCCCCCCAAGACTGGCAAGGCCGCATGGCGCCGATGATCAAATGGAAGTATAAGTGACCACATGAAATCAAGCACAGCAGCAGGAAGGACTTTGGTCTATGTTGGTCCGTCGACGTTGATTAGAGGCTGAACTTAAGAGCATCACCCCATACTCGCACCCCGAACATTGGCTCACCAATGGCAGGCGTGAGCACGGATAACTCTAGAATTGTTTCATCATGTTTCATCACCAGGTCATGTAACCACTCAACCGTAGTCATTGGTTTGCTTAGTGTTGGAGCTTGAGGTTCTCCCGACCTACTCATGGCAGCCATGGGCACCCCATGGCAGCTGCGCGGGTTTACGCGCAGCAGAGCGCCCACGCCGCGCCCGTCAGCGTCCGCTCTTATTTCCCACACCGGGAGCCCGAACCTAAGGTGCCAAGGCTGCAGAGTTCAGACATTTGGAGACCCATGGAGACCCTGATCCTCCACGTTTTGACTGAACGTTGCCTTCTAGTTTATGCTGTATGGTTTGGTTGGTGAATGTATGCATGTGTAATCATACAAGCCAATGGGGAAAACTGGCGTTTCAAGGGTCAAACTGAGACCCCTTCGCCCCTTCGCACCTCTGTTATTCGTCACTATCGCGCGGACAAAGCACTGAGAACGCCGAACGTCCACTGTGTCGCCACGCACCCAGGAGATCACCGCGCTGCTGGCACGGCTCCGGCACCGCTGGGCGGAGGCGCTCAATGCGCTGTGGCTCCGGGACCGCATGGCCTGTTTGAGACCGTTCTTTGGAGGTTTTTGGTATACCATTAATAACAAGGTTCGCTAGTAGTAACAAGTGCCACGCTAGTAGTAACAGGTGCCTTACTGTAGTAACAGGTGCCTTACTAGTAGTAACAAAAAGCTATTCTATTTTTTGTATACCATAGGTCGGACCAAAATGATCAAAATGGTCTAAAGGACGGATGAAACACTTAAGAAAGCTTTCATATGCTTTCCTATCATTTCCTATCCAACTTGCCCCACTGACTGTGCCACATGTGAAGGGCTTGGTTCGAACATGATCGGACAAGCCATTTTACAATCTCGGAGGCTTTTGGACACTGAGGCTCTTCGGTGGCCTTGAGTTGCCCATTTGCACGGCCAACGCGGCACTGGCGGCCCATTCTGCCTCGAGCTCGGCCTGGAGGTGGGGGCAGAGACAGTTCAGGTTTGCTAATTTGAATTCTAATAGCTTCTAATAGCTTCTTGTTACTAATAGCTAGTAAGGCACTTGTTACTAGAAGCGATGCACTTGTTCCTAGTAGCTTATTGTTTTCTACTATAACTGACCTTCTTGTATCTTTTTGCAACACCTACCATTTATACCTGTAAACCATGGACTCACTTTGGAACACCTATACCCTTTTTGTTGTACACATTCTAACCTTCATATATAATCTATTTTTCATTCGGGTTTAGCGGCATTGCTCGGGCCACGGGGTTCCCCCGAGGCACTTCCGCGGTAGAAACGCTAAACATGTTTTACCGTTTGGCCTTGGTTTGTCGCCTAATTTTCTTTTTGACCACACGCCTGGCAAAAAAGGTCAACATCGATGTTTTTAACTTTTAGACCCTTGTGTCCGTGTTGTTGGCCAAATTTTTGTAGTAAAGGCGCGGTGAAGACTTTAAAATACGTGTTGTTTCCGTTTTGCGCAGGTGTCGGCCAATGATTGTTTGCCAAAAGCGTGGTCCAAGCTGTTTAAAAAGATCAATCCATGTTACTTTGTTCATTGTTTCCAGGTAAAAGCTGTAGACCTTCAAAGCTGTACGGTCAAAACGGTAGAAATCCCAAGGAATAAGCACTGGTTTGCCGGCTTACCTATTTCACAGCTCGAGATGTTTACCGCATGTGTTGTGAAGGGGTAGTATTGTGTTTATCGCATGAGTAAACAGCAAACATCCAACATGGACATGTTGGCTTCTTGTCGAAGCCCAAAATCCAAACTGGACATATTGCTATTTTTGGGATGTTTTTTTTCGCTTTTTGTTCGAAAGGCGGTGTTCACTAGAAGCAATGGATCTGTTTGAAGGACACGTGCCGGGCACCAAACTGTAAGAGTTCAATTCTCTTGTTTTTGGTGTGTGTGTGTGTGTGTCAACGCCTGTTTCTAAGGCTTTCACACATTGCAAGATATATAATTCAAAACCACTCATACTCTTTTAAAGGCAGGGGGACCAGGCATCTCGCTGCTGACCTGGTCTAACAAAGCTAGGCAGCGAGATGGGAAGCACTGGGAGACGTCCCCGAGTGTGCCTGCAGATCGATGATGTAAACAAATATTATTTCTGACCCTGCCGCCTTTCCGTTCCCTCACAGGGCTGTTTCTCAGGTTTCAGGCAGCGCTCTAAACCGGTATTGTAATCACTAGAGTGGGCTACCTTCACTGACTCAGCTCTTGCAAGCATCAATCTAAGCGTGTCGAAATACATCTAAAAGCGCAGAAAAACGTAACCATCGATTGTGTTAAAACATCAGCTTTTACTCAACATGCCGTTTATCTCCGCAGTTAAAGCGTCAAAAACATGTAAAGACATAAGCATCATAAACGTTCCTTGTTTTACCGTTTTCTCCGTGACGCCGAGAGCGGGCACCCCTTAGCACTTGTTTGGAGGTGCTTCCTTTGATATGGTGTTTTCTGGGGCACCTACACAGGTGAACCTGGTCGATGTATTTTTGCCTGGGGCTGCAGGTGAAGAAACCCCTCCCCCAGAGGACTCTTGGTTTGGAAGGCAATTAGTTTTTCGCTACCGATTTTATTGTTCTAGTTCTTCAGAGGACGATGGCTCTATGATTTTTGCTAGAAAATTGTTACAGTCATCTCCAAAAAAGGAGGGTTTGAATCAGGTCGCTTGCAGGGGTAAAATTCCACATTTTTTTGTGTGGATCACAGCAGTTTAAGTTTGTGAGAAAACCACGTGCAGCAACTATACAGGCAACCTACTTCCCAGGAGTAGCATGAGTATGGCGGAGAGTTGTAATTCCACGTCATTTCCTGGTTGCGCTATATAACAATGCTGCACTAAAACACAAACTACTGCTAAAAACAATGCTGAATCGATGTCCGAGGGGGTTTCTGTTGTATTTAGCACTGGGTTCATTGCTCCACTCCTTGAGTCAGACTTCTCCACGCTGGACTCTTCAGACTTCTCCACATTCCAAGAGGTCCTCCTTGGCGCTCTTGCGCCTGTTGGGGCTGCGCAGCTCCACGCGGGACGTGCGAGACGTGGTGTCCTACAGCAGCAGTGCGGTGTCCCTGGAACGAAGGTCGAAGTGGACAGCGGTTTTGAGACTTGGCAGGGATGGCTTGTGGCTTGGCCCCAGGACCGTGCATGGCACTGCAAAATATGCATAAAGGTTGGGCACCTCAAGTGGCTTGCCGCGGCTTCCGCTAAGATTTGCAAACAAAACCTATAATATATAGGCCAACTTCTGGACACTTCTGGTTGCATCATGTTAGGAAGCCCCCAAGAAGAGGTCACTTCAAGCACTCGACCTGTAGATTGGCCAAAAGTATTGGCCATATATTTCGCTTTCAGATTAGATCATCGTCCGGATGAGCCCAGGATTTTACTGCAAGAGCTCACCAGGGCACGCCTGCAGCGCGACCTCCTCAGCGACGCAGTGGCGATCTCGGCCTGTGGCCTCGGTCACGCCTGGCCGCGTGCGGAAGGCCTGGTCGCCGAGCTCAGGAGCCGTTCCACCGAAGCTGTGGGTCGTTAGGTCCAACCGAAGCAGTTCACAACGCAAAGGGCTGGAATGGGCAACAACGCAAGATGAGAACACAGATGGTCAGGTGGTTGCATGTGCTCATGTGCTATGCTTTTCTTCCTGTTTCCTTATGGGTGCACGGTCCACTTCTACGTTGGTCGGTGTCCTAGGAGCCGTTCCTTGCGAGCAGCTGGTCCGCAGTGAGATGAAAACAACCGTGGTGACGGGACGCAAAGAAAGGTGTGTAGGTGGGACAACCTGGAGAACTGCACATAAAATACAGTACAGTAAAATACCGTTAAAAGACCATTATTGTGATTTTTGATCTATACGGTATTATACTTGCAGTATTAAAACATATATAGGCATATAGCTTAGGAAACTTGAGTCGTCCTGACTGTCCAGATGCATGAACATATATATATATATATTATTGTAAATGTAATTCATAATGATGTAGTATTCAGGTACAGTATGTCTACATATTCATGTATGCGTAGATGGAATGAGCAGATAGATAGAGATAGAGATAGAGATAGGTGGACATATAGGTAGGTAGGCAACGGTAGGTAGGCTGTAGACAACAGAAAAGGGTCAGGGCCAGGCAACCTCAGCTTGTCCTCGACATTCTTCTTCGTCCTCTCGAATTAACTGGGACACCGGCCATTGGTGCACCCACCAGGGTCATCCGGGGCCCCTGACCGAGGTGAACTCAGTGGTGGCCACCAGCATCCTCTCCTCTACGCCCTGGCGGCGCGCCTCTGCCTGTGCTGAAGGCCTCTCACAGCTGGCAGCGCCGGCGCTCGCTCGCGCCTATCGGTCGTGGCAAGTCGCTGTGGACACTTGGGACTGCTGGTGCTTCGGGTCGCAGAGTGCATCATAGTCCCAATTGGCTCTATCAACCAAATCTGCAAACCTTGGAGACCTGATGTCCAAACATGCCTTGCGATTTGTGGCCATACTTTTATAGGGCCTTGGCTAGAACAAATAAGAACATGAAACACTAGGCTGGCTGACAACCTCTCCACCAGTCTCCAGCTGGCCCAACAGGTGGTGCGGACAGGGTAGGCGTCCACACAGCCTAGTCCATGTCCAGACGCCTGAGTGGACATATGTGCCCATAATGGCCTAGCAATGATTAAGACCCGCGTTCCGTTTCAATATGTTTCAATTCTTCGGACGCAACTCTAGGGCATCTTGTTGAAGCCTGTTTCGGTTTTAAGCCACTCACACAAGTGCTCTAGCCCGGCAATGTGGAACCCCAGGGCCTTCAGAAAATCACTTCAACTTCAATTTGTTTGTGACATACCTTTATTGGAAGAACAAGCGCCTGGACGGGGAATCATTTGCTTTTCTTTTTTGGAAAAACTCCCAGACTGATGACGAAAGCCCACGCCAGTACGGCAATATTCAGTTGAACTTTATTGTGTGATCAAGCGAGTTATGACAATCAAGAATTACTTTAACAATCGTGTCCTTTCAACAGGTGTCGCTGTTCGCTCAACATATTGTGTTTCATAATTGTGCCGGTGAAGTGGAAGTCCAAAAAGATTAGTGGTAGAGAAGTGGGAAGCATGCAAAATTCGCTCAGCAGGGTCCAACCCCACATGGAGGACGCAGTTCAAAGTTCCCAGCCACTAACCACAAGCTGCAGGTACCAGTGTGAGCTGCGGATGAATTCCCAACATCATCTATCAACGATGTAGGCGCCATGGCTCTTCTCAGCGTCTCAGGACTCTTCACCTATCACGACCATCCAACTCAACGCGGCTGTTACCCGCTGTGCCAACGCAGCCCAGTGGCATTGCGCCCAGCAACTGCTCCAGGAGGCCAGCGCTGCCCGCGTGGTGTACAGCGCGGAGGCGCAGGCACCGGCACGGGCGGCATGCGTGGCAGCTGGTGGATGGACACGAGGGCTACAGCTGTTGGAAGGCAGGGTGTTAAGCTGTGGGTTGGCGAGTGGAGCATGCTGAGCATGGATGTGGAGGGCACATGATTCCTCAGATTGGCTAGCCTTTTGGAATGCAGAGAACTCCCTCTTTGAGACTCTCTTTGTTTGGCAGTGGGAGTAGGGTCACAATGAATCACAAAAGGGCCCCCACAGCACTAGAACCCCCAACCCCATCCAAGTCAAGGAGGCATGCCCCTGCGAAGTCTCGGCACAAGCATACAGACGGTGGAAGATGGTCATCACAAGGCTACCAACGTTGGTATGACGGGGGGATGTTGGACACTCAAATGTGGCATTCTTTTGGACATGTCATGAGTTGCTGTCCACATGGGGGTCCTTCTCCTGGAACCCGCCGTGCACCGCGTCACCCGTTGAGGTGCCGCTCAGACGGTGTATGTCCTAGCAGCCGCCCTGTCGTGGGCCACCTGGCCTGCGGGTCTCATGCTCTTCCGGCAGGTCTCTCAAGGCGGAAGCTCAGTGGGTGACTGGGGGAACCAATCCTGGAGAATGCACGCATATATGTAATTGATTATAATATATATATATATGCACATTTTTTCATTTTGCATATATATATATATATTGTATGTATATATATATACATGTTCATATCTATGCAGATTTGTTTTTTGAGACAAGAGATCCTACCCTAGAAATCCATGGCACAAGGTTCTAGGCTTTTCTAAGCCACCTCAACTCATATTGAGCAAAAAAATCCTGATCCAAACGTGTAATAGCACAGGCAAAATATAATATAGTCCATTGTTTGTGTTTGATCATTTTACGATTTCCACCCACAGTCAGAAAGGGTAGAAGTATGGACAGATTGGAGACATTGAAGGGCTGAGTCAGCAAAAGATAGTGAATGTACTCGTCAACCTCATTGAACAATGCCGCCTCACGCCGGTCTGGACATGTTTGGAACGTGCAGGAGCATTGCAGCTGGATTTGACCACTCTGAACAGTGCTTTGGCCTTGTTGGACCACTCTAGCTGGCCACAAGCTCTTGAGCTCTTACGCAGCCTGGCAAGAAAGACGAGATGACCATGCAAAAGAGGTAGCTTGTTAGGGCTGAGCATGGCGAAGTAGGCGGTGCTCCTCTAAACCAACCAAGGCACCTCCAGCGCCGAAGAGCTTCGCCCAGATGTCCTGAGTTGGCAGGGCGTGTGCAGCACGCTGGGAGAGACGCTGAAGTGAAAACATGTGAAATGGTATTGTGAGACTGTGAGGTAAGAGGAACGTCCTCTAACCCCTACCCTTCTTAGAGGTAACTGGCAGTGTAGGAAGGTACGGTGATGTAGGGTTCGGTCATGTCAGTTGAGGTGGTTGTTCAAAGAGATCCTCATCTTAAATGATGGCCAGTCGGAGGCGTTGCTATGTAGTAGTGTTCGCCAATTTATTTTTGCGACCAACCTTCTTTCTTGGGCACAGATGAAGTCTCAAAGATCCTGAACGGCCACTGAGGGCAATCTTTATGCAGTTGATCGTTTCAGTGTCCACGACATCCAAGCATCACACAAAAGATCACAAAAAAAGGAGGTGTAACATCCGTGTGGTTAGTAGCCGAACTATCCGCAGTCCTTTCCCATCCGGTGTCGCATCCATTCGCAACCGATGCCGACCTGGTGCCAAGGACCTGCCCCAGCTCCTCTTCGCCCCAGCTTTTGGTGGCACTGGAGCAGTTGGCTGCTGCTGGCCTGGCTGACCTGGCCGTCAACGTCGCTCGAAAATGAGTCAACTCGCTTTTCTCCCGGATGACCACCTGGTAGTTGACAGGTATTGTTGCACATCTGATCTGTTGGGTATTGGCTGCGCAGAAGACCGGCAGCTTCTTGCCTGACCCACTGTGGTCTTGTTGGCTCCAGGGCACTTGCTGACCACGGACGACTTCGCACACTCATAAGCTCGGCAGAGTGAAAAAGAGACGTCGAGCCGCGCCGGTGGGCTCGGCACCAGCATTTTGTTTCTGATCTCATTTGAGGTTAATTTTGTCCGTAACCTGTGTGTTGGAGTTTTTTTATGTATCAAGGATTTCTTCCAAGATCGATCATTTTGAATTTACATTGTTTGGATGAGGTTTTGGGTGTGGATGGCTGTGGGGCCCCTGCAGTACTTCACCGTTGCTTAACTTGCTGAAGAGGGGAAGCCTGAAGGATCGTTTCCTTTGAAAGACGCTGATTAACTTGAACCCACAATACCACCGGGTTGTAGAGGAAAATTGTTTTCCACGGGTGGATTCTCAGGGTCAGTCTACAGTCTACGGGGTTAATTTGTGTGTGTTTGTTAGGTAGTGCGAACCGGTGACGTGAGGGTCTCTTCCCACCAGAATGGCGAACAGGTTTTTTGCTTCTATCCAAAGGCGCAGGCCTCAAACTTGGAATCATGAAGCAGCTCACTTATTTCGATTTCGCAGGAGGGTCCAACTGAAGCAAGGAAGTGTCGATTGACTCAAATGACCAGTCTCTCATCCGGTGTGTGAGCAGTGCTTGCTTACTGCAAATTTCACCTTTGGGCCCAACCCAGGTCAGAGTGTCATGTGCAGATGTTGATTGCCCTTGTTGGCGCGCCTTGGGCAGGATGTCATCACAGCCAATGCTGGAGACAGTCGAGCTGTGATGTGCCGAAAAGGTCAGGCCGTGGAGCTCTCCTATGATCACAAGCAGCTTGGAGGACCAAAGGAAGAGTCCATGAGGGCTGCAGGCTGCAGCTACACCCGTGGGAGGCCGTGGGAAATGTAGTGGGGCTTTGAATCCCGAAAGCACTGAGCTCGTTGAGGTTGTCAAAGCTAGAAGGGGTCATGTTCTCATGTGTAGGCGAATAGTTGGCCATCAGAGATTGTAAGAACTGGTATGGAAGAACACAAAACTTCAGCCAGTAAGGAATGCAATCGTTTCAGGGTGGTCACCAAAAAGCAATTCTAATTCCACAGGGTTTTGAGGTGCCAGGCTAAATGGATGGTGTAGTCACAGAAGCATGCATAGCCTACATAGGCATAAAATGATCAAATGAAAACTTAGGAATGCTCAAGGACGCAGACCTTTTCTTTTACAAGACTCTCATTAAAGATTTTTCATGCCCACATCATACTCTTACTATCGGCGTCCGGACACCCTTTGGATAGCTTGCTGCGGATCATCGGTACGTCAGCCAGACCGCTGGTAAAGCAAAAAAAAATGCTTTCTCAGGCCAGCCTCCGAAACTGAGAAGACGCGGATTGAAGCAGCCGGGGGATATCTGGAGGAGCAACCGGAAACCATTAAGTTGGAATTAAAGCTGCGTTGCTACTATACCGGTGTTGTCATCCAGCAAGTAGATCTATTCCTCCAAAATTCCGCAAGTGTGGCTCTCTTGCTTTTTGGGGCCATGCTCCTTTTGCACCTAATATGTAAAACATGTATATATACACTAATATAGGTAAACATATTTAGTATTATTTAGGTAATGAGCTTCCAGCATGTCGGTGAAGCGCATTGTTCAGCGACTGGTTAGCTTGAGATTGTTTGAGAACAGTGGCCAAATTTGCTGGTAGGAGACTGAACGGATGTTGAGAACGAACGGTATCAAACTTAGGAATGATAACAGCTCAAGGAGACTAAGGCTGCCTGCTCCAAGTTTCCCTCAGCAAAGCTGGGGTAGATCACGGTCTAAAGACGGTGAGTGAGAGAGAGAGAGAGAGAGACGCTGTTCCCATCTATTGTGATCGGAGATATTCGCTGACAACTTTATCCATTCAACTGAGGGAACCGCAGTGGGTTCATCGGTTAATCTGAGATATTGGCTCAGCGGCTTTTCCCTGACCACTTGCGTTGAACAGACGCACTGGTTTCGGCAGGAGAGTGCAGGCGGCGCCCGCGTCAATGGGAACCTGAACTTGAGCCGTGCCATCGGCGATTTGGAATATAAGAAGAACTTTAGCTGCATGACTGGGCCCGGCCCTGGGGTCGGCTGGACTTGGACTTGTGCTTGTGTCAGGCATGTCTCGAAGATCCTGAAAGAGGGTGCGAGCTGGCGCCAGCTCTCATCATCATGCCGTAGGTTGAGAGTAGATGGCAGAAGCACTCAGGAAGCCTTTCTTCGATGGAGTGTGACATGTGTTGAACAAGTGAGTTGCATGAGTAACTTCTCACTAATCGCGATGTGCATCCCAACGATCAACGTGACAGACATCCGCCACCAGACCATCATCCTGCACTCATGTGTACCATGTTCAAACGGATTTTGAGGTAGCTGAAGCATAGAGAAACTGATCCGTAGTACAGGCAGTAAGCCAATGCGGGGATGATGTGGTCGCCTATATGGCCACAAGTGACCTGTCCAAGACGCATCCCACTTGATTCACGTAATTGGGATGAAAAAACCTCGTAATGAAAGGCACGTTTTTTTGGGAGGACCTCACCACTCAACGAACGGGCCTCACCACACAGGCTACGGGCCTCCAGTGAAACACTGAGGCGGAGTGATTTGAAGCCTGAGGAGGGCAGCTTTCTGGGAGGGAAGGGGAGGTGGGTCACTGCTCCAACAGCAAGTTTGGACAGGTTGGAGTGTTTTTTTCTCCAAATTAGATTGAACACATCTATACTTAGATAAACCGAAAAGCCTGCTTAAAATCCAAAGACAAGCACATCAAAGATGTGTTCAACATTTACACTCAAACTGGCACGAACTATTTGTACAGTACGCTACTTGTGGTTGAGGTTTGCAGTTTGTTTGTTTTTTTTGGAGGGCAGTGGGCAAATCATTGCGTGCCCAGAGACAAGACTGCCATTTCGGTTTGCAGATGGAAAGCGCCTTTCCAAACAAAGGTTTGGAACACGGACGGGGGCCGGCTTGGTCCAGGAACCTGTCAAAGCTCACAGCTTTCCACGAGTTGTATTTTTCATGCTGGTGTTTGTGATCAGATGTAGCACCAGTTACATGTACATGACATAGCTTGTATAGATGTATGTTTCACTGCAGCCGTTTGTGGTTTACTTTTGTGTTCATTTCGATACCAGAGCTCACGCGTGTTTGAGCTAAAAGTGGGCCTAAGCTTCTACTCCAACCTTTGGGACAGTGACTTGGGGTCACAGAGTTTAAGAGCCTAAATTCTCCGTTCATGGTAGCGGAGCCGCGGTTCTAAGACCCGGCTACCGTCTGCGAATCGAAGGTCGCCGAGCCGCATCGGCTCTGGCACCAGAGATCCACAAAACAAGCATCACTTGCAGGAAAGCCGGATTGCTTCAATCCCTGGCTAGCAAGTCAGCATGGCGCAACAGCCAGGAGCACAGGCACCACAAGCCACAGACATGGCACAACAATTTGCACAGATGATGCAAGCCCTAGCACAGGGGCAGAGCCAATTGCAACGAGCAATGGCAGAAGCATACACACAACAAACGGCAATCACAAGGAACATAGCCACCAGCGTAGAAGTGAGAGACAGATCAGAATTGAAAGGCATTCCAAAGCCTGACAAGTTCAGTGGACACACAGGTACCTGGGATTCATGGTACTTCAAGTTCAAGACTTGGATTGAGACAAGTCACAAGAATGCAGGAAAGTGCATTCAGCTCCTCGAAGAGCATCAAGACACAGAGATCAATGAGACATCTCTGGAAGATGATTATCCTGAAGGAGCCGAGCTTGTTTCAGCTCAGGCCCGACAGGCTCTGATCTCACTATGTGAGGGAGAAGCCCTCGAGATTGTCAAGAATACCTCCAGAGGTCAACACTTTGGCCTAGAAGCATTGAGACGATTGATCACCAAGTATGATCCACAGAACCCACAAGCAAACTCAGCTTTGCTGAAGAAGGTCCTGCACCCACAACAGTGTGCATTGGACAAGCTCAGAGAGAGCATAGAAGCCTGGGAAAACATCAGGCGAAAGTATGAAGAGCGGAAGAAGAAAGCTCTTGATGATGACATCGCAAGAAGTTGTCTTCAGCAGATGTGTCCAGCCAAACTTCAAGATCACCTTGACCTCCAGAGTTCGAGACTCACTGACTATGCCATCATGAAGTCAGAGATTTTGGCCTACCTCGAGAACATCGAGAGCCGAAAAGAAGCAAAGACTGGATCAGCACCAATGGATGTTGACGCACTAGCCGCAGCTGCCAGCCAGATGCAAGCTTCACTTGCAAGTCTGGCTAAAGCCAAAGGAAAAGGCAAAGGTGGCTCAAAAGGCGGCAAAGGAAAAGGAAAGAGTCAAGATGGAGGCAAGGGAAACGACAAAGGTAAACAGAAGGGAAAAGGTTCTTCGTGGTCCAATCCCTCGTCATGGAACAACTCATGGAACAAGAACGATTGGTATAAGAATGATTGGAGCAAGAGTAGTTGGTACAACCAAAACTCCAAGGGTAAAGGCAAAGGTGGCAAAGGCAAAGACTCTAAAGGTAAAGGCAAGAGTAAAAGTAAGAAGGTAGCTTCAGTTGAGGAATCTGAAACCTCTATGGCTCAAGAGCATCAACCCGAGCCTGAGTATTCCGCTGACATCGCCACCCTCTTTGCCATCGAGATGGAGAAAGCAGCACCTGCCGCAATTTCTCGTGGAGCAGCCAAGGCAAAAGCTGAGACTGAAGTCAAGGCTATGCCAAAGAAGCCAGGAGCTGGAAAAGGTCGTCCTGGAATTGCAGCTGCTGGAATTGCAGTCATGAACCAAGCAATCCAAGAGACCATGCAGTCCAATCGCGAGCTGTATGAGAAGAAGTCTGAGACAATCCAGAAGGCCATCGAAGAGGCCGAAGCCAAAGGCAAAGCAGCCAATGATGCCATCTTGGAACAACAGGCCGAGATGAAGAGGCTGAAAGAACAGTATGAAGAAAAGGAGAGAGAAGCCAAGATCTTGCTGAAGAGGCCAACTCCTCGCCGAGCCGCTTCGGTTCCGGCGGAGTCGCCAAGGCTCTCAGCTGATTTGGCATCAGGTATGGACCCAAGATTGGCCAAGAAGAAAGAGAAGAGCCGTCAGCGCGCCGAGCAACATCGCGTTGACAAGGCCCAGGATCGCTTCGAATCCTGGCGCGACTATGAGGCCAACTACCCTGAGGAGCTCGACTACTATGAGATCGCTCGCGCCAAGGGTACTGGTCGACTTCAAGCTTGGGATGATGAAGATGATGAAGGAAAATTTGATGAAGTCCCTCAGCCTCGAGGTCGAGAAAAGGCCCAGAGGCATCGTGGCTACAAGAAGCCAGGAAAGGCAAAGAAGCCTGAAAAGCCAAAAGAGAAGGAGCCCAAGATCGAGGATCTCTCCACTCAAGAGTTGGCAGAGATGAAGCGGGAAAGCCAGACATGGACGGCTACTAGCCATCCAGCCCGCAGTGTCATCGACAAGGCGCTCACTGCAGCTGGGTTCAACCCAGAAGACTATGTTGTGATGAAGCGCGTTGAAAGCCAAGGCGAAGGAGCAACAAGCGCACCATCCTTCGCAGCTCCAGTCATGGAGAACATCAATCCCCTTGATGTGACTGAGATCGAGGGACTCGAAGAAGAAGAAGAGTTTGAAGGTGAAGTTGAAGAGGATGAGAATGGCACTGAGCCAGCTGACGAGGAGTCAGATGGACAAGAAGAAGAAAAAGAGAAAGATACCGTGCCATGGCTCGACCACATGAACCAAGAGCGCATCCTCAGCTATGATGAATGGGTAGCCAAATGTACCCACAAGAACAGAGATGGCAGCAAGAACATGGTCTGCCGTGCATGCAACAAGGCCCTGAGGTGTGACAATGACACCGGCCTATGGAATCACCATATGGCTTTGAATTGTTGCCCGCCAAAAGTCCTCAACCAGTGGGCAAAGGAATGGACGATCAAGCAGAAAGAGATGGGAAAGCGCATCAAGACTGCCAAGGGACAGCAAGGCAGCCCAACTTCAAAAGATGCGCCAAAGCATGTGAAAGATGCCGACATGGATCTGAAGCCCGAAGATGTGGCAAAGCATTTGAAGATGAAAGATCCAAAGCTTGAGACCGTCAAGAAAGAACCTCCTTTTTACATGACAGCCCATATGCAGCAGATGATGGAAGAACAGGAGGAGGAAGATGAGGTTGGCCCAAAGACGCCAAAGCAGAGGCGCATTGCCAAGACACCTCCACCTCCTGAGAAGAAGGGCAAGACCAAGGAGGAGCGCATGGCCTGGTTCAAGAGCTCGACTGAAGAGCACCTAGAGCGATTCCGTGGACCAGGATCCAAGCCAGAGGAATCCAGCGAAGCGCCAAGGCAGACGCTTCGGCTGAAGTCCCGGTCACGATCCCCGGGCAAAAGCCGAGCCGCTTCGGCTCCGGCTGCCTCCGAGAAAGGCCAAGGAAAGGGCAAGCAGAAGAAAGTGCAGTTGACTCGAGCCGTCAACGTGGCCACTCAGGATGCTGCCCGTGAGGCCAAGAAGGGAAAGGGAAAACGATATCCCACAACTTCGACTCAACCTGATGAAGGCGATGAAGATCCACTCGCTCTCAGGAGTTTGGAGCTGGCATCCATGGAAACGCCAATGGCTCATCAGGTGACCTTGGATTCAGGAGCCGCGACCTCCTGCATCCCTCTTGAACTGGCCACCGCATTGGGCTACAAGCCTATCCAGCCTGAAGGCACCTGCAAAGTCTACAAGACTGCCTCAGGCGAAGTGGTCAAGGACCTTGGCAAGATCGATGCCATGGTGACCATCGGCATCGGCCAGAACTCCCTCAATGGACGTTGCTGTTTCCGGGTGATGGCGGTTGCAAAACCGCTGCTCTCCGCGGGGGCCCTTATGAGCAAGGGCTGGTGCATTCAGATGCACGGATCTGGTGGACAGATCTCCCGAGACGGGACTAAGATTCCGATCTCGTTCAGCAACGGCGTCTGTTCTGTGCCGCTTGCATTCCACCCTTTCGTCCGGCACCGCAATGGGTAAGTCCGGTAGTGGACGAGCAGGCCGAAGAGGCCGAGCCAAGCGACGAAGTTCCGCCTGAGCTCAAAATCCATGCTCCCATTCGCCCGACGCGAAAAGAGTTTGAAGAGCATGCTGTTTCACACTTTTTTTTTAGGTCTTGGTGTGAAGCCTGTGTAAGGGGAAAAGCTAAGGCAAACCCCCACAGGAAGATAGACCACACCGATGAGACAACCCCAGTAGTGACTGTAGACTACTGTTTCATGAATTCACGAACTGATGATGTAGTTTTGGACGAGAAGACCCATGCACCAATTCTTGTTGTCAGAGATCGATGGACGAAGCATCTTTTTGCTCATGTGTTGCCCTACAAAGGTGTGACAAAAGGTCCATATGGATCCAAAGTACTTTTGAACGACATCAAGAAACTAGGATACTCCAAACTGATCATTCGACATGATCCTGAACCTGCTCTCACATCCGTTGTTGAGGCAGTAAAGAATGGGTTTGAAGGAACCCTGATCATCGAGAAGAGCCCGAAAGGAGTCAAAGAATCCAAGGGAGAGATTGAACGAGCAGTTCAAACCTTGGAAGGACAAGCCAGGACTCTTCGAGCCGCAATCGAGTCGAACTATGGTGAGAAACTTCCTGACGATTCACCTGTTTTGACTTGGTTAGTTGAACACGCATCCACAGTCTACAATCTGTTTTTCCGATCTACCGAACTTCAAGACGGAAAGACTCCGTATTCACGACTTCGTGGACGTGAATGGAAAGTAGCAATTCCACCATTTGGTGAGGCCATCGAATACCTCAAGAGAGGCCACAAGTTCGAGGCCCAATGGACCAAAGGAATTTTTCTAGGAGTGAAAGACACCACCACAGAGAAGATAGTAGGAAATTCCACAGGCGTTTTCACAGTGCAATCCATTCGAAGAAAGCCAGAAGAAGATCGATATGATTCAGAGTTGATGAAATCGATCACTGGGATTCCCTGGGATCCTCAAGCAATTCGCGAAGAACCAGCGATTGCAGCCCCAAGGGAACCAATCATTGCCAGCCCAAGTGGTGAAGCTTTGGTGCAACCACCGGCAATGGATGACAAGAAAAGAAAGCTGAGAAGGCTTTACATCACCAAGAAAGACCTGGAAAAGTTTGGGTATACTGCAGGTTGCCCAGCTTGTGATGCCACACAGATTGGCAAGAGATCTACAGGCATCCATCACACCAACAGGTGTCGAGACAGACTTGAAGAGAGCATCAGAGGAGAAGAAGAAGAGAATCCAAGAGTAGCAAGACATGAAAGCCGAGTTGGAGAGGCAATCACTGGCATGCCACAACCCGTCAGTGGCAAGAGACCTCAAATCCTTCATGGATATGAAAGCAAAAGACCATCGGGAGTTCCCGATTCGTGTCGAGTGTTCGCACGACTTGACGTCGAAGCTTACTGTTTTCAAACCACCATGCCAGGAGGACCTGATTGGTCTACCGTCTGGCACCGAGTCACAAGAAACCATGCAAACAATGCAATCATTGAGAGTGGAGTCATGACAACAGACCTTCCACCAGAGATACTCAATGGAGCATTACCACACAAGATGGACATTGTGACAGAACTTTGGTACGAACCAGAAGCAGCACCACCAACACCAGGCACAGCATCAGCTTCAGCATCAGGTATTCGCAGACTACGCGAACCTGAACCACATGGAGAAAAGAGAGAACATGAAGAGCAACATGAACCAGCAGGATCACCCACAGCAAAAGCCAGAGTAGATAGAGACAAGAAGAGAAAGGCAGAAGGCGAACATGAAGATGAAGCCGAGAGAACAAGAGACATCCAGAGCATTGAGATGGCTCTAGAAAGCCTAATCCTAGACGACAGAGAGAGAGTGCTATCTAGCATCGACCCAGAGAAACCAGTGTGTGAAGAGAAGATCCCACTGCCAGGAGAAATGGCAGAAGAGGCAAAAGACTGGTGGTACTATGATGACATCAGTGGAAAAGAGCTGCTACCTGAGAAGGTAGAGAAAGCCAGAAAAGATGAAATCGACATTGTCGAATCAATGGGAGTCTGGGAGAAGATCCCAAGAAGCAAAGTTCCAAAAGGAACCAAAATCATTGGAACTCGATGGGTAGATGTGAACAAGCAAGATGAAACCAATCCTCTCTATAGAAGTCGATTGGTAGCACAAGAAATCAAAAGAGGCTCAGGTTTTGACGAATTTTTCGCAGCCATGCCGAGCCTTGCAGCTTTGAAGCTACTGCTAACCATTGCAGTCAGCGACAGCCTTCCATTGGAGAAAGGCGAAAGAAGAAAAGCAAAGCAATCTTTCCTAGGATTTTTGGATGTGAAGAGAGCTCATTTCTACTCCAAAGCAACAAGAGAACTCTATGTTGAAATTCCATCAGAAGGCAAGAAACCAGAAGATGGAGATGTGGTAGGAAGATTGGTCAGAAGCCTTTACGGCACCAGAGACGCACCCATGAATTGGGAGCTGACCATTGCAGAGTTTATGAAGAAGCTAGGATTTGTTCAAGGCAAGTCCAACCCATGCATCTACTACCATGCATCCAGAGAACTTCGAACAGAAGTGCATGGAGACGATTTCACGACAGTTGGAAGTTTTGATGACATCAAATGGTTTCACACTTCAGCAGCCAAAGAATGGCAAGTTGTGGAACGAGGCATTCTCGGTCCACCAGGTTCACCAAAGGCAAGCCAACAGATCAGAGTGCTGAATCGCATCATCACCTGGTCAAATGAAGGCATTTGGTGGGAACCAGATCCAAGACATGCAGAGTTGATCATCAAGTGGTTAGGCACTGGTCAACCAGGCAAGGTCAAGACCCCTTTGGCCAAGCCAAGTCAAGAGGAACTCCAACACGAAGAAGTTCCGCTGAGTGCCGAAGATGCAACGATGTATAGATCTATTGCTATGAGAGCCGCGTATTTGGCACAGGATCGACCTGATCTGCAAACTGCAACGCGCTCATTGGCACAAGGTCTACAGAACCCAACATCGAGGCACTGGAATATGCTGAAACGATTGGCTCGATATGTCAGGTATCGACCAAGAGTTGCACAGTTGTTTCCAAACCAAAGCACCTGCAACCCCTTCAACATGTGGTCAGACGCCGACCATGCAGGTTGCATAAGGACACGAAAGAGTGTGTCAGGAGGCGTGCTCATGGCCAACAAATGCTGTCTCACAACATACAGCAAAGGCCAAGGAGTTGTCTCCCTGAGCAGTGGCGAATCCGAGTACTACGGACTTGTTTCTGGAGCATGTCAAATGCTTGGAATCGCATCAACAGCAAGAGACTGGGGATTGTTTCCCAGCAAAGAGGTGACAATGGACGCTTCCGCTGGCATCGCCATGGGAAACCGTCGAGGCTTGGGACGAGCTAAACATGTTGACACTCAGTACCACTGGGTACAAGAGCGTACAGCAAAGAAAGAGTTTCGTCTCAAGAAAGAAGGCACCGACCGAATGTTGGCCGACGTGCTAACGAAAGCTGTCACCGAAGAGAAAATGACTACAGCTATGAAAGGCATGAACTTCCACTACCTGGAAGGTGAGCATGAACTGACTTTGAAAGCGTGAACGGCTTGAGCTAGAGTAGGTACTTCTACAAGACCAAGATGTACTGAAGGGCTATGGGCTAATTCACTAAAAGTGCTAATCCTGACTCGGTTAACATCTCCCAGAAGTTAAACTCGGGAGGCGTGATCAGATGTAGCACCAGTTACATGTACATGACATAGCTTGTATAGATGTATGTTTCACTGCAGCCGTTTGTGGTTTACTTTTGTGTTCATTTCGATGCCAGAGCTCACGCGTGTTTGAGCTAAAAGTGGGCCTAAGCTTCTACTCCAACCTTTGGGACAGTGACTTGGGGTCACAGAGTTTAAGAGCCTAAATTCTCCGTTCAGTTTGCATATCTTGGGGATGGATGGTAGCATGAAAAGATATGAAAAGTTGTATGTTTCATGATGGTGTTCATGCTGGTCTATATAAGTTGTATTTCATCGTGGGCAATCCAAAATGATGGATGGTGGTACTGATTTAGATTTTGGATTGCCCACGAAGTTGCCAGCCCGAGCCTGGGCCCATCATTTGGTCACGGGCACAAGTAACTCCAAGTCATAGCTTCGGAGGTTCTGCATTAGTAGGATCGAACGTTATACCGTATATGATCGTAAATGTTTTCGTCATCGATTGCTCATGTAGTTTCTGGTTCAGATATGTATCAGGATCTTGATGTCCCTCCGGTCCTCCGGTTGTCCGGCTTCAGAACCGTGTCCCGATGACTTCACCCCTTCAAAGACACTGGCGGCTGTCAATTGGATCTTCTAAGGCTTTGTGACACTTGCCAGATTTTCCTGATGTTTGTGGCCTGAACACTCCAGGAACAAGTGATTTGCTCCACGCCGGATGTGGTGGTGCGGGAGCTCACACCAGAGGATGAGTTCATTGTTTTGGCTTGCTTCTTGGCGGCAGAGGAGCTGGAGGAGCTATATTGACACTGTGTCTCACCGTCGGAAGCATTGCGCATTGTGACACATGTTGGGATCGAGTGTGGTCCACCATGTTCACTACAACTCTTGATGTTACTGTACTCCGTGGTGATAGTGGAGTTGTAGATGATTTGGCAGACCCATGACAATGACTCATGAAAAGTCTTTGTCCTTATTGGGTCCCTCCCCAAGTTGGACGCCAGGGACGCTCGGCTTCCAAGGTGACGGCGTTTGGGATGTCATGTCGAACCAGGAGCCGGTGGAACCGGTGAGGTAGGAGGTCACCTGCGAATCCGACTGCAAACCTATAGAGGCAACACATGCGAAGCATCTACGGGCTGTGATTCCAGATGTGTTGACTCTTTTTGTGGCCGGATTCTGCCTGGGCCCAGACGGAAAGAAATGAAAAACGTTGGAGTGACTCCCGAACACAATTCAAGTTGTTTACCCTTTGCTCATCGCAAGCTGCACGTTGTGTCGGTGAGGCGGAATGCTTGGCGTTAGCATGTGGCTTATGATATATCGCTGCAATGTTCAGCCAGCTCAAGCATTGGCAGAGTAGATGGCACAAGATGCATTTCATCCTTTCACATGGATCCACACCTATACTATCAAGAAGCTGGCTGGAATTTTGTGCCATCTACTCCTTGAGTCTCACCGAAGGTAGCCTTTTCATCAGCCGCTGATGACGACCGAGGGTCTCTATCCAAAGCCTGCTGGCTACGCAGCTCCCAGAGGCTGCAGTGTATTCCCACCAGGCGGGGACTTGTCATTTCGCCGAGATTCGGCGAAAATGGGGCGACGGCAGGCTGCAGGATGTACAATCTAGACACATTGAAAACCAACCACTTTAGGCACTACATCTTGGAAACTGCGGCGGCCTCTTCCCGCACCATATCCGATGCCAAGAGCGACGCCAGGTGGTCTCTACCTGGAGTTGATGCTCTTGATTTGGAACAACGTCAATGACCTTTATCAAGTTTACATGTTTGCCTCCTCGAAGGCGGGGGCATCAATGCACAATCACGTGTATCAAAGCCGACACTTCGCTTCTAAGCATTCTTGACTCTCAAAGGTCCCTCAGAAAATTGGGCATCCCCTCTAGTTTGCCCCATGTTGCCCCAAGACCCTAAGAAAGGCATGCAGCATACCGCCAAGCTGACATTGATTTTTAAAGATTGGCAAGGCCTGGACCTCTGCCGCCTTGCTCCTGTTCTTTGACTTACTCGGTCTCTACCTGCTGGGAGCCTTGAGCATGGCACCGCTCAGCACTCCATGCCGAGAAGTCCGACGCAGCGTGGCAAACGGCCTGGAAACAGCCAAGTTTGAGGCCATGCGTGGTGCACAGATGAGCCAGGTAGTGGCCACTCGTTGGCAAAAGGTACGTAGTGCTAGACACTCTAACCTTTGCCGGAAGCTGGGACTTGTGGTAGTTTTTTGAGCACCCAGGAGTTTTTCTTGGGCACGATGAACAAAGACTCTAGCAGGTGGTTCATCCGTTTTTATCGCAAAGCGCTTACACAAACAGGTTTTCATTTTTCACACATCAACAGCAGTCTAGGCCAGCGGGCTCATTGCACCCTTCGCCATGTTGCAAGCCACGAAGCTCACTTACGTTGAAGTGCTGAGCGTGTGCTATAGCTTGGTCCATGCTAGCTGGGCAGCGGCAGAAACAGCGTTGAGAAACAGCGCGTACCCGTATCATCTGGGAGCGCTTAGAGCTGTGTGTCCGCACCAATGCTTCCTGCTTCAAATGAAGGCCTGGTCCTAGCAAGAGTTGATTTGATACTGCTACTAACTACCGCTACTAAGCTACTACAACTGCTACTGCTACTACTACTGCTGCTGCTGCTACAACTGCTGCTACTACTGTGTTTGCTACCGTCTTCTGAGGGAGTTCAACACTAGATACCTAGTTGCTATCCCAATTCTCATTCAAGGTTCTCGTAAATTAAACACCATTTCTGAGAGTCATCAGGCTTGCAACAGCTTCCTGGCAGAGTTCACTGCCTTCGCCATCGTTTCGCATGTGTACCACCCGCTTCTTCCAGGGCTGTTCTATTGCATGGCAGGGATTGCCAATGGGCTTTGCTGCATCTCCTTCAACGTCGGCATGTTGACTAGCGTCCGTCGATCCATGGCCCTTCAAGGGGCTCATGTGGTTGAACATGTTGCAGTCCGGTGGGCCCTCTTCCCCAAACTCTGGGGTGTTGCGGTGTCTTTCTGCTTTCCCATCACCATGATGACAGGGCTTCATCATGATTTCAACACTCTGACTACGGCGGGGTGGCATCAACACGTCACAGCGGGCTATGTCGCTCCAGAGGTCTTGTTCAGGTTCTTTCGCTTGACCAGCTGGGTTTGCTTATGTTTCGTTTGTGACGGCTGGGCCTTCTTTGAAGCTGAGCTTTGGGAGCCGACCGTGGCCGTGAAGCGGGATTTAGTCACCTGCCGTGCACAAGGACTTTCTTTGGGCTGCACTTTTTCCCAGCAGCATGAAGCAAGCAGGGCCTTTTATCGTGCTGGGCTTTTGAGCGTTGCTTTCCTCTTTGTATCGCTTGACCTTATGATTGGCTTGGTCTCATTCACTGTGAACCCCGTGCACCGTGGGGCTGATTCCAACGTTGAGCTTGCACGAGAGGTCAAGGCCAAGGAGCTGGAAATTCAAAGCTGGGCACTTTGGCGAGAAAGGCTGCAGCTCGAGAAAGCCTGCACAGTCATGCCGGAACCGCCAGATGCCCCATCAGCAAGGTCCAGTAAGCAGTACTCGGATGATGGAACCATTGAAGAATCCATGTGAGACACTTTGAGTCCTTTGCATTCAAGTTGTTCAAGCCTAGCAGCGGGGCACTAGGCAGGCTGAGAGAGCTGCGGACATTACCGGCTGCAGTGACATTTCGGCCCCTTAAGTACAATATATACTGTATATATAATTTATGATATAAATATATATTTAATAAAATTGATATGTGTATTTAGTATATATATATACATATCAATATAAACATATATAGTCATATATATATATATATACCACCTTGGATAAGGCTTTAGGGATGGGCTTGGGGGGAGTGTTAGCATGGATTAGCTGAACACAGCTGATGCTTTCTCACAAGGTAATAGGGCAACCACGTGGCATGATATTTCAATCTACTTGTCAAATAAGTTTGGACTTCTGTCTCAGCCGAAGCCTATCTTGCAGATACTCTTCAGCTGCAGCATGTCCTGCATGGCCCAGTTGGCTGTTGTGGACCAACTTCACTTGCACAGCCACAGAGGAATGGTAATTAAGAGTTTTGAGGCAAAGCCTGCTCGGCAGGCAGCCTTGGCATGTGTTGCTTCCACTTTGCTTTTTGAACCTAACACGGATTGTTTGCAATTGTTTGCCGTTGCCGCACCTTTGCCAGTGGTATTGACGCGGGTTCAACTACCAAAGTCGGATCATGCCAGCCATCCACGAGGCCTGAGGAAAGGAACATGGTACCCAAAATTTGAATTGCTCCCACATCACCGCTTAGTCTAGGAACGCTTGGTCTGTGTTGTCCAGAAATTCTTGTTCTGGTTCCATGTTCTCTTTTTGGAGTGCTGCTAGCATTTGCTAGCCGCTCAGTTGCTGCAACATTTTTCGAAATCGCCTCATGCAGGCACACTGACATTTCTGTGAAGGAACGAAGGTGAAGTGAGGCACGAGTCACACATATCATTGCTCCTCGTTAGACTGTCAGAGATATCACGGCGCATTGTACAATGGACATTCGGGGGAAACTCACTGAAACTGTTTGGGACCCAATATGACCCCACGTTGAACTATCTCAGGCCAATCTTCAGGTGGGTGGGGATGTGAATCTTGTGGGCCTTTTCGTGGGATTGAATTACCACTTATATAACACTATTTAACCATTTGGGCTGATCAGAGGATCATGTTGATTCAAGGTACTTTATAAATGCACTTCATTTCTAGCATTCTAGCATCTTCAGCTTCTCAGAGTCTCCCAGTGGTCTTTTTGACGCCTCGCATCTTTGGTTTATCCCGCCTCGGTCTCCTTTTTTGCACGACCTGCTGTGGCCATGCCGTGGAGCGCGGGATCATGTTCGGTCAAAATGGAAGACGTGCCCCGCCGATATCCTATTGAAATGCCCCGATAGACCTAACCTCAGGAACCGTGCGCGCCGCAACGAACATACCACAACCAAGGCCCATGGTCGGTAGATTGATCACGAGAGCGATTATAAAAACTTTAGCATCCTCAAGCTGCCAGGGCAACTTAGGAGATGCAAGAGCGATGGACATTGCTGGGTTGGTTTTGAAAGATGACATGTTTGCTTTTGGGGGTGCGTTGGGTCATTGGTGGTTAAATGTGCATCATTGAAGCCAAAAGTGACGAGATGGAGAGACCGTGAGGAAGAGCGAGGGAGAGAGAGAGAGAGAGACAACATGACAAAAGTACATGCCTTACCCACGCTGTGTAGGACATTTGCGACTTCATCAAACCACGGCTGGCAGCTTGGCGCTTCAGTATCGCGGTAAACGCTTCGTCCTTTGCAAGGCTTCACGATAAGTGATCGTTCTTTTTCACATGTTGATGGTTTCCAGGATGTTCTACCTATCGGATATTTAAAACGGATAAGCGTGAAGCGTCCCATAGGGCAGATCAAAGAGTTGGGAACGTTCCCTTGGAACATTGAGACTATTTGAGACTCCACAATTCACCTCGAATCTAAAATCAACGCAATTGGTTTCTAGACGGTCATAGCCCTGTATGTGGGAGCGAAAGTATAGCCTGGCAGGTTAAACTGTTTGCAGTGCATTCGTTTGATCAAAACCCTTGTGTCATGTGTAAAGTGCTGTAAAAAGGTCCTTGAACTTGTTATCTCATCAGTTCTTATTTTGTCTCATGGAACTTTGACGGCAACGGGCTGTTTTGATTGTTTCAGGTATGCACGCCATCCATCGCATGGCAGAAGAAAACAGCGCAATGGTTGTAAGCATCAGAAACGACATAGTTTTCATTTGTGTTTTCTGATGTTTGCTGCACATCTCAATGGCTGCCATGTTTTTAGATATCTCCGCTCAACGCGCCCCACAGTGCCCCACGAGTCTCAATCACCGATTCACGGGGCTTCGTCCGAGGAGAAGGGCATGGACTTGAAGGAGGTCGCGGCCGACGTCCTTGAGCACTGCTGCTCTGAGGCCGAAAACGCGATGCATCGCGCACGAAAGCGGTATGGGGAAAAGCGGAAGCAGTGTGCGATGTGGTGGCCGGTAGACGGCCTGGAAATGAGGGGTGGTTACCCTTTGACTCAGGGGGCGCATTTTTTGCTTCCACATTTGCTTCCATAGTAGCCAGTCCAGTGTATAACATCAGGATTGTTGGGGAATGTTCGGAAAAGGTGCGTGATTGAAACACCAACTGAACAAGATGAACATGACAAGTAGATGAAATATCAACTTGATATGAGCACATTACCTTTCAATGTAGAGCTACATGGTTTGGTCCTTTTGTCATTCGCCAAGAGCCGCGTTCCCCACGTTTGCGCCCTCCGGTCTCCACAGTGCAGGACCCGCAGAAGACCGATGGCCTTGGCACAGATAACATGACCGTGCCTTGGCGGGTTTCAGTTGGAGAGAAAATTGCGGGTTTCAGAATCTGTCATGCGGAATCTGTTATTTTGAATTCATCAGGCACTTTTCAGTCCGTCCGAAGGTCATCATTGTCAAGCTTAACGAATCTTCCAGCTGGACAGCTTCATAGGCCGGGAGCCACTCCGAAGCCGATGATGTTGGCGGATGACTCTGGAAGGATTCCTTTCTCCCCGTCTTCTGAAGAAGCCGGCAATAATCCCAGGTACCTTATATTTAAAACATTTTAAAACCATACCCCATGACGAAACACCATGTCGGAGACCCCTAAATACAGTTTTCATTACCGCCCTTTCAAGCTGCTACTAACCTGCCAACATGGTCGATTTTGGGGGAGTTTGTTTTAAGGTTCCAAAAACATCAAAAAACAACCCTAACTGCCCACCTTTGTCCATCCTGTTTGTCCACCATGACACGCCACGTTTACACCAGCAGGCTTTTCCAAAGGCATGGGCATGGACGCACGCAAACACACTTTCCACCGAGGCCATCTTTTCGGGTCCCCCTATTTTGGGGACCCCCTAATTGAAAAGACGTGCGCCCAGAGTTTTTAGTTGGGAGGGGTGGACCCGTGCTTTTTACTGTTAATTTTATAGGTGGAAGGGATTAAGATGATCTCATCGAATAAAGCGCGCTCAAAATACCACAGGCTTCCTGAATGTGTGATTTCTAGAAGATATGATTGGATTCACCTCGGTACTGCTCAGTGTTTCCAGGGCTTAAGACCCTCCCCCCGCCGAACTCACCGAACTTGGGTCTTATTCTGCACCCACCCGGCCGTGCGTTTCCAGGCTGAAGCTACCCTGCAACCCTCACGGCGTGAGGGACGGATCCGCCGGATCCGAAGCGGATCGGACCCGGACGCGGCGCCGTGCGAGGGGAAGACATGGCAATCATGGCATGGATAGCACGAAGATGGTTTGATGAAGCCTTTGAGTCAAATGGTTGGGTCTAACTTGGAGTTTACCTCACTGGTCTGACATGAGGTCACTAGCTTGGTTCATGTGCTGTAGCGTGTTCCATCATTTTCCTGAAGCTGCTGGCATGAACTACTACGGGACAGACCCTTTGTTCTTGTGCCACTTGTTACCGTACTGCTTAGTTATTTACTTGTCCCACTATTCAGCAGCCAAAAAGCCATGTCAAGCTAAAGACCTGCTCTTACAGCTTTGGGTGCCCTGGTAGGTCCTGGTAGTATCCCAGCTCCTGAACGGCAGAGCCACAACGTGCTCCACTCGCCAGACAGGCTTCAATCTGCAAGCTTGGCGTTTCCACGACGACCCGCGCGTTGAACGGTTTTGGAGCCACAGGGCATGCACCGAACAAAAATTGTCCAACATGTAGGTGTGTGTCAGTGAGTGAGGACCTCCCAATCAATTGTTTCGCCGTGGGTGTTAAGTTCCTCAACTTCTAAGAAGACCTTGCGCACCGAGCGCATGCGTATAGGTGTGTGTATTTTTGCATGCGTGCGTGTGCGTTTGCTGCAGAAGCCTTGCACCCCCCCACGACCGAAAACAAAACCAACGGATGCCAAGGCCTACTTGCCTCTACGATTCCACCTGGTTTCCAAGGCTACGTGTCTTCCACGGAACGTCATTGATTTGACCAGTGCCCCGGTGAGCTTTTCTCACCGTGCAGCTCTGTGTGACTCTTCTTTGGCCGAGTTGGGCCGACGACCTTTTTGGCCGACTGGGCTGCCGTCAAAAGAGCGCATGAGAAGGATGGCCGCGTGGGGTGGGCTATTCAGCCGACAGGAGCTGTCTCAGGTGTTGGAATGTACTAGACTCACTAGACATCATAAGCCTGTCCTTGGCAAGTCTACTCATGAGACAAGTCAAACTAATTGTTCTATTTTTTGGAGTTCTTGACGTCCTTGCGACTTGGTGTTCCCAGGTGCCCTCCTACAATTTAAAGGAACCATGAATGGATGCATCTTCGCGGAATGTATCTCCACGGCTTGGGCGTTTCGTTGCCAAGGGCCGTGACGCTGAGAAGTCCTCAGGTCGCACATGCTGGTGTCGCTCTTAGTGTGCTGACGGCTCTTGGAGCTCGCGCCGCTCTCCGGCGGCCGGTCGGGAGGCCCATGTTCTATGGTCGGGAGGCCGGTGGGAGGGTCATAGAATGTCATAGACTGGAACCAATGTGAGCAGACCCAAGACTCCAGTTATGAGATAGGATGAGATATGCATTGTTATGCTTGCCGATCATTCTACGAAATGGATTCTCCACATGATTCCACCACTTCAGCTACCACTTCTGGCATTTTCTGGCTTAGAGGCCACTTCTCGAGCCTTGCCAACTACGTTTACGATGAGCTGTAGTTTTGGATCATCCCTTCAACCCCTTTTTAGTGCAGGTCTGTGCAGATTCATGCTTGAGCCCATTCCACCTACTCCACTTTCACTAGAGCCAAGCCTTGAACGCTCTCGTAATGGATCCATGGATCCACTTGGGCGAGTCGAGCGGGCGACTTTCTGAGGCCATCGCGCGAAGGGCCGAAGAAGAGGAGTTCATCGATTATGATCCCGAGGACCCTGTGAGGTGAACTTCCCCATGGTTAGGGTAGTAGACAACTTTCGGGATTTGTTTTTACATGAGTGGATCTCAACCAGCTCTTTCCTTGGCAGAGCTTTTGGTAGGTCACCCTTTTGGAAACAGATGGCTACAAATTCTACGTGGGGGGTTCTCCAGCAATCTTCAGCATTCAAAATCCAGAAGATGTCAGATATCAGATTTAGACTTTTTGGGACCAAAGCCCGCTCTTGCCCATCCAATATTTTTCATCATAGGCACTACTCCACTACTCCTGGATACTCTTGGAGAGGATGTCCCCCAAAACGACATGGGTGGCAGTCAGAACATCCCGCAGGTGCCACTGTACGGTATCAGATCTTCATAGATCCTTGTGCGTTTGTTTGCCGTTGTTTGTTTCTTATTTATGGATGTTTTTTTCAGCGGCTTATGTTGGGAGCTCATGGCTTAAGCTTAGAAGACCAGGATGCTGAAGCAATTTTTTGAGAGCAGATTTCAAAAGTTTGGTACTACAGTACTATATATGTAGTATACTGGATGTTTTGGACATTGCACCAACTCAGAATCCTTCTGTCACTTTTCTTCTTCAGGTGCCCATCTACCTGTCGTTGGATCCAGCTAAACCACCAGCTACCGAGGTCCTGCGGAGTGATGTGAGGTCCGCGCCTGCTGAAGGACTGGGTGAAGCGGGTGAAGATGATCGAAGGTCAGCGTGCCCTTTTCGACGTCCTCCGGCAGCATGTAACGTGGCGATGCTCGGTTCGGCTGGTAAACAGAGACGACCGGGACGGGATGCCCAGAGATGAGGGAAACTCGGTTTTGCCACTCCCTGTTCCAAATGAACCCAGCAAGATACAATAGGCCTGGCCTACTGCAAGGTGATTGAGGTTTCCTGCATCGTTCCAAAGATTCTAGAGCTCATGATTTGGCAGACACAAGTTGCATGTTCTGCTCTTGCATGTTCTGCTCTAGGCTTCCTGCGCCAGTGCTGGTTGTCACAGTGAACCTGTCAGAGTATGGCAGTGAACCATATCAAATGTGTTTTTTCCCACAGATGGAACTTCGACTCTTTGTCTTTTTTGTCCAATGGTCCCTTCCAAGAAACATGAGTCGGACCCGCCCTTTTTTGACCTTCAAAAGCCCTGAAAACACCAGGTCTTCCCGCTCCAGCGGTCCAGGTCTTCCCATCACGATCATCACTGTCTCGCCCTTCGCACCAGGTGACGATCCCCAAACCCTTGGGCCTCGTTCCGGCCAACTTTCCCAACCGACGCTGGGTGGATGACCGGAAAGAAAAAATCGGATGACGTGGGAGCTGGTAGCGATGGATAGCTGGTAGTTTTGCATGGCCAGTGGGGAGGGTGATGGAGAGATGGATCGAAGAAGAGCTGGGGCAAGTTCTCCAGAGCTGTTCACAAGACCTTCCAAAAGGATTCCCCTCTCTACTTACTACTTTTTGGGGGGGGCCTGTTGAGAAAGAGTGACATCGGAGTGGTGTTACTGATAATTACAGGCATCTAGCCTAGGAATTATCCACTGCGACTTCTTTGGGTGTATTGTATTTTATGGCTATGAGCCTTTCACGCAAATAGCTTCCAAAATAATATAAGAGAAGTTAAATATAACCCTTTCATAGACTAAACCCAAAACACCGATCAAGTTGGATGCCCCAGGACCTGGCGTTGGTGTGGCCAAGATCACTCCGGAGCGGGTTTGTTCACACGTGACGTCCCACCGGACGCGCGGACGAGTTGGGCAGGTTTCGGCCCTGCTGGTTGCAATCCCAGCTAGAATGTACCCTAGCATAGTCGCTGGCATATGCATGCGTATGCTGGTGCGTTGCTGTGGGAAATTGGCCCAATCGCCCATCTTGGATGCTTCTGCAGTAAGATTACTTTTTCAGCTGGCATTTCCCTGCTATTTTCATGATCGTTGACGATTGATTCAGTCAACAATCTTTCTTGTGCTATAAAGCTCGGGTGTCCATTGCAGGCAAAAAGCTACAAGCACCCTCTTGTTACTAGTAGTAACAATGTTCGCTACTAGGAACAAGTGCCTTACTAGTAGTAACAAGGTTCGCTACTTAGGCACAAACGCCGGGAACCGCTCGAGGCACCCCTTTGCTCAAGGCATCGGTGCGTCGGTGGGTGATCTCGATGATCTCATGAGCGAGCTCGGGGCGACCAGCGCCAGGCCGCGATCTGCCCGCTTTTTTCAGTGGAATCAGCTACAGATGCAGACCAATCAGCTTTTATTGTGAGCTGAATTTTTGTGGAAGCCTGGTTCGACCTCGTTGTGGAATTCATTTTTGATAGCGGTTGGTGTTACAAGCTATAGACCTCAAAAAATGTGGTACAACATCCTTCACTGGGATTTCCAGAGCGGGAAGATGCGACAGGTCGCTGGGAGCTATGGAGGGGACGAGTGTGGATCTGTGAGTTTGCCAGCGTCCTTCACGATCTATTCCATTTGGAGGTCTCTAGGGTCTTGAGGCATCATTTCCAGGCGTGAGGAAGACAATAAATTAGTGGTGACTTGTCATTATTATGCCTTTAAAGGATCAACCTATTTAGCTTTTTGTAGCAAGGCTGTGACATATTTGACTATCGCCAGCTCGATGCGGGATTGCTCCGCTTCCTTTGCGGGTGTGCCCTTCCTACAACCCCCACAAATTAAACTTGCAGTGTAGGTACACAATACTTTCAGACAGGCCAGCACAAAGGTGCGCGCCATTGAGCATTTCTTCTTGCAGCTGGGAGGGAGACCCCGGTAGCAGCAACGAATCCGTCCTTCAAAGTTTGTGTAGAGCACAGGCCCACTGCAATTTGCAATGGCTACTCGAAGAGGATCCCTGCCAGACGGAGAGAACCAATCTTCAGCCCCACCTCCTTCACCAGCTGGAAGGCGACAGCTCGACAGCCCTGGGAAGAAGCCGTCACTGGGATGGTCATTCTGTGCAAGACTGGAGGGCCAAGGCTGATTACTGCTGGTGGTTCTACTCCCCCAAGGGGCAGCCACTTCAAAATTGGAGGAACATTGTGACCCGCACGGGTACTGAAGAGCTAATCCGGTTTACCGGAACGATGACCTATGGAATGGGAGAGCCAAAAAAAAACAGAAAGAGAAAGACAGAGAGAGAAAAAGAGTCAAAGAAAACTAGAAAGACATAAATATTGAAAGACATTGAAAGACAAAATAAGAAAGAAAGAAAGAGCAAGAGGGAACGAGACTCCGAAGCGGAGATGCAAATAGCCGAGTGATTCCTCTAGCTTTCGACTTTAACCGACGTGGTAACGCCAACGCATTTTCTTCATTTGGCCCTCTTTGGTGCAGAGAGTTGAGTGCAGAAAACAAATTGCACCTTGCCAGGTGCCAGTGCAAATCGCAAAGACATTCTGAAACCCCTCCCCAAACTGATTGAAAGACCATGATACGAGAATCGTTGTCCAAATGGCAACCCCAGTTGACGCTTGATATGTTTGTCAGCCATGCTTTCGGTCGCGAATAGGTCCCAATCACAGCTCGTTCGCACACGCAAGCGAACGGTCCTTAGGATCCTCCACAAGGTTGAGGCTTATCCATGGGCAGGCCGGAGACACCGAAGCTGGAAGGAACAAGAACGCTACTAGGGGCTCCTGGCCTTACTACGAGTAGCAAGCTACTAGGGCTCCTGGCATCGCTACTGGGAGCAAGGACGCTACTAGGGGCTCCTGGCCTTACTGCTAGGAACAAGAAGCTACTGGGAACAAAGGGCATCGCTACGAACGGAGCAAGGACGCTATGAGGTTGGAGGTAGGCCGGAGACACCGAAGCTGGTAGGAATCTTCACGTCAAGACTGATCAACCAGTAAGTCAGTAAGGGTCGGATGGTACGAGTCTTCCCTGAATCAGAAGTTGGTTGGAATCAATTGGTCAGCCGGTGCAATTGAAACCAGCTAGGAATCTGAGAGAATCCACTACCAACATCTGTTTTTTCTTAACAATGGGCATTCGATAGCTGACATGAAACCGGATGCTGAAATCCAGAAATTCCCATTCCTTATACAAGATCCCAAATGGAATGGCATGTTCTTAAGAACAGGTCGCCCCATCTCATCTCGGAGTTCCTCGCTCGCCTCTCGAGGCGCATGGGGTGGCCCGGAGCGTCCGGAGCCGGACGCTTCGAGCCGGAGGCGGCTCCGGATCTGCCGGCCCTTGAGGGCCAAGCGGCTGAAGCCCAGGCGAAGATGCGAAGGTCGAAGTTCCGAAAGCGGAGTAATGGCAGTTGTTGGCATAATACGTAAGTGTGACAAGTAAAATTAACTTATGTAAGACTGTAAGATGCATGGTTTGTCTTAGCATGTTGGAAGAAGTGCATCGTAAGTATGACAATGAAAATAAGCGACGTGTTGACATATTCACAAGAAATTCAGATGTTTATAGACATGATACATATCCCAAAAGAACAGCTGCGTTATAAGTTTGGGTGCAATTTCCCATGTCAGATCCACCACCGACGAAGCATGACAAAGTTGATTTTGCTCAAGAACGAAGCACGGGGCACCGACGAGGTTTGAAAGATCGGCTACCCAGAGCACTAGTGGATGGGGGCCATTGATGAGTGTAACCACTGTAACCTCTCCTTGATTTTCTTGGAGAGGTCCCGGAATTGGCCCGGCCCAAGTTCTTGAAGCTGGTGTTTCACTATATACCTGGCGTTGAAGATAGGGTTCATACAGCATACACATCCTGTAGTGCAGGTGTTTCGATCAATGCAGTAGAAGGCCCCCAAATCATAGGAAAGGCAATTCACCACCATCAGTCGGCCGAGCATTTTGACATTTGGTAAGAAGTCAATGCCCAAGAAACCCTCAATAACAATGTGGCAATAACTGGCGGGGCCAACGCCACAGTCTGGAATCTCTTCTTCCGCAGCCTCGTTTCCGCTCAAAACGCCAAGCGCCGCTGCCTAGACTTGAGCAAGCTGACCGATGCTACTGAGTGGAAGGGAAGGGGACACCGACCTACCTAGGGGAAAGTGCGAGCATACATGTTTGTGTCTCACTTTCGCGGGCGGGACATTTCCAGATCACACGCAACCCAAGAACTGCATAAGGTTGAAAGAGCATGGCCAGAAAACTAGTTACCAACCAACCCCATTGGCCACGGCATGCGAATATAGTTTTGGGTCAATGAATCTTTTGCTTGGGTGGTGCTTTGAGGTGCTTTGCCCACATGTATCCAAAGTGTGTGATATTTTGGGAGGTTCAGCAGTTCTGGCAATACGAAGGGAGCCTGAGGGGAGAAACAAGGCGGAGAATGGCAAGATTGTGAGAGTACTGCATCATGCCTCCAGCTAGAAGTGGAGAGGTGTCCTGCTGGGCTTGTGCTTTTTCGAATGGCTCACAGTCTAACAGGGAAAAGAGGGTCGCTGCAGCAGGTAGGAGGATGGTAGGAGGAGCGGCATTGAGATTTGTCAACACTTGAGACCTAAGCAGGTTGTACACCAAGTGTTGATCCTGTTGGCGATGGGAGATGAAGCCCTAAATCCACAAGCTTGAGCCATCCTTGAGGTATGGATGGAACTTGGCGCCAGCATTGGGAGCGTTGACGCCTTGAGAAGCAGCCGTCAGCGGTCAGCGATGTCCTCAGCGATGTCCACAGCCAATGGCGAGAGTCACTGGGCCTCGGAGTCTCAAGCTTTGGATCACCAACTTGTCCTAGTTGGAGAATCAACTTGTCCTAGGTCCTAGGTTGTGATATTCTCAAAGCTTGATCACCAACTTCTCCCCGGCAGCTTTGGATCACAGAGCTTTGGATTTGTCTCGATTGGGTGTTTCAGGGATCGTTTTGGGGGCGCTGTTTGGTGCCGGTGCTGCTTTCCAAAACGATCGGGACTCCTCAAGCAGTCCTTCATGCAAACACTGAACCTGTCAAACTCAGACCTTTGACCAAGCTGAAAAATCTCTGAGTTTGACAAGGTCCAGGGGTCAAGGTTTTAGAGAACAGATCAGAGGTCTAGCAACACTCATTCAGTTTTTGCAGGATCACTGTCAGTGTTTGTATCGTTTCTATTTAGAATCCACGTTTTCAACAGGGCTCCTTCATTTTGCAGTCCATGAGTGTCGAAAGTTGTAAGTGACCGTGATCATAGCATTCACTGATGGCTGGGTGTTGAAACAAACCTTTCACAGTTGGACCTGGATCAACTACAGTAAGTCAAAGTGAAACCGTCGTTCTTTATTCACCCTTCCCCTTCCTTGGCTCACAGCTTTGGGATTGTCAAAACACACCTGAGACCCGAAACTGCCGCGTCTTCCGAAGGCGAAGTCACTGAACCGCTGGAAGAGCCACGCGCCCTGAGAGATGAAAGGCGCTTTCTGCATCAGCGCTTCGACGCTTGGTGTGATCGGTTTGATGTTCTGAAAACCTCAGCTTTTCGTACTTTCCTGGCAGCACTTCATCAAGCTCAAAGGACGAGAATGAGGATGAGTTATTCACTCAATGAAGACTTCATCCCAAGCGCACAGGGTCATTTCCTCCAATGGCGGCAGTGTTCATTCCTAGTCCACCTACTACCATAGGCGGGGAACTCCAGCGTTCGCTCGTGCTTTGGGCGAGTCCAAATTGTGAGGAGAAGCTCAAGTCAGACCATCCAGATGCTTGGATGAATTCATCAAAGATAAGTGCAGGTTGGGAAACAGATGAAGAGAATACGGGATTTGTAACACCTCCAGACTTCTACCCTAATTAGCAATGTTGGTTCATTACCTCAGCCAGTGTGGCGCCGTGGCGCTATTTTGCATTGTTACTGTATATGATATGATTGGATCTTGTGACTTTGATCATTTGGGCTTTCTAACAAGAAGCTACTAGGGGCTCCTGGCATCGCTACTAGGAGCAAGGACGCTACTAGGGGCTCCTGGCCATACTACTAGTTACTAGTAGCATTCTTACTACTAGCTACAAGAAGCTAGGGGCTAGGGCAGGGGTGCCTCACAAAGTGGCCAGGGCTTCGAGCCCTCCAGCGTTCCCTTTGGCGTGGCCTTCTCGGGGGGCGGAGTCCGTGCAGCTGCCTTCCATTGTGGCCTTTTGCGCCTCGGCTGGAGTTGGAAGATGGAGCCCAAGCGCCCCAGAAGACAGACAGTTCATGTGCGCCTGAGGTGGGCATTAGCTGCTCAGGATGTCTTGAAGGCTGGAGTCCGTACTGGTTGTTTGGGTCGCCTTTTGACTCAGGACCTGGACTTCCTGAGGGGTTAAAAGCAGATCTGGCACACCAGCCTTAATAGAGGTTTATCAGTACCAACTTACCAACCCTGCTGAATGACACAAGAAACATCAAATATCTGGCAGAAGTTGTAACCACAGTGGATCAATCTGGATCATCCCTGGTCAGATGCTTCCACCAACCACCACTAGGATCGGATCTCGTCTCAAACATCCCGCCCACCACTGGCAGGATGTCAGCCATTTGGCCTCCGTCTCGGGCGGCGCCTACACCGCCGCTTGCTACGCCACCCACCTGCTGAAGCTGGCGGAGGAAGCGCCTCCTCCGGGCGCAGCTGGCAGTGGTGGGCTGGATCGCTGGTGGCCCGGCGCTTGAGGCCAAAGAGGAAGAGGAAACTGCACCCTGAAAATTGCGGCTATAAATGGACGCTGACAAGCTCTCCTTTGTTGGTATAAGGCGCTTTGCAAAAAATAGTAAACATCCTCATGCAACATCGCGATAACATTGCGTCCCTTCCAAAAGTCAGCGCTTGGGATGGGAGAAGTCACTGTTTCACACTTTCCAGTGCAAGCAGATGAGGCCATAGAACCTATCGACGTCGACAATCAATAATCATCAATCAATCCCCAAATGTTGAATTCCTGACTAATCTTGGTCCTGCCAGCTGAGGCTGTTGCCATGTTTGTTTTCAGCTCATGTTTCCACAAAGCCGAATATCACTTCAACCCTTGTGGTCCGCAAGGCAATAGGACATGTTTTTGGTGGTTTGTTGAGCGGCCAGGAATCCTTGAATTTGTTTGTTCACACTTGCAAGCCTTGGCATGTGTGACTTGAGCCGCACATTCCTTTCAATCCTTTTTTGAGCATTGGCTCAAATCCTGAAAGCCAATGTGCTGGTAGAGTTGTAACAGCACCCTCCATGACTAGCAAAGGTTTGTGGTATACGTACTTTTGTGGTAGCAGTAGTCGCTCGCAAAGCCTTGGCAAGGAGGGGCCTCTAAGATCTTTGGACATCCATGGTTCAGAAGCCATAGATATAATGCCTCAGAATATGCCAGAGACGCCCTATTTTCCGGTCCGGTTCAAGACAGCAAAAGTACAGGGAAACGATGCGGGTGTTGATCCAGCTCACAGGTTTTACCGAATCGTTGTTTCGTCGTGGCTAAGGTACAAGGAGGTTGCAGCCAAGACCATCCTCCGCATGCAGCAGCTCTTTTGAACTCATCGAATGAGCGGTCTGTCTCTGAGGTGTGTTCGAGACTTTCCAGCCCACAACAAGAGAAGCATGGAGAGAGAGTGTGGATACATTTATACTAACACCCTTAGGCGTGATGTCGGAATTTGTCAGTCCACAGACTGACTCTTTGATTTGTGGGGGCAGGAGAACCCAAATTCGTGTTTTGTGGCCAGTTCTTTATGATGTTTAGCAGTTCTAGGTAGCTGCCACGTGCTGGGGTTTGTTTTGAAGAGACCGAAGGTCCAGACAAATGCGTCTTCCAACAGATTTGGAGCTCCAAAATGCTGGCAAGATAATGAAAAGCCCACGCTCGCTGTCAACAACCTGGACTGGTTGCTTAGTCAGTGATGGCCCTCCACCGATTCCATTCCAGTCCTTCACATGGTCCGTATAAAAGCCTTCCCAACAACACGCATGGAATGGAAGTGGAAAACAGCAAGACCAATTCTCCCAGTGTTGTGTTTCTCCGTTAGGATGACAGGCAGTTGTTACCTCGTGACATTCTTTGTTCTCCCAGCTTGACCGTGCGCAGCAACCTTCCTTAAGGCACAATATCAATTATTTGGTGCGCGGTGGACGGTGTCAAGACCCAGAGTCAGAACGGGGCCGTGGCTGTTGCCCAAGAATATTTGACATCCCCTTCTTCATTCTGACGCCCTGGCTGAGCATAGTTCTTTGTGTGGCAGGTGGTGCTTCATTACATGCATCACACTGTGAAGGCGGCTGACCGTGTAGTTGGTGGCCCCTGAACACACAGATGTACACAACACTTGGATTGTCTGGAGGACAACATGGATCCAAAATTCTGCTAGATGCTTCAGGCTGGTTACCACAGCCATTTTGCGAGCATTGACGTTCCCCAACCCTTATTAAATGATAGACGCGGGTATATGTTTTTGGGGTCTTCTAGGTGCAAGATGGTACGTACCCGTAAAATTCATTTGGCCAGATGAAGCCTGTCACGCTGAAGATCCTATTTCAGGAATTCAGTGCCGAGCCCGAGGCGGCATCCAACCAAATCACTGGTATGCAACCCGAAAACGATTCCTTGGAAGTCCATCTTCCTTTAACATCCTTTAACACCAGTGGGGAGTTTACATTCTTCTTTTTGGCTTGGGCCTGGTTTCGCCGCTGTGCTAGATTGGCTTGCTCAGCTCTACGTCAGGATTCCAAGAACTACTTTTCGCATGCTGCTGCCCGCATTATTGAGGCTGATGAGGGCCATGTCTCCTCCAAGCTATGGGCTGCTATCCGTCATCGCTTGCCGGGCAAGCAGAAGAGGTCCTCCGGGTTCTCTCCCTTGGCATGCGAACGACTGGATGACCAATGGCATCCTCACTTTGATGCCCTTGAGTTGGGTGAGGCGACTACTCCAGGCTCTTTACTTGAGGCATGTCATGCCCGGCAACAAAATGCGCCGAAGCTCCTGCCTCTTCGAGATGAATTACCGACCATTATGGATGTTGAGGCAGCCTTGCGGCGAGTCTCTCCCAACAAGAAAGGTGGTGATGATCAAGTTCTTGGTGGTGTTCTTCATTGGGCTGCCCCAGCGATTGCGCAGGAGGTTACCTGCCTGTTTGTGAAGATCATCGGTGCTCAGGCTGAACCTTTGGCCTTCAAAGGGGGTCGTTTGGCCCCCATTCACAAACGGGGTTCTCGTTTGGACGCAGCCAACTACCGTGGTGTGCTCCTCCTTCCGAGTCTTTCCAAAGTACTGCATTCACTGTTGCGAAAGCAACTCATGGCTCGACTTGATCCTATTCGACCACCCGGCTTCCCACGGCAGCAGGTCGTCTTTGGGTCTCACCGTGCGCGCATGTTTACCAGAGTTGCATCTGCCAAAGGCATCAGTTCGGGTCTGCTTTTCATTGACTTGTCGCAGGCCTACCATCGTCTGGTGCGCTCTTTGAGTGTCGGCCTTGGAGACTCTGGGCTACGGGATTTCGATGCCTGCATGAGGTCGTTAGATCCAAGGGCTCGCTTGGAGTATGTGCGCTCTGCTTTGGCTCCTACGTTGCTTGAGTCCATCTTTGAGGGACAGGCCATTTTGCTGATGCTCCAGGAGATCCACATTGACACCTTCTTCCACCTGCACAAAGACTTCGCCACGGTGACCCGTACTAGCAGGGGCAGCCGTCCTGGCTCTCCTTTGGCGGATGTCATCTTTAGTTGTGCTATGATTCGCATACATGAGGATCTTGAACTTGCTGTACGTTCTCACCCCAGTGTTCGACCTGCCGCTGCTGTTCTTGGTTTGGAGCCCTCCCTCACCACTTGGGCAGATGATGTAGCCATTGAATTGTGCTGCTCTACGGCGGATGTTTTGGTCCCTCTGACTTGTGACATTGCCAAGGTTGTGCGTCGGATATTTGCGGCCCGTGGGATGCACGTCAATCTCGGGCCCACGAAGACCTGTGCAGCCTTGACCTTTAAGGGACGTGGGGCTCCGGCCGCTCGTACCTTTCATCTTGTGGAGGAGAAGGGATGCTTGGTTGCTGATGAGGATTTTGGGAACTTCTGGCTCCCCTTTGTCGCTAGATACAAACACCTTGGGACCGCCTTCTCCACTGAAGGCGACTTGGCCCATGAGATTGCTGAGCGGATTGGTGCCGCCTCTTCGGCGCTGGTTGCTGTGCGCAAACCTTTGGTTGGCAACCGCAAGTTGAACTCCAAGACCCGCCACAGTTTGGCGGAAGCTTTGGTTTGCTCCCGGCTGCTTTTTGGTGCAGGAGTGCAGGAGCATGGCATGCACTTCCGAGTCGTGTCCAGAAGAGGCTCCACTCCTTTCTCACGAAGTTGTTTCGTGAAGTTTATGATGCGCAATTTTGGAGAGCCACTGATGGGAAGTTTATTCCTTCTGACGACCAGCTTTATGGTGACAATGCTGTGCAGGAGCTTGATGTGCGGTTGGCCCGGCTTCGCCTTTGTTATGCCGGGGCTCATCTCTGCGGCACAGGTTGAGAAACAGTGCTGCCCGGATGCCTGGCTCCTTGCCGTTGAAGCTGATCTTCAGTGGCTTCGAGCTGTGGTGCCAAATGCCCCATTCTTCGCGGATGACTCTTGGGAAGGGCATCTTCGATACTGGCAGGAACAACCTGGCCCTTGGAAGCAGTTGGTGCATCGTGCATGTGCTCTGCATCTTTGGCAATCCCGCACCAACAAGGACACCCTGCGGTGGCACGGTCGCATCATTGACCTCTTGGAGCAGTCGGGTATGGAGCGCTCTGTTCCGCCCTCAGCACTACCTGTTCGAGCAGTTGAGGCTTCTGGGGCTCTTTGTCATTGTGGCAGACGCTTCGCATCTCGGACAGCTCTTGCGGTCCATCAGGTGCATACCCATGGGGAGCACGCTCCTGAGTGGCACATGGCCCAGGACACGGTCTGCGGTGCCTGTCTTCGCAGTTTTTGGACAAAGGCTCGCCTGAAACAGCACCTTGCATACCTACCTCGGTCTGGCGCCCCCAACGCCTGCTTTGAAGCTTTGCGGCAACGATCTTTCCCCTCAGCATATGCTTTGGTGGGGGAGCCGGCCAAACTCCCGGGCTTGGCGCGCCATGATGCCCTTCCTGCTGCGGGACCTGTTGGTTTAGGTCTGACCCTGCACGAGGAGAAGACACAGCAATGGCGGGACGAGCTTCTTGACTTTCGAGCCCGCCTTCGTTCCCGGGGTTTCTTCGAGGATGGCACCCGAGTTGATCAGGGCCTGCACCCGACGTTGGATGAGATCACCACCTTGTGGTACGACCAATGGCTTCGTGATTACCCCCATGGCCCCAATTTGGAATGGCTACAGGGTGCTTGGCTGACCGCCTTGTCGGATTCTGGCAATGAAGATGCGGCCTTTTTGAGTTTTGGTCGTTGGGAGTCCGCTCTTGGCATCCTGCACTCGAGTTGGGAAGATGGTGAAGCCAGCCACTTTGTTGAAGATGCCTTTGTGCGCTTGTGCGCTGACGTGGAGCTTCTGCAATGGGTGGCTCGCTGTGATCAACTAGCCCGGCTACTTGATCTTCCGTCCCCAGAGGACAATTCGCTTGACAGGATTCGTGCCGACCAAGTACGAGCTCGACGCATTCAGCATCGCAATCTGGGGGAACAGCGGCAGGCTCGTGTGGGTCTGAGTCGACCATATGCAGCCCAGGACAACTTTGCGGTTGACTTCGATCCGGACTTAGTGCGTGTTCCTCCAGGGGGGTCTACTACCGTCCCCTGCCTGTGTCGTGGATTAACACGGCGCTGCTTCTTGGTGGTGCATCTTTTCTCCGGTCACCGGCGAGTTCGGGACTTTCACTGGCACTTGCAGCGGATGGCGGCTGAGTCGGACTTTGACATCGCTATCCTGTCCTTTGACACGGCGGTTGACTCGACGCTTGGTGATCTGAGGAGCTGCTCAACGTCCTGGAAGCACTTGGAGACTCTCTACCACAAGGGTCTGGTGGCTGCCACGCTTGCTGGGTCTCCTTGTGAGACCTTTAGCGAGGCTCGATGGACTCCCTTGGTGGATGCGCTTGGAGTTGAGCTTCGTGGCCCACGCCCACTTCGAACCACTGCGAGGCCTTGGGGGCTTGATGGGTTGACGCTCCGTGAAATGCGTCAGCTTGCACAGGGCAGCGCCTTTGCTTTGCAGGTTCTTTGGTGCGCTTGTGCCACTTTGCTTTGGGGAGGCTTTTTCATTTCTGAGCACCCGGCAGCTCCTCGTGATGAAGGCAGGGCCACTATGTGGCGGATGCCCATTATGCAGACCTTGCTGCAGGCTGTTCAGGCCCAATTGGTGACCATTGCTCAATGGCGGTGGGGATCTCGGACACCAAAACCTACCACGCTCCTTGCTATCCGATTGCCGTTTTTGAGGGCATCGATGGACAAGTGGCAGATTGGTGGCTTGAAGAAGCCTGAGGCTTGCGCCATGGGCCTTCACGACGGTGTCTTCCGCACGGAGGAGATGAAGACCTACAGTGAGGCCCTTTCTGCCGCCTTTGCCCAAGGCATTTTTGATGGCCTGCGGAAAGCCTTTTTGCATGGTCATTTGCGGACTGGCTCCCTTCCTAAGGAGGTTGAGCCGTTTGTCACGACGCTCCGGCATCTGAGTGGGCTTATTGATCCACAAGGCCATCGCTTGCCGGACTTTCAAGATCGCGCCTGATCTTGAGCTTGCATCGCGCTTTTGGCTTCGGCTGCGCAAATTGACGCGACGGGTCACAAGGCCCTGACATGCCCTTGAAATGAAAAACATGAAAAAACTGTAACACTGGCAACTTCCCATCCCACAATGGTGAGTGAATCCCTGAATCCCACAGGCGTTCGGCCCCTGGCCTTGGATGTCGCTGGAGGCCTCGTTGCTTCAGAGAAATGGGCTTTTGGGCCTCAGCTGTGAGAGCACATGTTGGCATGGCCCTAGAACCCCCTTGGAAACCATTTTCCTCTACAAACAATGGGGTTGTCCACTTCCATGGTTTTCGTTGAGGGAGGGTATGTCCTAGGCATTAGAAACTCGGCTTTTACTTGACCTCGTAGTCAGAACCGATGTGTGGGACCTCACTCCCGCGGAAGCCCCGCCAAAACCGTGGGTTTGTTCTCGTGGCCCGACGAGCGGTGGCCCGACGAGCGGATGCTTCAGGACCATCATCGCCACGGCCTGCATTTCACCGGCATTGATTTTCATCAATACGGTGGCCCAGACGACATCGGCGAAGCGTCGCGAGCGTTGCCGGATGCGGAGGATGCGGAGAAACACACCCCATGTGGCTTGAAAAAGGTAATTGACATTCCTCATATCATATCAATACATTTAGTGCATGTTGGGGCTATATAATGCATAGCTGCATAGTTTGAGGGGCCTGAATGAAAGATAATACCATATATGCTTGATCGATGAAGTTGAACAGAAAACTCATACCCCAGTAGGAATGTCCATGTCCAGGCTGGAATGTTCAGCCACATTACTCAAGCACAGTTGATGTGAACTCCAAGAATTGCAGTGACCGCGTGCTCCTGTTGAACAGCCTTTGGCCCTCCGCCCCACGAGCCCGCAGCGGCATCAACCGACCCATGACCCGGGTTGCCCTCCTTGGTGCACCGGTCGCCCAGGTGTGGCCCTTAGTGTTGTGCATTGAGCATGAGTTGGCGGCCACCCTGCGCTCAGCCTGGTGTGATCCTGATCACATGGCGTACAGTGCAGCGCTCTACCAGTGGTCGAAGATGCCTGGAACGAAGTGCCACCAGGGGATGGAGTGGAGTTGCCCTTTTTTTCCTCTCCTCTGTGGCTATAGTCAAATAATGACATCCCTATGTGGGGGAAGCGGCCTTGGACCTTGACCCTATCGAGGTCTATGAATTCAACTCCCTATGGCCAGTGAGTTGGTGAAATGGTGACTTTATATAACTTTGACTTTAACTTATTAAAGGTAACCTTTATATAAGATCTTCCTGCCATTGGTGACTCATGCAAAGAACCACGCCCAAAAGCAACCTGGCTACCTGGACCGGCGATTTCTGCATGCAGAGGGTTAGGCACCTGTCCAGTTAGATGCTGCAGTTCTTAATGCGAGATGGTTCGAGTTTGTTTGAGGGACGGCCTGAAATAAAGGAGGCCATTTGCCTTTGACATGGGATGATAGTTCACTTGAACTTAGAAAGCCAAGGGTTGGTGCTGGTCAGCTTCTTCACCCCTCTGCGCATGCCTAGAAGGGACAAGAGACTCCCTCATTCACGCATGGACCGAGCAATGGTGGCATTAGGCTTCGCGATCTGTGAAGAAGCAAGATTCTAGAGTGTGCAAAGCGCCTGGACCAGCTTTCTGCTTATTCGTGGAAACACGCGTGTACAATGCTGCGACAAGCTTTTTTCGGGCTGTAGGCCGATAACACACTTGATTGAGCAACGGCCAAGATGGTGACTGCGTGGAATTTTCCGAAGTAGCGCGTCAGAGGCACCTCGAAGGGCAACCATTGCTGTCGGCTTTGATATATGCCAAGTGCAGCAAAGAACGTGTTTGAGCTCGAGCCTTTAGCAAGGATGTGTGAGGCAACAACTTTGTGCAGCCGGTGTCATTCCCACTCCGCCAGTCTCCGTCATAAAGCGGTCAATAGTGCCAATATCAACGTCGAAGAGGCAAAACTGCCCTACTGAACTGGGCTGGTGGAATGTTCGACCGTCAGAGAAACGCATGTCACAGACGAAGGGAGGGCAGAGGACAAAATACAAACAAACAGTTGCGGCAAACTGGACTGGTTGGGCGATACGTGCCCGGACATTGAAGCAAAATGGCTGGCTCAACTTCCGGAATTTCAAAAAAGAACAAGGCGAAAGGCCAGAGGGTTGCGGATCCTTCATATTCCGCAGTTTTTCTCCTATGAGACATCAGCATGCAATTTGGGGACCTCCCTTGTCACACCGACTCACACCTTAGGAAACACAAGCTCCTTCCACGAGAAGAATCATGTTCTCCTTTTGGTTCTGTCTCTTTGAGGAATTTTGATGATATTGATGGATATTGTTCTTGTTCTCCATTTCCTGGCTTTTCCTCCCACATCCTTTGATCCCTAGGACTCGCTTGGTCTACTTTGCAGGGCTTACAGCTGCCTTGGGCGTTTTGTTGGCTTTGCTGGCGCGCTTGGGCTGCTGTCGGCCCAACCGAGCCTTGACGGATGGGCCGGTGCCGAACCTATGCGGATGGCAGGCTGTTCTTGTTTTAATGTTCGCTTTTGATTCATTTGCCCCCCATACTTTCGAGGCTCAAGCATCTCCATTTCATTTGGGTCGATACATCTCCCCAGGTGGGCTGGGCATTCAACAATCGTCAAGGCTAGTGCATCACGTGAGAAGCCTTGATGTTGAAGTTCCGTAAGCCATATTTTCCAAAACGCTTATATACTGTACATAAGGGGGTCCAATGGAATAAACATCAGGACTTTAAGACCTCAATTGTTGGTAGATTATGGTAAATTGATGTATGCAAATTGTGAGGCTACACTATGTAAGTGGCTTTTTATTTACACGCACAAAGGTAAAAGGAACAACGCTGCAAATCAACCAAAAACACATCCAGGACGAAACTAGTATAAGTATATAGTACTATATATAACAAAAGGTTTGTAGGGAGAAGCATAAGCACATTTGGTCACAATCAGACCACAAACATGTCAATATGTCAAGCGTCCTTGCTTCGTTCGTAGCGATGCCCTTTGTTCCTAGTAGCCTCTTTAAGTATTGACTTTCGGGGTGCTTGGGCCTCTTGTCAAGTCTATTTCCAGGCGTGCCTACGTGCCTTGATATTACAACGATGGACTCAATGAAGGAATCCCACTCCAATCATCAATCATGAGAATGTGAAGCTTTTGTCTACCACCCACACATTATGCAGCACTATATCAAGACAAGATTTGATTATCCTGACCCAGTTGAACTACTGAGTATTCAGTGATATTCAGTGTTTGGAGTTTATGAACTATCCATTCATCAAACCGCTTGATGATAAATAAGATAGTGAGGGCGGAATCAATCAATCAATCAATCAATCAGGATAAAGGAGGATCGCACTTCAGACTGCCAAGAACTGTCAATTCATTCTCCCAAGTGAACCATGAAAAAAGTGTAGCCTGAGGAGATCAATATTTGTCTCACCTCTTTCGACGCTCTATGCAGCAAGCGCCTTGGATGAAGAAGGCAGGGGTTGGCTGTGGTGTTGTCAGCAATGTTGCAACTGAGACTTTTGGACATGTTGTAATATGGTGAAAGTATATGAAAGTGATCATGTTCATATACGCTATATATATACACATACATTTAGATGATACTATATATACATAGTGTATTTGTTAAATATGTATGTAAGTATATTCATCATTTCAATGTTCAATGTTTATCAATTCTCATTATTGTAAACATGTATATCAAGGTGCCATGTGTCCGCTTTTTCATTGATTGTTTGTTTTCCTCCTTGGTTCTTTGCCACGTCCGTCGGCCCTCCCTTCACGACGATCTTATGTTGCTTTCACTTGCTTGGGTTTACATTGCTTCTTCCCACATCCTGCTTCAATAAGACTAAGAGTATATGGTTTTTAGACGATTTTGAATCCTCGAGCTATATGCTCGACCATAAGCAATACGCAGCCCCATTGGATTCGTCCCCCCCCAAAAAAGCGCCTTACCACGGAAAACCCATCATGGGTTCCCCCGCATCAGTTTTCGAGTTGAACTCGTTTCGATACTCCTCGGGTGGCCTGAGGTGTTGATCAGAGGCGCGATTTGTTATTCGATCTATGTCACTGTGCCCTGGATCCTCCTCCAAATGCAGCCGCCCGGCGTGCCATTGGCAGACGTGACCATCACAAAAGGGACCATAAAGAACTCGAATTACAGGTGCAGTTGCAAAGATGGAAAATATCCGAAGGTTTTGTTCCAAAGCCTCCCTGAAAGGACTTTCATCCAATTTCAAATCTTTACGTCGGCTTTACGTGCGTTGCTGAGGAATCCTTCAAACCCGCACCACTTGAATGATGCAATGATGTCATGCTGTCATGCTCAGAGGTTGCTCCGCCATAGCGATCCATATATGTGGCTATGGTTAAAGGAATCAGACCCCCAAAAACCCGCCCCGCGAGTGTAGACTGTTTTCACTGGGTGGCTGGATGGTAGCCATGGACGCCAATGGCGGCACAAGGTCATTTCAGGATGGTAGTTTCTTTGTGCTGAGCAGGGCTGGGTGTTTTATATGGGGCAGGGAGCTACGAAGACACACCCAACATTTACTTGGAACCTGCGGCGGACTTCTTATTGTAAAAAGATGGCATGTGTTTGACGGGCCCATGCCTCAGCTCACTCAGCATGTGATTCAGTTGTTGATTTTGGATGGCCAATGACAAGCCCACAGCCGGTGGCATCCTTCTGCACCCAGGAACCTCACTTGGGGTGCTACCCCAGCGTTCTTCTCCAATGGTGCTGGTGAAGGCAGTGAGTGGGTGCGTTACTACTGCTGGAGGTATATCACTGAGAGTATCTTGCCCGAAGGCTGACGCGAAGTGCATCGATGGTTACTCTAGCCGCAGAAGCCCCACTCGGAAGAACCACCATGGCCTGACCTGGGCATGCTTTTGTCATGCTGATGGCAGGCCATGAGCAGATTTGAATGGAGGAAGTTTGGAGGTTGTTTTGGGAATGTTTACACCTTGCACTACCCTGTGTGACTGTTTAGGTCAACCCTATCCCAGTAGTATTTGGTACAACTTGAGCAGCTTGATTATAGTTACAGGATTAGTTACATATTGAGCTTATTATGCGCTCACCAAGCATGTATTATTTAGTATACTGTGTTCAAACATGTTCAAACGCAGTATCGGTGCTGCATGATCAAGGTATTGAGAGGCCATCCTGCATTGATCACACCCAGTTCCACGGGCCTTTGTGGTTCGATGATGGGCACAATTATCTCTACAGGACGTTCAGCTGGGAAAAGGGATGGAGTTGCAAGGCGTCATAAGCACGTGCAAGCTGCCTTGTGTGTTTTGGTGATGAGTCTTCCCATGCTCTTTTCGAAACAAAACGCCCTCCCAAGAATGTTGGCAAACGATGCTAGCAGCCCGAGGGCCAATTCTTCATGGCTCTTGAGATATTTAAGGAGTTGTTCAGCGGAAAATCCCTCAGAAATTCTCCCAAAATGACCATGGCATCAGCCAGGAATGCCAGCTGGGTGGCTGAACACCACATCGCCCACCCCAGCGGGGCGGACCCGGGTGGGAACACTGCATACACCACGCCCATGTGGCGCGGTGCACGAAAGTGTGCACCTGGGTGGTGCTGTCGAGTTCGCTGGGGGGAGGCAGGGCCTGGCGAAGTCGGAACTAGGAATTGGTTTTGTTTTGAAACAGTATTCCACCTTAGGATATACTCTGTAAATAATGATTGTTTTATGTAAATATAGTACATATGCATTAATATTACACATAGCTTTGGTGTGTTTTTGTCAGGCTTCCCAGAACTTCCGTTACCTCTTGAGATCCTGGCATCCCTACCAATTAGTCAAGAACCGAAAAGATGAATATGAACACCGTTGGGAGACGTGGACGGCTGCGCCGCCCACACTGAAATCATCGCAGTTTTCTTGTGACTCTTTAGCTGCGCATGACGTCACGAAGACCGTCAAAGTTCCACTTGTAGCTTTACGCAGTTTTCTCAGAGTTCTTTTTTCCTTGGTTTGTGCGCCAGCTCACCCCAAGTGCAGATGCGGACTTTGTGATCGGGCCGAGACATTGGACTAAATTGGACTGTCGAATTCCAACTACCCGTTGAGAAGTTAGACATCGAAACCCCATCTTCTCAGTGATTTGTGACGTATTTAATGGTTTAATGATGAGTCCCGCTATCATCATGATCTGTTGGATTTAGCAAGCTATGCCAAAAGACTGATCTCCTAGTGGGCTTCCGGGGCAGGAACGGTTCTTGAACGGCCTGCCATTCCCAGTCAATTGTATTTCAAGACATGTCCTTGTAGCCTTGGGCATCCTTGTATGTAATACCGGACGCTGCAACCAAGATGGGCCCAAATTGGATGCCCCATTGCTTCACTGCTGGATGTTCAGCTCACTGTGGAGGAGGAGGGCAGTCTCCTCCAACTATTTTCCACTATGAACCAACGATCTTCAAGTCTCAGCCAAGTCGCCGGTCCTTTGATTTGCCTGGGCCTCTGAGGTTTTTAATTGTCAACCTTATTATTTTCGCAGCTGGCTTGTCACTGGGCTGAGGAATTCCCCACGTTTGCGCTAATAACAACAGGTATTATTGGGATGGTATATTGTTTTTTGCTCATCTGCACCAAGTATGCAACATCTTTTTGCTGGGATCATCTCGGCGTGCTTTACTGGTAGATGTTTCACTGATGCTGCTCAACATTTCGACTCATAGTGGGCGTTTCTACCCTCACAAGTCATGGTCAAGATCCCGTGATGTGTCTTTTTCATATTTTTTCAGGTTTACTTTGTCTTATTGGGGTTTACAAACTCACACATCCCCGCACATGCTTCCCCCTGATTATACACATTTGTTGTTGCTTGCTCAATTGGGGAACCTCGAAACGTAGCAGCAATTTATGTTTGACCTACTGACCTACCTGTGTTGCTTGACAATTTCACGGTGTACCTATATATTATATAGAAGTAATGCGTAATGACATATAATGACGTATAGATCTTAAAGTATAGATATGTTACTGTATCGCATGGTTCTATGCTATATGTAGGAACCAAACTCATGTTTCTTCAGGCAGCCACTCCCTCCAATCCCATCCCATCATCCTCAATCGTGCCACTTGATGGCGTCAAGACTCCACCAAATCGCAGGAGATCCTTCTTTTTGATCCTCCTTTTCTGAATTGGTGTCAGATAAAATTTGCAGGAGTCCGTTTTGGGGGGTGAATACCGTGGTTTCCGAAGGCTTCCAAAAGATTTTATGTTGATTTTACCTGTCACCAATCCATTGAGCCTTCGTTTCTCCCGAGGATTGGGCTCTTGTGGGGTTTGTCGCTCCTCCGGTGGTACCTCACCTTAGCGGGCCCCATTTGGGCAGCGTTCCTGGTGGCTCTGGTCGCCCAATGGCAGATCTTTGGGCCCTTGACGGGACAAAGCTTGTTCCCCAACCTCTTGCGCCTTGGCATGCGGTGGATCTGGGCGAAGCTGGGGAGTGAGGTAGGCTCCAAGTAGATTCCAAGTAGATGGAGGAAGGCTCAGACACTCAAGGTGAAGGTTGGGAGGTTCTAGGGCAGCTAGTGTTTTTGAAAACCGTGTTTTTAGGTCAAGGCATCCCCAATGTGCAGATTCTGACGCTACTGCCTGGGATCCACGCCAAATCATTCCCATGGGGTTTGGGGGGATTTGCTGAGTATAGCGTATTGCTTTCCATCCAGACTTGTTTTCTGCAACCGGCGCTGTTTCTCAGTTCGACAGGTTTTGCCACAGCGGATCCCCAAGTTTGCAAGGTATTACTCCCACAGCAGCAGCTCCTGGATTTTCCACGTTTGCATCATTGCAGCTGCGGCTTGGCACGAGCAATCAGCGGATCAGAGAAGAATGGTGTCTTGTTTCCCTTCACTTCATCATGCAACCAACGTGTTCGGGATAATTTGTTTTTTGGTTTCTCGTATTGGTTTGAGGTAGCCCAAGGACCTCGCACAATATGGCCAACATGGTAGATAGAAGGGGGCGATAGGCCTTTGATTGAAGTTGGAACAGCTTCCAGAAGCTTCCACCACCTCTGAGTTGCATCAATTGCATTGAGCCGGTTCGCCAGATACCAGGTTATTACATTGCCGATCTACGACCTGTTGATCAAATTGATCCACTCCTACTACCGGCGCTCATTGCAGTTGGCCTACTTTTGCGATGGCGAAGACATCGAGTTCCCAGCTGCAGCAGATAGCCCCTACTGCCCAAACCTGCTGCTGGGGGCGTGCATTAATGATTTTCGCAGACCAGAAGCTATGCTGCAATTAGTTATTATACAGATTTGCCTCCCAACATCTCCCAACCACTGATTGCTCAACCATCTCACTTTCGCATGTCGAACTCACACATCTCCAGTTCTATTTTGGGGAAGATCAACTTGTTGATTTGGGTGAGCCTGCCAATGCCATCATTCCGAACATGCAGGAGGACGGGACTACTTTGACAAGGGTCCCTCTATTTCCATCCTTGTTTTTTTTTCAACTTTTGGGTAGGTAAGGTGTAGGGCCTCGAGATTTATTTAGAGAGGGCACTATTCAACCGGTTGCATGACTTTCGCGCCTTTTGCTTGTGTTGCTTTGCTTTGCCTTGCCTAGCCTAGCCTTGCCTTGCCTTGGCTGGCTGCTTGCTTGCTTGCTTGCTTGCTTGCTTGCTTGCTTGGGTCAATCGCCTATGCCACCTCACTGAGGAAGACAAAGAGCTTCTCTCTGATTTCACCTTGACGCCTCTTTTCATGGGCTGCTCATTTGCAGAGCATTGCGAGTTTGCATGTTTCCAGCACACAAAATCCCTCCTCGTAGCAGATGAAACATGGTGAAGCAGGGCGTCGCAGGTTCAGTCGAACCTATATAGAGCCATACACTTGCATGCAGTGACTGGAGGTGGCCATTCTGGACACCAACCCTGCAGAATCCAGGCTCCAGATCTTCGTGTATGTGTGTGGTGTGTGTCCAGCTATAGATGCCACAGACAGCTGCCTTGGGCGTTTTGTGAGTGTATGTCAAATGTGTGATCCAAAGACCAGTGCCGGGTGTTTCCCTCAAGCCTGTTGAGGATTGCACTCCCCCAAGAATTCATTGCTTTCCTCCATGCATACCTGGTGCACGCGACATGTTGGGAGTGGGCACTTTACATGCAGCAAACTAGAAGTAAAGGAAACACAGTGGCCGGCAAGACCATGTCCCACAAGTCCCCTGAAATGCCACTCCCACAAACCAATCCAACAGGAGATCCTTTGCAACGGTGACCTTGAGGCGGACCCTGACCGGACCGGCTTCTTCCGAGGCTGCCCCCGGACCGGCTTCTTCCGCACCGACCGCCGCATGCGGCTGGGCTACGCCATCTCGGTGTCCGGCGCCGCGCCCGACACGCTGATGTTGACCAAGCACCTCGGCGGGCGCCACGCGTGGTGCGGCGCTCTCCGCGGCCGTTGGGTGGGCCGGTGGGCCGGTTCCGGCGTTCAGATGCCACGAACCGAAGATGTTTCATTCAGTATAGCTGTAGGGACACAGCATCAAGATTCAAGAGTCAAGACCAGCTGTAGGGAATGAAAAGGGTGACATTTCAAACAAACGCTCTTCACCGATATGGTGCATAGTTCTGCGTACTCGTGGCGTTCTGTGGCGTTTGGTCTACCATATTGACCAAAATCCACAACTCAAACAGCTCATGGTATCTACAAAGGGGTTTTCCTCCGGCGTTCCAAACGCAACACAGTCGAACCAGGGTGAAAAACTGATGAATGTGTGCATATAATATATGTTTCCTGAGCTCATGTATTCAGCCCCAAGACCACTGTCCCGAACTGGCCTGAGCCTGGGAAAACCAGGCCGCGGTTCCGCGGTTCAACTTACGCATGGAGGCTTGCACATGTTATAGTGGGACACGCAGCATTTGTAAATGACAGCTGACTCAATCGGTCCACAAAGCTAACCACATCTAACTAACAAGTCGAACATCGTCGAACACATAGATGGTATAAGACGTGATCATGTTTCAACCTTTCCCAAGTCTCAAGGTACATTGAAGACCGTTGTTTAGGTACTTGCGAGAAAAACACCCACCCGTGGGTCTTACCCACCACTTTTCGGCATGGTGCACATGCGCATTTGGCAAGGGTTGGCACGGATGCACTGGGGGAGGAAAGGCCGGCACCCAGGTTCGATGTGCTCCCAATTCGATTCCTTTTGTGCCTTGACTTATTGAAAGAGATTCATCCGTACTAGAAGCGATGCACTTGTTCCTAGTAGCGTCCTTGTTACTACTAGTAGCGTCCTTGTTACTACTAGTAAGGCACTTGTTACTAGAAGCGATGCACTTGTTCCTAGTAGCGTCCTTGTTACTACTAGTAAGGCACTTGTACTTTCTTTCTGCTTGTGGCCCGGACCAGTGGATGCATCCTGGCCGCTTGCAAGACTTTCTTGGAACATGTTCCCCGTGGAGAAGAACTTGAACTTCAAAAGGTCCAAGACTAGGTGAATGTGTTGAGCAGGATTGTGAGGATAGAGTTTCTCTCGCAGAATGCCTTGGCTTGTTGAACAGGAGTCTTTCGGGGGCAGGACCTGGCACCTCACCTCAACAGTAAAGACTTCAAACCAGATCGAACCACTTGACTAGTACATACTAGTACTTGCCCTTCCCCAACTTTCTGTTGCGACATCATTTTGCTTGACGGTATGTTAGAAAGAAATTGTGGCATCTAAAGAGATATCAAAGGCTCCCAGTCTCCAACTGAGATTATAATCATTCATATGGTCCGAATGCCATGAACTGTTCCCACCATTCCAGACCACATCACCCCGACAACTGTCCTGTGGAGGACCCCTACAAACCAACCCACACAGACAAATTGTTCTCACATGTTCTCACTGCTCCCCTTTGCAAAGCCAAATCGCAGTGGACTTCTCAAACAGATTCAAAGAGTATATAAATAAGAGATCCCATTCCCCAAACTAGTGTGGCGCTAACCTGTTGAAAGAATGTCATTTTGGAATTTAACCCATGTAACACAACCCAGACAACCATAGCACAAAAACCCAGACAATATAAAGCCCAAATCAATCTGAAACAAACCCAAGTACCTTTAAAACAACCTAAAATCTCCCAAAGTCAAGCACCAATCCGAATCTGGAGTGGTTTTCATTACTGCAATCCCAGGGACTAAAAGTTTTCAGGTGGGGCTGGCCGCCACCGACCAAGCAGCTAATACACCCCAACACTCGGCTCGTCGGCTTGTATCATCCCATCAAACTCAATGATCTCAATGAAACGCTTCGAGGTCCGTCTTCTCATTACGCCTCGGCGACTTCGTACGCCTGGCACCCGACGGTAAGATTGCGGCGCAGATCGGCACCACCTTTCGGCGCTTGGAAGAGCGGGCGGCGCCAGCGGCGGCCGGGAACGAGGTGCGGAACGGCAGAACGGCAGCATACGTGACAGGTGGGATGATGAGTCAGATGAATGAGCAGCTACTTATGTGTCTGACGTTTATTTGCAATCACTATATATGCATTTGCGATCATTTGTTGTTGGTGTTGGTTCTTCTGTAGAGTGAGGTGTGACTGAATAGGAGGGTATGGCATGGGCTTTAAAATGGCTGTAACATCACGGGGAGTGTCCTAGTCAAAAGAGAAATGTTCAAATTGATAAGGCATGGCGATGTTGTGGTACATAGAACAAAGACACATGGACAAAGTGTCACAAAGTGTCAGAGTGCCAGAATACAATCTCATTGAAACTATCCGAATGTTGACCATAACAACACTCCTTTGCACCTGCATGACCCAACTTACTTGTTGGAGGTTATAATAACCCACCTTTGATGGAAGAGCATTCCAAACAGCTAGCTGCTCACCAGGCGAATCGGATAATCACCCTTGTTGATTTCAAGCAGTCGTGTCTCCCATCCGGTCGCTCGTCTCCGCAGACCGGACCTTTCGAGGGGTTTTCGGATCCCGCCCGGCCGACCGTCGCCAGGTTCGGGCGGCCACAGCACAGTTTTTGGCACAGAGGATTTGGGATGGGGCTCCAGTGGCACTCATCCTGATGGCCTGCCACTTACTGGTCACTTGGACTGATGTCAACTGATGTGGGCCTTCTTTCAGTGAAGAAAATGGAGTTGCCAAAAAGGACACGAATGGATGGAAAAATAGATCTCCGTGGGAACAAACGCTGTAGCAGATTCATGTACCAACAATCTTCCCACTGACCAGTGGGTGGCCCCCGTGGTTTCGTTTTCTCTTTCAAATGAGCTGCCGGACTAGGTCAAGCATTTGCTGTCACTTGGGCGTTCTTGGAGGAAGAAGATGCAAGGACCCTACGACCTTCCAATGGTTGAGCCTTCTGCTCACCTGGGGCCAGCAGACATGTTTGGGACACTGGCCCTGACTCACAGTTAACATATGGTGACCCGGCAATTAAGGCCATCAAGAATAATGATCACAGCAATTGGAAAATCCTCAAGGCAATCTAGTCTTTGAAATGAATTGCGTAGACGGTGATTTTCAGTTTGGCTTACTTTATTGCTCCTGCCTTTGTCATATATACATACCACAGATCTGTTTGTTCATCCAGGCCGGTGAGTACAGGGCACATTAACCCCCACCTGCTGAGCACAAGCCAAAATGGAGACAAACCCTCAAAGGGCAAGAGCCAATCGAAAGGAAAGAGATGGACAGAGACAGAACTAAGAAGGACGAAGACCATTACAGTGCCTGGATTCCTATTCCAAGCAAGAGTGTCAAGGAGTGAATTCTGATGAGTTCTGTATCACCAGGTGTCACCAGCTTGGCACTCACTTCAAGAGCCGGAGGTTTTATTTCGCACGCTCACTTCATGTTGACTGTTGATGAATAGAGCTCCGATATATTGCGATGTAGAACCATCCTGGTAGCGGGGTGGAACACAATTCACTGTCAACATTGCTCTCCCGGACTTTCATCCTCATCAACCCCTTTGGTTCCTCTCTCAGGTGATGCTGGGAAGAGGCTTGGATGATGTAGGTGGTTGCGGCGCCTACCAGGTGATCCTGCAGATGGGCTTGTGGCTTTGCTGCCAAACCTACGAGTGCGAGTTTTTTGCTGTGTTGAGCAGGTTCAGGGTGAAAGAGCTGATCATTGGTCAACCTTTCCATTTGATCCAGGGGTGGCAAAGGAATTAATTACGGCCGAGGCCGTTTTTCACCCCTTCCATCAGGCCGCAAACGCGCGAGTTGTTCAGCCGAAATGATCGTCCGGCCTGACCGGCAGAGGTTGGGCGACAGAACACCATGCTTCGGATGTCAGATGACTCATGTTTCTCGTTCGGTCGTAGCCTCTGAAGACATTCTGACAAGCTTTAGATGGGCGTGACTCTCCGGTGGATGGTGTGAAGGGCTACACCATGGCTAAACCATACGAAAGCGTTCCCACGCGACAAAAGGCTGGGAAGACCCGCCAAGGCAGGCTCTTGGAGCGGAGCCGCACCTTTTACCTAGGATACACCGGGCGAACCAGGGTGAACCAAACTCATTATAGGCTTCCTTCTGCGGGATGGCATATTGCAAGGGTTTGAATGGAAGACTAATTAATTATGATCCCAATGGCCAGATGTCTATTCAATTTCTCCTCCAGTGGCAAAACATGTTTACTTGGATGATAGGTTTGAGAGAAACCATCTATCATCCTCATCATCAGGCCCAGCATTAACTCTTTGCCATACGCAATCCGGGGGGTGGGACTTCAGTTTCTATAGGCACCAAAGGGGGAACGCATAAACACCAGCTGAAACCAGGGCTTGCCCTAAACACCCGATTGGTTGACTTCAGCACCGATTGGTTGATCAACTATTCTGGAATCCTCCCGAGGTCTGGCTTTGTGATACTTTTAGTGCTAAGCTTCTTCGCCTTCGCCCCACAGTTGCGATGGCTCATGCGGAGTCCGCTGATCCTGCAGTTTCAGTGACTCCGCTTTATCTCAGCATGAAGAACCCTTGATCTCATGAAACTGTTTGGTTTGCAAGATTGTCATGGTGGTTTCGGTGATTTTATTGTTGTGTTTAATCGAGAAGAACGGTCCAATTGCAATCATCATGTGGCTGAGTCCTTCCACGGCATTCCAGCGTGCGTTCCAGATGCTTCCAGAGGACCGTGCATCAGCCAAGGATGATGTTCATGCACCGACATCAAGCTATAGAGCCCCCACCATACGCAGCTTGGCCTGTTCGGGGGTGTTCGGGGCATTGGAAGTGCTTTTGTATGCTTTTGTTTTGGAGTAGCACTGTAGACACGTGTGTTCAGTCCTTATTTGAGGTTTGGTTTGCCGTTTCGATGTCGCAACCGAAAGGAGAGGAGTGGAATCTCTTCAACTCTTCAACTCTCTTATTGGCTCAACAAATGGAACAACGTTAAACGGGAGTTGTGGCTCCTATTGGCTCCTTTCATTCTTGCCCCAGGTCTATGTCTCTGATGGGGGCCTTATTGAGTGCCTCGGGGTGCTCATGCTTTTGCGACGCAGGATGCCACTGATCATTTGCTCAGATGCCTGTGAAGTGACTTGGTTTCAAGATGTTTCAATTAAAGAATCACCAATGATACTCTTTGCCACCTTGATTTGTGCCGGCACTGCATGAAAAGAGAGAGCATGAACAGCAGCTAAGTGGAAAAGAAAGGCTTGAGCCGGCACAATCCAGTTTCATTTGTTGTTGATTTGCTTGCAGCTTTATCCTTATATCCGCATGGCCGAGCAATCTGAACGAGCTTTGCATCACAACTGCTGGCGGAAAGCAGGTTCTGGTAAACCTCACCAAAGGTGATACAGCCCTGACACTGAAAGCCAGGCTTCGTGATAAAATGATGGAAGCAGGGCAGGCTGATGTGCCTGTGCATGCTGCAATGAAGCTTCTCCATGTTTTCGGAATCTTACAGGATGAATGTCTGGGTTTTCAAGCTTATGGCATACAGGTAGTAGATGGAGTGCACTTAATGCTTGTGATTTCTTTTCCATCAGGAGACTACGGGTTCGCTTCCCGCAGGGAAAACGCACCGACTGGAGACAATACCACAGCGAGAGTGGAGGTATCCTTCCAGGAGGGCGGCAGATTCAGAGACCAAGATCCCCACCCTGATGCACTTCAGTGCGGGAGAGAGGTGGGATCACCAGTACGCAGCACACTGGCAATGCCAGTGCAGGTGAAGGGCGGCAAATGATTCTGAAAGTTCCAGATTGCCAGCGCAGAGGCCTTTACTTTCAGCATGACCCCCATGAGGATTTGATGGGGGCGATGCAAAGGAGTTAGTGGACCAGATCAGGCTTCAGCTTCCATTTGAAGCTGGTTTGTGCAATCGGAGGAGAGCTGTCTTGAAGTGCATCGTGCAAGGGGATTCCCAACAATGATGATGAAGATTCCCCAAGGTTTGCTGGTAGTCCATTTTCGGGTCTGTTTGCTCCGCTGGAGGGGGCCTGCTGGGCAGACTAGGAAGCTGAGCCTCTTTCGGAGGTTTATGCATGTCCTAGGTTGCGCCTGATTCAGACCTGCCTGAGGGAAAATGATGCAACGCAAAGGGGACGTCAAGATTGCATAGATTGATGCCTGAACAGCTTGCCGAGAGAGGGAGAGAGAGAACAAACAGAGCAAGAGAAAGAGAAACTGAAAGAAAGCACAAGGCAACATTCAGAGACAAGACTAGCATTGCAGTACAACCTTGCGTTCATGTTACCTTTATCAACAGACGTTGATGAGTGAATGAGCGCATAATCGGGCTTTTGGATCACTCAGACAGCAAGACTTCAGAGAACGTGCCGAAGTTGAAACATCAAAGACATTGATTAGACTCGCCTCAAAGTAACAAAGCTGCCCGTCAATTTGGGTGAGGAGTGAGGGCACGTAACAGAACAACAGAGGAGGTCCTGCTATACAATCCTCCCAGTTGTGTGTGGTGTTAGGCCAAGTTTGTTATATACTCACCTAGCAATGCAATATATAATCATAGCAGCATGTTTCCAGGCCTGCTAAAGTCTTGTTCCAGCTTTATGCAATCGCTGAGTGTTCTCGGGATACGTGGACTTCTTTCATCCTGAGGATATGAATGTCACCTTGCGTGCCTTGCTGGACACGATCCACCTCGCCCGGGAGGAGAAGCTGTACCTCGACCGGCGATCCCGGCCGTTGGCGGAGCAGCTTTCTGGAGTAGTGATGTCTTGGAAAAGACGGCGAACGTCAGAAAGGGAATCTGTAGCACTTTCAGGGAACTGAAGGTTGATGGTTCTTTTGATGCCTCTCAGATTGGAGGCTTTTCTGCGAAAATAACGCTATATCTTAATTTATGTTACTTTGGGTGACCGGTTGAATCTTATGCGGCCATCTGGTACACAGCTAAGACTGACGTGGAAGAAACACACTTGGACTTCACCTGAGCGCCGGGCTTGACTCAAGACTCAAGGAATTGGTGCAGTTCCGAACTTCCGAACGTTGATACTCCATGTCCGCTACTTCCATAGCAAAGCTTCTATAGGGAATCCTCTCGCTTACTACTTCCTATGACTATAGGTCATTCCCTACGCCTGGAGATCCAATGGTTCACCCACAGCCCCTGGGGGGCCTCGTGCCTTGCGGTTGTTCACTGTCCCGCGAAGACTATTCAAATCGCAGGGTACGGCACTAAAGCGTACATGAGCAACTGCACGTTGGTACGTGCAATACCCTTCAAAGGAGAAATCTAGACTATTGCCAAGCTTTCTTTCTTCGCTCGGTCTAGGTTCAATATGGTTCAATGGTGCAGTCCAAGGACAAGCGGAACAGAGTTACAAGAAGCTACCGTTTGCACCAACAGGGTGTGGATAGACCAGATCGATAGAAACGTGGGCACCGAACCACTATGGCACCCGGATTGGAGTGGCTGCATGAGGATCGGGCATGGCGCCATTTTACGTTGAGGCAAGCGAAAACACCATAATGAGTATATATACTATATATGTGATTGAATGGGAAGCCTTTTGAGATGTATTTTGCACATTGAACCATGCAGATTGGGGTCATGGGGTCATGAATTTAGATGATTTGATCAGACAATGAACAAACATGAACAATGATTCGCAACTCTCATGTGCTTAAACTGTCAACATCGCGTTTGAGAGCATCTCCCATGCGTCCTGCATCCCTGTCATCAACAAGAAGCTACTAGTAACAAGTGCATCGCTTCTAGTAACAAGTGCATCGCTTCTAGT